AAACATCTTTTGTGCTGCTTTCACCTTTATGATATGTAACATAACTAGTGTTGTGCAAATATTACAATTTTCTAATAGTAGTTTTGAGTAATATGCTATTTGATATTTGGTTCGAGGTGAACTGTGATATTCATATTTTTCCGAGTGTCGATTGCGGCAGGTCAGTCCTGTTGAGTGTGCTTCTTACCGAGCATTGGTGCACTGCGTTGAAGCAACAGTCACGGAGCTCGCTCCCGAGGGTGTTGTTTCTCCCAAGCGCACTGGTGCTCGTAAGAAGTGCACTTAGGCTGAAATGCCGCGATCAACACTTTTGAGAAACACAATTATTGCAGCCGCATGCTTTGGAGGAAAAGGCACTTTTAAAGTGGGACGGTGTGCACGCACGTGCCTGGTGTATTTAAACGGAAACTTTGTGAATGTTCATATCTACACCGCAGTATTTAACTTTTCAAAATTAAACTGGCCGTTATGCATGAGTAGGTATATGTCAGGCAGACATGCCCCGACAACTCGCGTTAATCATTTGTGACTGGAGAAAGGTATTTGTATAGTATATAGTAGCAAGAATATTTATAAATCGCCTCGGTTAGATACAGCTGTGCATCTCATAGGTCTAATTTTATGCCAAATGTGCCATTTACTTGCCAACCTAATGTAGCATTGAATTTTCTGAGGCCACAGTCGATAAATATACTTAAAATTTGGCTGAGAAATAAACAAATGAAAGCTTGGGAACAAACTTCACAAGTTCAGCTGGGTTTTTGTTTAAGCATGGTCCAGTAGTGAAAGGCTTAGACAAACTATTCAATATTCGATTAGGACATATTTGGCCAAAACCACCATTTGCTTCGAATTTGCTTCAAACTCAAAATCCACTATTTGCATATTTGCCGCCTGCGACTAAACATAACATATATAATTTTGTGAGCTGTTGTTAAAAATGTGATATACCGTATTTACTCGCACAATGAACGCACACCCTACAACGGGTACCAACATTTGGACTTTTTTTTCCCCTTCACGTAATAAACGCACCTCCGATTTTCTACTTTGCACGTCTCAGATTGCATCCAGTTAGCTAGGTACCAAGCCCACCAAGCCAATTTTCTTTTGCCGCCAAGCAGTCAGGCCAAGTCAAGCTTAGCCAACCTACTCCCGTAATGGCTGCAAGTGCGTAGTTGCGGAAGCGATCAACTGTGAAACTGAGCGGCGTGCACACTTGACAAAGCTTGGGTCGAGGAATAGGTGACCGGCGTTTGAGCCGGAAGTTTCGTCATCCGAAGCGAGGCACCACGTGACTTCACGGTTCCGGTTCGTCCGGTGCCGGTCGTGGTGCGTCCAGCTGCATCGAGAGCCCTTCTAGGCGTGGTAGCCGTGCTGTATTCGCGGTGAAAATGGTTTACAGCTCCGCGGTACGTTGTTCTAACGCAAGCCATAGAGAGCCTAAGACGTTCCAGTTCCCGTGAAACAAAGCATGGAAGCAAGGATGGGCCGTCGCTGTTAAGCGAGTGATGGAGCGAGGTGACCTGTGATAGACAAACGTCGGTGACCGTTTATGCGCGGCCATTATTGTTACAGGCCAGTAGAACGTGTTCTGTCTTCAGATAGGGGCCGCGGGAAATAACGATCTCTAACAGTCTTTTGGCACCCACCAAAAAGGTCTCGATTAATCCGCGAAGGGGTGAGCACTGCTTGTCGTACAAGGCATCCGCGAGAACGCGAGATGCGATCTCGCAGGCAATTAGTTCATGGCATGACGTTTCGTCGACATACAGTGCCATCGCCAGGCCTTTTAATTCTTATATCGACAGCTCGGATTAACTTTTTCTGTAATGAGCCGCCGCAGTCTGTTCCCGGGAAGCGGCGGTGAATGGGTGGCTTACTATAATATAAATAAACAAAAGAACAGGTCAGCTTGCTGTAATATAAAAAAGTAAAAGCAAATGGGCAGCACCTTCATATTGACTGATAATAAAGCGGTAGTACGACCCTGCGTAGCTGATATCAAAATCGGTGCTCGTTCATGCATGCTTTCTTACTCGACATCATTAAAAAAAAACGTGAGAGGGGGGGGGGGGGGAGGGGGGGGGAGGGGTAGTTCACGGGGGACAACCTAGTTGAAGTACCAAAAACGCGTGAGTGTTAAAAAGCAGCGGAGGAAGTGGCCGAGTGGGCTAACGCGTCTCAGCTCGGAGCGTGGAGCGAAAGCTTGCGCTGGGAACCTCCTGGGTTCGGTTCCCAACCGCCCCCGCCCGTTTCGATCTGGATGAGTTTCGTACCGGCACGCGTTCGTGTTATCGCTACTACGTGATGCACGTTAAAAATCCCAGGTTAACGGTTGTACTGCACTGGCTAAATTTCTCATCTACAGCTAAGAGACCGATTACCCGTTGAGGCGCATCTCCATCAAGGCTGTATAAACATACAGTGCAAACCAATCTTTAGTGTTAAAAAGCAAGGATTGTCACGTAGTCAGATGTCATCGAAACTAGCTTGTGTACGGAAGTGGCGTTTCAATCGCGCGAGAAAACATATTAGCTGGGTTTGAAACGCCGTCTGACCGACTTCTTTCCCTGTCTTCAACTTTTGATTGCTTCAAGATTTTCTTACCCAGTCTCAGGTGTTCTAATAAAATGAGAAAAGTACGCCAGACCTCCGATCGGGCATTTCAGCTGGCCGCGTCCTACGGCTTACATTCGCACCTATTTCAGTCGTGATGTGATCTAAAGTAACCATCAAAAATAAACAGAACCCAAATGAAAAACGCTGGCTCAAAAGGAAAACGAAAAATCTAACCTGACTTTTCATGCCAAGACCCGATAAGCGCGGTGCGAGTGCAGCTTGCCGCCGGCCGCACTCGCTCTGCGCTTTCGTGGCCGTTCTCGATGCTTCTGTGTACCGACTGCTACTTAACATATCCGTAGAAGTAACTTGAGACGTTCAGAAGTGCGTAAGTCTTCCAGCAGCAGAGGAAGGTGGCCCGGAATGATCGGGTTTCAACACCCGCACACGCTTCCATAGCCGTCCTGGGGCTGCGTCGGCTGCTAGCTACGAACCGGAAGTGAAGAATACCCAGAGTGCTTTGCGGCTGCTGCCAAACGCCGGTCACCTATTGTCCAGCCCCGGACATTCTTCGCCTATCGGATGCATTGATGTCAACAAACTCGCCGTCGTCTGTGGTTCGCTTTCGGACAGTGAAATCGTGAAAGTGGTTTGGCCTGAGAATGGTCGCGTTGCTCTCCGTGCTGAGTGAGCTTCGTAGGGCGCTTTTCCCTCGGCAAAAGGCACGCCAAAAGCGCCCTAAAAAGGTTCACAATTTATAAAGCATGGTTACTGTGGCACGCCCCCGACCAGCCGTGGGAGTGCCTCCGTCAGTGGAGATGTGCCGCAGTACCTTGCTGTGTCATATTGGCACCTAATATGACATTTGCACGAAGTGTGTAAATGCAAAAAGTTTACCCTGCGTAATGAATGCACCCCCCAAATATGTGTAAATTTTTCGGGCAAAAAAGTGTGTTCGTTATACGAGTAAATACGGTACATATTCCAGCTTCCAGGATTAGGGTTACCAGTTGGTACACACTAAAAGACACTATACTGTGTTTCACAATAACTTGGCGGACTGTGGGGGCTGCAGTCCCCGCGACCCAGTAAGGGGATCTGAGCAAGGCATATGACAACACTCCATGGTCGAGCCCTGACAGGCCTCATTACCACCGCAGCAACATCGCCGTCTGCGACAAAAAGTAGAGATGCAATCCAGCGATTGCATCTCTATCGTCACTACGCTACACAACACGGAAGAAAGACAAAAACGTGTTACTTTTCAACGTTACCTAACAAATCAACCCTTGACTTTTGAACAACTTCACCAAAGCACTCACGTAGAACTAAGTTTGAAAGATTGCAGCCCTGTAAACAACCCCTTCCACTCAAAACATCACCCTTACATTAGCACTCGTCACAGATTCGCAGGTAAATTGAGCACATGGGTGTCTCTTGAACTGTTCCCGAAGAGCTCGCAACTCTAGCAGATGGCAGCGTTGCGGCGGTGTATGTTCATCCAAAGTTGGTTGGTTTCGCAGCAGACGACAGCCGGTTCCTCTGAGTTTCGCATATGGTGCAGTGACACAAACCCTCTTGAGATGTGGTGTGACGTGCCTTGCTCCAACGCTCTTATTGGGTTACGGGGGCTGTAGCCTACACAATTTGCCACGGTATGGTGAAAATGAGTATAACACACCACTTTTAAAATAAATTGTAAGACTAAGCTAGCTGCATGAAGGGGGTACTTTTTCTGTGACAAACTGCAGTAGGTTACCATTATAATTTAGTTATGGTTATGGTTAAAGCTGCAACCAAACACTTCTTACAGTATTGCTTGACTCTTTTTTTTAACACAGAATGTGTTTTAGGGTTGGTTTCCAAGCCTCGAGTGTCACGAAATGTTGTAACAAAAATTAATAGCATGGCCAGTTAATAACATGGCCAGGCAGAAATTGAACCACTGACCTCGCACTCGGATGATTTTTCTCGCGAAGGTGGTAAAAAATTCCCATTCCATGCCACCTCCGTGTTGTTGCTGGGTGTACTAACTTCTGAACTAGGTACACTTTAAAACCTTGGTTGAGGTCATGTTGCAGAGTGACAAACGGGTCTAATGCATGCAAGCCCAAAAAAGACAGAAATAGCTATTTCATCTAGAGATGAAAGAAAGCACAGGGTTCAAGCTATTTCTGTTCCCAGCAATAGGAGCCAATGACTCAAGAGAACCAGAGGTGCCATCCAGTAAAGCATTAAGCCATTCCTCTGCCTCCTAAGGCTTCGAAATTTCCCATTCAGTACTCTTTCAAAGTAGGATAGGAGGAGAAAGTCACGAGGATGCCCTAATACAAAATTCAATCCTCCGCAGGGAGACAACACTGTGATGCCCCGGACACCTGGCCAAGCCCAGCCAAGACAATCCCTCGTTGCCCCTGGTACAGTTGACAGAGACGTACCTGTTCGAAGTTGCCGAGCAGCTCAAGGGCGTCGGTGGCAGCGCCCACGGGAAACACGGCCAGCGGGTGCCCTGCCAGCCCTGCCAAGGTGTGCACCAGGGCACTCTTGCCCGCTCCCGAAGGCCCCACTAGCAGGGCCGCAAATCCACACTCCACACACTTGGCCAGCACCTGCGATCAGCATCCACGAACAGTATTGGGTCCGTAGGACAGAATGCAAAAGAGCCTCGATGCCCAAAGTTTTGAGGCCGAGAAACCTAGAACCCACCTCCAGGGTGGTCGCTTGAACATGCAGCAGCCGCAAGCTTCGCCAGTCGCGGCTTGGAGGGTCGTTCCCCAAGTGTCCCCGGGTCAGCAGCGCGTGGCCGATGCGGAGCCAGCCATTTGCCAACCGCACTTCGGATTCCCGGCGCGGTGCAGCTTCTCCGAACACCTTCTCGTACAGCCGCAGCACCTGTGCCAAAGCGTGTGTCAATGTCTGCCGTGGCCTCCTCGAGAGAGCCGGGTTTGTCCTGCCCACCTTTTCCCTGTCCTGCGGGGAGCGCATGCGGCCGGCGTATGCAATTGCCACGTGATCTCCGGCGTTGGGAGGCCCCACCTCCATCATGTGGGCCCAGCGAGAGACGTCCCGCAGGTTGAACTCCCAGGGGCTGCCCAGGGTGCCCCAAAGGCACTGGTCCTGCACCTGGTTGGCCAGCTGCAAGATGCCATTTTCATAGAAATGTTTCACTACAGTTGCAACCCTTCAGAACTCGTCATAGAGTTCCTCCTCGAAGCATTACCTACGTAAAGTTATGGCAGCTAAAATTACGGACTTAAGAACTTCTCGCACCTGCCCGCAGCACCTAAGCTATGTGCGCTCGACTATACATGGCATGCAGGTTATGTGCACTGGACTGCACATAGCATATATAGATGCGTTGCCATTGGAAAAGCCACAGAGAAAACTAAATTACGATTTCAGTGAGGACAGGTCCTCTCATTTTCCTGACACAACAGCCTTTTTCCCTCTTGGCTTCAAATTTAAGCCGCACTGCACCGTCAAAGACCCACCCCTGAATGCCTTCTTTGCAAAAGACGCCGGCGTCGAAGTCGCATCCCTCATTGAAGTGGCACGGCAGTGAAGCTGCCGAGAGGTCTGACCTAAAGCCCCACGATAAAATTCCCGCTTTACGCTTCTTGCAAGTACTAACAAATGCTGCTGTCCGAACGCATGCCACGAGCAAGTGCTACGCAGCATTTTGTTTCCAAGGGCTGCACGAGGCACGGGCCTCGGTGCATTTGATGCTACTCCTAAAACGAATGCCGTCGCATCGAGCGGCCTTAAGTCTCGCCCACCTCCTGGTTGAAGAGGACCATGCTGCGCAGGGTGGACTCCGGCAGGCCCGGGTGCAGGCAGCGTGCCAGGACCTCAAGGTCCCTCTGCCCCAGGGGCTCCAAGGCCAGCTGAGTGAAGCGGTTGAGGAAGGAGCGCGGCAGGCCCTTTCGTGCCCCACCCTGCCGGTACGGGTTCTGGCAGCCGAACAGACGGGTGCGGCCCCGCGCCACCCGGAAGCTACGGTTTAGCTCGGGCACAAACACCGCCCCCCGGTAGTCCAGGCAGGCGTTGAGGCCCTCCAGGACACTCTGGGAAGCCAGGTTCAGCTGCGGCGGAAAGGTCGGGTCACAGCAATGCCCTTCATGATGAGACTGTAGTGCTGAATTTTCTACGTCACCTGTGCTGTTTCAGTGTTCGAATGGGACATGTGTTCAATCAATGAGGACACAAGTTACAGCCGGACGCCGATGCAGCATTCGTGTCTAATTTTTGTTCTGCGTCTTCCTCCACTAGGGCACACAGAAAATCTGGCACTATGGCCATGTTATCTAGAAGGTGTTTATCACTGGTCGGCTGTCATTCAAAACCGAACTCCAGCAGGAACAAACCTGTCTGAGCAAAGCCAATCTTGTTGGTGCCAAACCTGGCACAGGGATTCGTTGCGAGCGTGAGTTACGAGAAGACACTAGAAGTTGTCCACAAACATGTTTACCATATACTGTCATGCAAGGTGCAGTCTTTAGTGTTAATGCCCAACTATTCGGGATGCTATTGAGAGGGTCAGACAGAACAAAGCCCACGTGTAACAAACTGTCCTGTTACGCAGAAAGTTTGTCAGGGCAGTAGTTCACTGTAGGTGGACTCCCCTTTATGATCAAGTGCTGTGCAGCAGTCTATAGATCTCGTAGAAGTGCCAAATATTAACTTGTTATAAATGGGCTGCACCAAAGTTTGTTTGCATCGAGTGCACCCTAGAAAAAAAAGCCTAGTCTCGACCATGCCCTCACTAGAAGCGACACAAGAGGGCTAGGTGATGGCCGAGTGGAAATTGGGAAACAGCGACTTGACGACTCACTGGAACATTAAAGCACAGCTTGTGCTCCTAGATGGCCTACACCACTAGGAAAGGGGCCACATCGCTAAATGATAGTGACTACGACAACTCTGAAAAAATAGTGGCTGTGAAAACCTTCGATCAAACGAGTTGATGGGGGACGCCATGCACAAAAAACCAGGTTCGGGACCAGAACTCACTTCGTCCAGCAGGACCCAGTGCCCCTCCCTCAGGGCCCGCAGCAGGGGTCCGTCCCTCCAGGCAAACTGGCCCGCCCCGCCTCCCTCCACGGGCAAGTCTGCTCCAAACAGGTCCGAGATGTCCTGCCGACCGCAAACAGACGCTCTCAGAACGCGATTCTCCGCTTTCTTCTGGTTGTGCTCTCGCGCGTACGGGCGCTTCTTAGAGCCCCCTCGTTGTCTGTGATGTTTGTCGTTTTGTGTGTGCATGTGACGAAGTAGGAATAGCCTTTATGCCTGCTGTCGTCCCAAAAGCGCGTCTTCTGAGGCCACGAGTGTTCCCGTTACTACGTCCCAACGCAGCGAACGCGCCGTCGCTGCGAGTGTCGTGTGAGCGTGTGTGTGCCCTGCAGAAGAACCGTCTGCAGCTTTCGTCCTGAGTGCCAAACATTCCGTTTATGATCGACCTTGAGTGTTTTGTGTAGCCTTTGTTCGCTACCTCTGGCGGCCCACCTCCTTTAACGGGCAAAACCGTTTTTTGGTGGATGTGATCCTGGCAATGCCACTTTAGTACAAACTGTTGTTATACTCTGTGTGAGTCGGATGCATGCTCGGCAGCGAGAGTTTTGTGCCAAAGTTTACTAAGAGCCATTCTCTTTTGGATCATTTATTTTGTTTATTCCGTCTACTACATAGCTTATTGAATAAACTTTTATTTCCCCTCTGCAGAGTGGAGCTTTATGTGATTTTATAAACTGTAATGGTCTGTTTGTTGGGGACTTTACTGATAAGCAATTAAGGTAATGTATTGACACCCCAAGATAAATAATGAGGCAAAAAGATGAATAAGATGAAAAAAAGAACAAAGCACAAGACTGGTGTAGCGCCAGTCGACAAAACAGAGAAAGAAAGCCAGTGGAAGTATTTAAAAGAATAATCTTTCACAGCTTCAGTACCGAAAACCTGAGATATAATATTTCTTGCCATGCTAAGTAGTAGGATCGTGGAAATATTCTAATAGTGGTTTCGAATAATACGCTTTGAAGTGTTGATCGCAGCGGGTTAGCCCCGTTAAGCGCGTTTCTAACCGCGCGTCAATGCACTGCGGAGAAGCCACATCTGTGAAACCGAGCTTTGAGAATGTCGCTTCTCTGCAGTGCATCGGTGCTCGGTAAGAAGTGCACTTAACGGGGCTAACCCGCCGCAATCAAAATTTCTAAATGTATGAATATCGCAGTTGCATGCTTAGGAAAACAGCATACTTTCAAAGCGGGATAGTGCACGTGCATACCTGGTGTATTTAAAAAAAAAAAAAAAAAAAAAAAACTTTGTGAATGTTGATATCTCCATTAGAGTAAAATTTTCAGAACTAGACTGCGACTTTATTGCAAGTGTATATGGTTAGGCAGAGATGTCCTGACAACCTGCATTTATCATTCGTGATTATCTTTTTCTTCAAATTCATGAGTGCAGAAACAATAGTTGCATATGGCAAGAAGATTTATAAATCCCCTCAATAAGTATATCTGGGCATCTCTGTAGGTTTAATGTTATGTCAAATACGTCCTTTATTTGCCATCTCATGTGAGCATCAGACTTTCTGAGGCCACAATTCATAAATTATATAGTTAGATTAAAATTGGCTTAGAAGTGGAAAGCGGGAGCTTGGGAACATGAGTTTGGCTGAATACCTAACCCCCCCCTCCAATTAAAAAAAAATAAAAAATAAAAATTTGCTGATAATTTTTTTTTTTTTTTTATAAATAGATACCCATTTTTGAGATACTAATTTCTGAAAAGATTGACTTACACGTGGCAACATACGGTATATAATACTGGAAATAAAGCGCAGTTACATACGCTTGGGAGAAGAGCGTGTTGGTTTAAGTCATGGATGAAGAAAGAATAAAACAATTAAACAGTGACAACACAACCACACCTTTCAACTAGCAACAGACGAGTAAACTTTCAACAGCGAGCAGCCGACTACACCCAGGAGGAGAAGGGAAGATAAGAAACGCAAAGTGCAAGTCACAGTGGTGGGCTTATCTCGGATTTTAGAAATTCAACCTCAGTTTTCGTCAGCAGGAGGGAAGGGTTTGACACATTGTTTTTTGCTATGGTCATGACGAATGATTCTATGATTTCCCTGGCGAATCTGCTGTCATGCCCCCCAGGATTTTTGTTTCATCAAAGAGGGGATAACAACTCAAACACGAACGGGCATGTATGACTATGGGATGATACGAATCTGGAGAGGCCTTAGAAACTTCCACGCAAAGAGAAGAAAGTTTACTCCATCCCCTTGAGCTGCGGCCATCAATACATAGGACAGACCGGCAGATGCACCAATTACAGACTCCGCGAACATCACAACGAAGTTTCTAAGGCCTCTCCAGATTCGTACCATCCCATAGTCATACAGGCCCGTTCGTGTTTGAGTTGTCATCCCCTCTTTAATGAAACAAAAATCCTGGGGAGGCATGACAGCAGATTCGGCAGGGAAATCATAGAATCATTCGCCATGACCACAGCAAAAACAATGTGTCAAACCCTTCCCTTCTGCTGACGAAAACCGAGTTTGAATTTCTAAAATCCGAGATAAGCCCACCACTCTGACTTGCACTTCGCGTTTCTTATCTTCCCTTCTCCCCCCTTCTAATCCTGGGTATAGTCGGCTGCTCGCTGTTGAAAGTTTACTCGTCTGTTGCTAGTTGAAAGGTGTGGTTGTGTTGTCCCTGTTTAATTGTTTTATTCTTTCTTCATCCATGAGTTACATACGCATCCCTCTATCTTGTCTAAGCTTACTCTCGCCACTAGGCTGCTACAAAGGCACCCATCACTGCTGCAGAAGAACTGCCACTGAAAGTTTAAAAATGAAAGCAAGTGAGCTCTGACAAAGTAAAGGCAGCTACCAATGAAAGACAACCACCCCCCAACTGCAAGCACCTCCAGCCTACAACCCAAGAAGACTGACCGTCTGCTCCGAGAGGTTGATGCGCGTGATGGGGTGCCCCGAGGCCCTGGCCAGTGCGGTGACCAGGCTGGTCTTTCCGACGCCGGGCGGCCCTTCCAGCAGCACGGGCTTGTCCAGCTGAAGCGCACGCACGAGGCGCAGCGCGTTGGCACGGGGGGTGCCCGCTCGCAGGCTGTAGTGGGCCTCCTCTAGGGAGACGGCCCCCAGGGGACCTGCACGGCATAGGCAGGGCTCAGGCGCAGTGGAGGTCGCTTTGACCCAGCTCCAGCCGCCACATTTTATGGTGCTAGAAACGGGAAAGCTCGGCTGTTTGCCAAGTTTGTTTGAATGGGAAGAACGCCTGTCCTAGCGCACACCGCCACGCAGAGTGGGAGGCAAGAAAGACAGATTTGCTGGTTGCATCTGATTCCGGCAAACAAAAGAATCGAAGTCACTTCTGCACAGATGATGCACATACAAAAACACTAGATTCAAAGATACAGTATGTCTCGTTAATGCGAACCCCATTAATATGGACAGCCCGCTATGCAGACGAAATTGTCGGGTATGAACTGGGCGAATACATGTATTTTCGTCTCATTATTATGAAAAACTCACATTATGCACAATTCTAGGGGGGATCGGAGGTGCCCATAGTGACGAGACTGCACAGGAAAGCAAATTTTCCAGGTGCAACCACTGTAGAAGTATGTGAGGTGTATTTCTAAGACAGATTCGTGGTGGGCTCATACCGTAGAGGCAGCCAAGATGATAAAAGATTAGATGACATTGTAATGGCGTAGCGAGATGTCCCCGCATCTCGATGGTGAATGGGAGATTGCCGGTAAAAACAGATCCGAGCACATGCCCCCACTTACCGGTGGGGAGCAGGAAAGGCCCCAGGCGCAAGCCGCGGGAGTCCTGCACCACGTCCATGTCAGCGCAGTCCCGAAGCGCCTGCCAGGCGTCTTCAGGGACGCCGCTGCTCGTTAGCTGCGCCACCAGCTGCCTCTGCAGCACTGCCAGGGCACGCACCCTCAGGGCAGTCACCGCACTGGGACCTTCGGACCCGGTCGTGCCTGCGGGAACGCTTCCTAAGGTCAGTTTTGTCGCCACGAGCATCGCGCCTCGAGTGCACGGCTGCAGTCTAAGTGTTCTAAGTGCGGCGGCGATGAGGGGCAGGTGCAAGTAGGCAGCAGTTCGCAACTTCTGTGAAGTAGAACTTCTGAACCTTTTTGATTTCGAGAGATCCCTGTCCGCCTTGAACGGCAGCCGAGAAACCCCTTCTGGTCTTGGCATGGAGACAGTGAAGCAGTACAGAAGCCTACAGACCTTGTAGACAGCAATGCACATTACTACCGTAATATCCCGAGTCATCACTCATCCCCGAGTCATCGCACACTCCACTTTTTTGGCCAATATCGATTTCCGAAAAGACACCGAGCAATCGCCCACCCCTACAAATGCTCCAACGCGGCCTCCGCGATCCGTGAACATTCATTCTACCGGAATGACGCGGCCACGGACCTTACAGTTGGAGGACGTCCGTGATGAAGTAAAACGAAGGAGGGAAAGACACTTCGTTTTGTTTACACATTTCCTCCCCGATTTCTACGACCCCTAAGTCATAGTACATGGGTGCAAAAGGAAAACGACGGAGATAACAGAATGAAACTTTGTTTTGCTTAAAGTTTGTTCGGACAAAAATATGAAGTCGGAAAGACAACACAAGCAGTAACCCATTCAGGGATCGCAAGGTCAGCGAACGCCCCATATCCTGGAATGTAACCGTGGAGTGTAAAATCAAAATCTGTCTCCACTGCGGTCGGTAATGTTGTGCAATGCTTAAGCCAGAGCCAACTGGTAAATAAAGATTTACTGGAACACCGCACATGGACGTTTGTAAAGTGTCCCATTTCAAGCTCCATGTTTGCAGTGCACGCAGCAATGCTGCCTCAGGGGTGGAACTCACGAAATGTGCTTGGGAGCAGCCACGGGAGCAGCTGAAACAGCCGTTTTGGAGCAGGTTGGGAGCAGCTAAAACAGCTGTTTTGGAGGAGGTTGAAGCAGCTAAAACTACATTTCGGAGCAGGTTAGGAGCAGCTCAGATTAGTTTTCATTGCATTTCAGCTTGAGTTTTAGTCAAGCACGGAAGCAATTTCAATTGTGCTTAGCAGCACATATGAACACGAGTGCACGGTTAGGGACCTCGTTAGATCAGATAACATTGTGAAGGATGCGAAAACTTGAAACTTTGTGAGCCTTAATGAGAACCAAAAGGCAATAACCACATGTTTCTGAAGATAGCGTCCTTGATATTTTCTGACTGGCTTTCAGCGGCTCAAAATGCAAAGCAGCACTGCTTATCGCAAAACCCACACGTGCTCGACATAGTAATTATACGTGCGAACCACGTGACGTGCTTAAGCAACGGACGTGCAGTTGCACGAAGGAACAGGGAAACAAATTTTGAGTTTACCCTATTGTGCAACTCAATATCGAAGCAGCAGACTGCGATTAACGGAGTTATCGTATTCGAAGCAATAAGGAACAAGGTTAAAGTACGCCGAGCAGATCTACCGCTTGCGTGAGAGCTGCTGGCCGGCAAGGTTTCGGATTGGGCCGCGTTTCAGAAGTTATCAAATCTCGATTTTTTTTGCGGGAATGCGGTTCCAACTTCTAACAATGAAGTACTAAAAGGAATCTTTTGCTCATTTGTTTTTAACTCGCTGACGTCCGGATCCCGGGCCGCAGAGCCCGAGGCAATCTGACGCTTAACGGCTCGACCTCACTTCGGCCGACTTGCTTACCCGCTTATGGTTGAAGTGTAGTAGCAGGTGGTGTAGTGCTTGAAATCAGACCTCCGATTTCTTTCGCGCGCTTCAAGATTCGGGGTACACAGGGAGAATAAAGGGAGCAAATTATTGCAAGGCCGACCCAGCTAAACGCGCTCATTGTTGCCAATCGAGTCGATAGAAACCGAAACCAAAACAAAATACTATTTTTTTTTTTTTTGGCGCACGTTTTGCGATTTGGTGCATAATGGCGCCAGGTATTGGTTGTGGCGCAGTTTCCGCAACATGGCGCAGGATGGCGCAGACAAATTCGTATGGCGCAAAATGGCGCAAATGGCGCAGCCGTTCCACCCCTGTGCCTCTACCCGCATTGATAGCACGCCGTGCCCGACGCCAAAGTATTTGGCAACGCGATCGTTGGCATTCCCCGCTTCCCCAGCATTGCTCTTCGTCGCTTCTTTCATCTGCTCACTAGCTTGCCTGGTTGTTTTCTTTTTTTTTTTTAATTTTCTTGTTGACTTTTTTTTCTACTAACGAAAAGAACATAGTGGTGTTAGAAACATGCTTTTAAAGAACAAACGTCCAAGCTGCAAGCCAATCGGCAGTGTTCATCGTGCGTATGCAGGCAACGGTGGACTTTGCAATAGTAAATGTTCTTTCATGAGCATTTTTTGCATTAAATGATGAAACTAATTCGAGTTTTGAGTTTAATGTATTTTTTGTGCAGCTACGCTAGATAAACACAAAAAAATAGGTGCTTTTTCTTTTTTTAGCTTTTTTATAAACGTTTTGTGCTTACCCATTGAGACATGGCCCACCCCATTGTTTTTATGTTTTTCAGGTGGCAGGGCGGTAGGCAATGACCGGGGATATTACGGTAGTAGTGTTCGGCACATAGCTCTGTGCCAAAGGGTGGTTCAAACCTGCTAAAAACTGATTAAACTGAAAAACCTTTTTACCCACTGGCAGTTGTAGTGGAAGAAATTTGGGAGCCTAGAAAACCCGTGAGGGCACTCTGGGGAACCCCGGGGGACACTGTGGGTCCCCCAGAGCACCCTCATGGGGAACTCAGCTTGAGAACTCCAATTAATCATTTGCATGAGCAGACGCTCCACCAGAGCACTTTCTTCAAACAGTCAACCGGCAGTGGGAGCAAAATGAACAGGAAGTTTGAATGGGTGGGAGACCTTTGGGCCATAGGCGACCTACAGAAAGCTTTGTTGCAAATTGGAGCGCAGCTTCGTGCCAATTCTGTAGAATGTGAAAGAGTGCAGTCAACACATATTTCTGCCACTAAATATGACACCAATGTAAAAGGAAAAACTAACTGCTAATAAAATGTCCAATATATAATGCTGACCATGCCTATATTTTTAAAGATGAAATGTCTTTTTATCAAAAGTAGTGCTTCTCGGTCGTCTACGCGCCCATCTTTCACAAAGAAATGTTTGACTTTTTTGGGTACGTCTGCCAGAAATCTGCCACATGCCACGTGTGTGGTGGAGCTGGCAGCACTCATGGCTCCTTTACAAAGGCATAGGATCCAAACCCCACCAAAAGAGTCCTTTCCTCTTTACATTCTTCGCTATTCTTCCAGTTAATCCTTGGAACTTATCACAGGTTCTAATTTAGAACCTTAAGCGTGTATGAAAGCAGCCCTGACGCACTGCATGAGCCAGTCTTTTGCTACAGTCCTCGACAGGGCGAGAACAGAAGGAAGTCAGATGTCCCACCTCCAGCGTGAGCTTCTGACCTTTGACAACGTTTTGGCGTTTCCGGAGTCTCGAGTGTGCACAGATACCCAAAGCACGACGAAAGGCAACGAGCACGCGTTGGAGGCCAGGCGTTCGAAAGAGATGACCTGCCATTCTAGCCTTGTCAGTGACAATAGCCCTCAATCCTGCTGTTACACAAACATTGACGCCTGCGACGCCAGTTACTGTATTTGGTTCTGTTGGCACAAGTTTTAGGCACAAAATTTTTTTCAGCTATTCGTCGTTTTGTTGCCTCTCATCTGTGACAATAATCCCTCGTCAAGACGTCTGCTACGGTTGGTTTCGCCCCCGCCACGCGCTTCGTCTCCCCGTGCCTCGACGCAACATACCGGTGCCGAGTCCATCCAGGAACGCCAGCCGGGCGCCGTGGACGTAACTGGCCGCCAGGCTCATGGCACCGCTCGAAGTGCAGCATTTGACCAGGTCTGCCCAGGCGAGCACGTCGCGAGCGGTGGCCACGCACCGGTGGCCCAGCTCGTCAATGCGGATCCAGTCCAGGAAGTCGGCCATGGCCGCGCCAAGCGTCAGAGAACCCAGCCGCACGTCTGCCCCGAGGTTGTGGTCGGCGATGGCGGCTAGGTCGGCCGAGGAGACCGTGCTGGGACACCAGATCTCCGTGAAACGGTTCCTCAGCGCTGGCGAGAGCTGCAGAGACAGGTGAATGCGAGGCGTCTTTGGTTACCCGTGGCAACTACCGAACACTCCCGGGATGCTACCTACAATTTTTGTCTGTAGCACCAGCAGAGAAAGGTTAAGTTTAAGATAAAACATTTCCTCCCAGTTGAGGGTGAAAATTGTCCTAAGTAGAGTAGTATAAGAAGTTCGTGTCGTGCATCGCCGCATTTCAATCTGTCAATGAGTCTGCCAGAACACAAAACACAATCTAAGAGTGAATAAACCTAGGCAGTTTCGCGATTTTGAACGTGCCATATTTACCGGGTCCATGGTCACTGACTACATAAAATCAAAGTAAAGAGAGGTTCTGAAACTTTCAAAACTGCTGTCTCGACGAGGTGTTTACCATGTTGAAACGTCGTCCTCTCACATTCTGTCTGCCGACAACTAAAACTAAATGTAATGCAGCTTACCCCAAGTTAAAAAAAAGTTAATGCTTGACATTTCTCTAATTAGAAAAAAAGCTGCTAGGGCAGCTTAGGTCGCCAGAGTCCGGTGTGTTATTCACGGCCCGAAGATGACGTTGCAGCGAGTTTCGTGGCTCCAGAATCTCGTACAGTGTCCAGTTCACAGCCTCCCAGAACTTCACTTAGGCTGCACTCTTGTTTAATCCATACTCCACGTTTGCCTCTTTAAGGTGACACTGAACACTTAACACCCTGGCCTCATTGACTAGGACAAAAATGTCCAAACTTTTTGTCTAAGGAACTGGATTGGGGACCTGTTGCAGTCCCGAGAGACAGAAAATAAACAAGACAAGATAAATGATGAAATACTAAATATATAATCCTAGATAAGCATTGAAATACAAAATTAAAAATGAGAGTAAAAAGAAATTAAAGGAAGATCCATTGGTGGATCTTAAAGGACACATGCAAGGGAAAAGAACATTTTTTTTTTTAAACAGCCTAGATGGGAAAAGGAAGTCATAAAACAAATTTACAACGAACAAGAAAAATTTTAGAGCTACATATTTCCGGCGCAAAACGAATTTGTAGTTGGCATCCGCAGAAAAGTGGCCGCTATTTATCACGTGACTGGCTGCTATTTATCACGTGGTGCTTTCACTCCTTTGGAAGCTTCCTATGGTCTCTAAAAGTTACTTATTCATCTTTGTTTGAAGTGCAACAAAAAAAACGAAGATTAATAAGCAACCTTTAGAGCCCTAAGGAAGCTCCTGAACGAGCGCAAGCACCATGTGATAGACCTGTGCGCCGGTCAGAAATTTACGGAGGTGGCGTTCTGGAGTGTTCCCCCCTTCCATTGGCGGCAGTGGTGGAATGTAAAACTGCGTTCAACCGTCGGCGTACCACGCTCAGCGTGCGGTGGCGGCGTGGTGTGACGCACTGCGCCGCCGCACTGCGCCGCAGCGGCGCAGTGCGGCAGCGCACAGGTCTACCACGAGACCCGCGGCGGCTCCTGCGGGCGCCAACTACAAATTCGTTTCACGCCGTAAGTATAGCTGAACATTTTTTTCTTTGTTGTAAATTTGTTTTATGACATTCTTTTTTCATCTAGGCTTGTTAAAAGAAAAGTTTTTTTCCTTTGCATGTGTCTTTTAACGAATGCGTTAGCATGACCCTTTGGAAGCGCCATGCATATCCCCTTTCGGAAAACGCTAACACTGACCCCTTCACTTTTCTGTTTTGGCTTTTTCCTTCGCTTCCTCTATTTTTCGCTGCCTCTTTTTGGCTTTATTACGGAGTCAGAGTTAGCGTTTCCCAAAGGGGGATGTGTATGGCGTTTCCCAAGTGTCATGCTAATGCATACCCTAGGAATCCACCAATGTTACTTCCTTTATTTTTTCCGGCCTTGTGGGTTTTCATTTGCCAGCGCTTAGCAACGGCATCCACTGCCTGATGCTGCTTTGACTGTTCCCTAGTTTCGGCAGGCCGTCTCCTTCGTTCACAAACCGTCTTCTTTCGCCGCCTACTTGGACCGGTGTTAGTACTTGGTTCACACTCAATTTTGTGGCACAACCCAACCCGCATGCGCTCCGCACAGCTGCAAGTTCAGACTCGCCCCAGCATCCGCGCACGCATTGGCTGCCGCCCGTGATGCCGCCTCCCTCTCGTCTTTGTCCTACAGTACTCTCCTTCTCTCTATGGGGCGCGCTTCCCTTTCTACTGTTTTGTCCACGGACGGATGCCATCAGATTTTGCTGTCATGTAGGTACTAATGCTATTGCATTAAAAACATATCTAAGGTAGATGAATACACATACTTCATTTTGAAATTCAATATTAAGCTAATTATGACTGAAAAATAATATGGAAGGGAACTCACCAAACATAAAACAAAGTGCAATGAAACTTTGGCATACTCACACAGGGCTAATGAGAATGGTAATGAAGCCAAGAATATGCAAAAGTTACGACACAGTACACTAAGCACAATATACTGAGAATGCAAAGGAATTTTCACATACGTCGTTGGATATAAAACGGGAACGAGAAAGGTGTTCATGACAATTTCCAATTATTAATATGGCGAGAAAACCCACGCTACGATAGGTCGTTTTCTCTAGTTTGAGCGGTAGGTGCGTGTCGCGGCGCCGTTTCCTTAAGTGCATTCATTTTTGCCCCAGTAGCAGCGGGCCTACTAGAAGCGGGCCGCGGGCTGCGCTTCGTGGGAAGGACCGCGGCAAGCCATGGGCCAGTCAGAAGACCTCCATGGGCCAGATGTGGCCCCTGGGCCAAGCTTCTGAGACCCCCGGTCTGGGAGGAGCCGCACACGCCCGCATCTACTCTCTCTCTCACCTCTCTCTTGCCGAAGTCTCCGCCAGGGTTCATGGTTGCCAGCAGGCGGAACTGTGGGTGAGCCACCAGCTGCCTGCCGCCTTCCTCCGGCAGCAGCAGGGTGCGCTCAGGCTCCAGCAGGCTGTTGAGGCGCTCCAGCACGGCATCTTCAGCCAGGTTGATCTCGTCCACGAGGAAGGCGTCCCCCCGGTCCATGGCTTCCACCAGGGGCCCGTCCGCCCACTCGAACAAGGGGCCCCCCGTCTGGCGCCCGGGGCGCAGGCCCCCCAGCAGGTCTCCGGCCTCAGAGTGGAGGTGGCAGCTCACCGAGCGCAGGCGCTGGCCCTGCAGCGCTGCCCAGAGCTCGCACAGCGTCGTCTTGCCACACCTGGATTGGCATAAATGCCACGAGGAAACCAGAACCTTTTTTTCTTAGCATGCTGAATCGCAGTCCAGACAGGCTGTTTTCGTGTTGACTTTAAGAAGCAAATACAGCGATGTGACATTAATGTAAACACCTCCATTCCTCACGCTCTAAAAAAAAAAACATCCTAAGTCTTTTCCAAATAAGAAGCCACTTCGGTGGCTTCGAGGCAACGAGCCAGACTACAGATCTCCAGGTGGCGAGTTTGATTCCTGGCCGAGGTGCCCGTAATCTGACGGAGGCGTGTTGCCGAGCTTTTGGATGCACGTCAAAAGATCCCCAGGCAGTAGAAACTATTCCTCGGTTCTCCACTAGAGGATGCCAGATGCCCTTCGTTGGTTTGGCACGTAAAACCCACAATATTGATTTGATTTTTACAGTGAAGCTGTTATGCGCTAGGACCTGGGAAAAAATACGTCCACGGACGTTGACAGAAAACTCCCCATTGGTCATGGCAAGTATGAATAAATAAAAATCAAAAAGAGGGGGGCAACCAGCATGAGTCAGCCTTTTCTTGGCATTATTAGATAGTGAGGTCCTAATCCCTTGTTATCATCTGTAGGCGTCGTCCTTGAGGTCGTCCTAGGCATTGTCCGAGAAGTAATCCTTGAGATCGCCTGAGAGGTTGTCCCCTAGGTGTCGTCCTCAAGGTCGTCCTAGAAGTTGTCCTCGAGGGCGTCCTAAAAGTCATCCTCAAGGTCGTCCTAGACGTCGCCCTTTAGGTGTCGTTCTCGAGGTCGTCCTAGAAGTCGTTCTTGAGGTCCCCTTGAGGTCGTCCTAGATGTTGTTCTCTAGGCGGCGTCCTAGACATCAGTCCTCTAGGCATTGTCCTTGACGTCGTAGAAATGACAGCTTCGCTGATCCTCCAAGTGAAGTGGAAGGGCTCTACAATTTTTAAACAAGACTAAAATTTTTGAGCAAACCCTGCACGCTTTTGCATCCGTGGTTTGCTTCGTGTAACTGTCGAAGCAAGCGGCAGGCATCTGTAATATACCCCACTTCAATTATGCATATGGGCGGAAATACACCGAACGAATGTATTCGCTTCTGAATGGAAAATATAGTAAGACCTGGGGTCTTATTATGATTATATACATATAATGTTTGAATAGTAAAAGAGAAATATTTGAATTGCAGTAATGCCACAACAAAAGTCGTTGGTTGGTTGCGGGAGGCCCATTTGCAGGAGAAGACAGCTATATAAAAAAAACTTTCAGCCTTTCCACTTTGGTGAAGAAGGAAGACCAGCGAAGCTGTACTATAGTGGAACAATCCCCAGGACAACTTCTTGGGCGATTTCAAGGACGACTTCTAACTAAAAGGTTAGATCACCCAATGTGCAAAAATGCGCGTTTTGAGAGGTAGCGCCACGTATGAACCGAACAAATAACAGCGGGGGCGCCGCTGCTGGCCTCTTTGCGAGGCATCAAGAACCAGTGCAGACTAAAGCCAACCAGCAACCACGGCATTCGTAGCGGAGCTGCAAATGGCGACGATGCGGAAAGCCGTCTCTCAGGAGACAAAAGTGAAGGAAGTGGACAGCGGTGGACAGCGGTGGACAGCGGTCGGAAGAAAAAAGATATTGCTGTGGACTTCAAGCTTGCACCAAACACAAAATTGACCGCATCTCCACGTGGTGAATGATGTTGATTGGGGCGAAGCTCTGGTGGTGCTTGTCTACGTAGACGCTGAGCCGCAGCATGCCGAGCCTTTCGTTCGTTGTCATCTATGTCAGAAAGAGAATGTGTGGTATGGAACGTGGTTTTATACGCATTTGAGCATTTGACCGCAGTGCCCTCTCGTCTATAAACATTAAGCCAATGCATGCAAAGTTTAACGCGATTATATATGCATTTGACCGCAGCGCCCGCCCTGTATAGACGTTGAGCGGCTACACGCAACATTTCATCCATGACATCCCCAGCTCTTGAGTTACTACCACATCTTAGAGCCCACTACTTGTCCCGCAGTCGTGGCCGAGTGGTTGAGGCGATGGACTAGAAATCCATTGGGGTCTCCCCGCACAGGTTCGAATCCTGTCTACTGCGCAAATATTTTTTTTTTCATCATTTTTTCTTTTCTTCCCTACACGAGCACGAGCATCAGCAAGATCGATGTGAGCACCGATGCCGGACGGACAAAGCTAGACCCTAAGGAGCTTCGCCCCTAATATCTACATCCCGAGTGCAAGGAAAACGATTGAAGACTGCTATGCAAACAACACCGTCCAGATTGACCAAAACAGACTTAGGCCTTGCCTCCACTTGGACGTGGAAGAGACTCTATTCTCATGGTTTAAGAACCTAAGGGCGCGAAATCTGCCAGTGTCTGGTCAGCTTCTTCAAACGAAAGTAATCGGTCTGGTGTGTCTGTTAGGGCACGATGATTTCAGCGCGAGCAGCGGTTGGTTCTAGCGTGGTGGCTCCAGGAGAAGAGGCAACAGCCCAAAATCATGCGTTTTTTCAGACAGATGGAATAATAGATCCAGCTAACGTCGTTTCTCGTGTTGCAAATTGATATCTTCATGCTCAAATCTATTTTTTTCATGTTGCTTAGTTACAGGTAAGGATTTCGTGGTCCGCGATAGCGAGTTTTTATATCTTAGTGCTGTGCACATTCTTGCACGGGCTCGATTGCCGAACGTTCGCATCAATTTTTGTGTGTACTTTATAACGAATATCGCATATAGCGAACAAATTTCTGCTCGCGATGCTAGTTCGTTATAACGAGGTCTGACTGTACCTAAAGAAGAGAGTTTACGTTTGCTTCCGATTCCACGACAATGAAACACAGGCTAGTGAAAGACGGCCTTCGAAAAAGAGCCTTCTGGCAGGCTTGCTCTGGCGATCGATGGATCGCCGAGGGCTGGTTCACACGTGTGTCTAAAGCAGAGGTAATGACTGCAACTGCTCGGAACGACACCCGAGGATACTTTGAGGAACCCAGTTTGACAAGCTATGGCTTGCCCGATACTCCATCTCATGCCCCATTCTCGCCACCTACCCGGTGTCTCCAACCAGCAGGACCGGTTCTTCGAAGCGCCACGCTCGCTCCAGCAGCGCAGCCAGACGGCGGGCATCTGCCGTCCAGACAAGGTGGGAGAACCCGGGAGGCGGAACCTCGCAGGGGACGCGAGAGAACAACCGCTCAGGGTCCACCTTGCACTTGAAGTGCTTGGCCAGCACCTCGGAAACCAGCTGCTCCTCTTGAGGGCGCCGGACACGTCCGGCAAGGAGGGCATATCCTGCGGTAAAAAGGTGCAATCTCCGTTCAGATGTGGCTCTGACCAGTAACAGGCCTCGATTCACAATCCAAAGCATTTGCGACGCGACCGAGTAATAATAGGGCATTACTCAAATTTGAGCGAAACATCAGCAAACATTCAAATACACTACCCGCATCGGCTGTTAACTCCCCCCATACTTTCCAATGTGTGGAACAGCTTTGGCGTGGCTATGTGACAAGCTCGAATCAAAGCACTAGAATCAGCAAAACATTAAAGTGTTTGAAGCTGGCAAAAACAACTAGGAGTGGAAGCCTCGAAGTGATAACCAATGTTGTGCTAAGAGACTGCTTATGAGCCAAGTTTTTTCAGCAAAACATCGGCCGACACTAATTCTTCCTTCACACTGGCGTTCGAATCGCAACCGCTAAGCAGATCCGCTTGCTTTCATCATCAAATGTGCGTAAAACAGAACTGAATCATTAAGCAACCGTGTCCGCAACTGCTTCGCGAACGCCATTCAATCGCCAGTGTGAATGAGGCCATAAGAGCCTCTCAGAAGACCCTCCTTCAAAGCCGTAGGGTATCTAGCAAAGATCTATAATGTTTAACTAGAGAATGTTGTCGGTCCTTTTACGTCTGTACACAGCCGGTGACCACATAGCTGAGCATCTGCAGAAACAAAACACTCTTAAGCAAGTGTCAGCTGCTAGGCACTCACCTTCCTCGGCCAAGTACTGGTTCCAGTCGAAGAAGCCGCCGGCAGGGGACTCGGTGCGGCGGTACCGCTCCGCCCAACGGAAGAGGTCCCGCAGGGTCATGTAGCCGTGGCGCCCCGCAAAGACGCCGGTCTCCCGCCGGCGCAGCTGCAGCTCGCACATGACGGACACCATCCTGGCGCCATACGAAGGCGGAAGCTTGCAGCGCTCCTTCAGGATCCCTGCCAGTTCCTCAGGTGGCAGCTCCTCGAAGTGCAGCTCCAGGAAGCGGTTGCGGAAGGCTCGGGAGAGCACCTGAAGGAGGACTCTGTGACACACCTCGCTACCTCTCCACTCGCCGCCCGGGTTCGGGGACTAACCTTGCGTCCTCCATAGCGCCCCGGCGGGTTTTGTGTGGCAAAGAGCATGAAGTGTGGATGCGCCCGTATCGTCTCTTGCGTTTCGGGCACGAAGAGTTCCCGGTTGTCGTCCAAGACCTGGGATGACCGACAAGGCGAATAATTTCGCTTCTCCCAAGCAATGGCTCGTACTAAAAGGTCGGCAATATTTAAGTGGCAGATAATGTAGGATCACATAGAGTGGCTTCTCAAGAGAAGACTCGGAGGCAGGATCCCTTAGAAAGAAGCAAACATTGACCAGCGGCGAGAAAGGTTCCTAGATGGGGAGCACATACCCTATTCAGGGCTTCGAGGATCTCCGAGCAGGCCAGGTTGAGTTCGTCCAAAACAATCCAGTGTCCCTTGCGCATGGCCTCCACGAGTACGCCCTCGCGAAACACCAGGCGCCCCGTTTCGGGCTCAGCACCGTAGCTACCGAGGTACTCCTGGCAGCAAAGACCACAAAACAAGCACCTCAATGTCACCAAATAGTCAGCGGAAAAAAAAACAACAAATGTGCAAATTTTCTCCTCTTTGCATTATATGTAGGGTTCAGCGTTTTCGGTTTTTATTTTTTCAAAATTCGGCGTACTTTTTTCGGTGTTTATTATAAAATTCGATTTTCGGCTTTTTTCGGTGTATATTTATTCTCAAAAAGTTTTACCGTTTTTTTTTGGTGAACATGAAAGAAACGCCATCGGACACGGAATCAGATGATCACTCAAAGTATAACGGCACATATATATATACGTGGTCTTCGCTACAACTTCCGTTAGGACACACCTCAAAATCGCGGAATTCGCGGGCATAATTTTCAGCACGCTTCTTTTTCCTTCCCATTCTGACGGCGTGACCGTCTGAGGTGAAGACCGTACAGAAACCAGTGAAATGGCAAAACAAAATCTATTGTATTTATGTTTTTAACCACAGGGAAGTTTGAGAGAGGGTGATAAGAAGGTATCAACGGCCTTCCTCGATGTCTTCTGAAGTGCATGACACCCAAACATTTTTTAGGAACAGGAACTTGACACACTAAGCCCGATCACAGAAAGGACACAGATGTCCCGCGAAGGCCAATCCAAGATCTCTTTTGTTGCATGCTGAACCTTGGGAGAGGGCAAACACGAAGACGTCACACAATGTCGAACCTTGCAAAGCCCTCTCTCCCCTTCCTCCCCCCCCACCCCCCCCCCCCCCCCCCTCGACGCGGCCCTAAGAAACTAACCTTTTTCGGTTATAACCGAATTTTAGAAAACGGATTAGACATTCTTTTATTGGTTTAAACCTAAAACGCGGAACCTACAAACTGACCTTTTTCGGTTAAAACCGAATTTCCATAAATGAATTCGGCGTACGTTTATCGGTTTTTATCGGTTTAAACCGAAAACTCCGAACCCTAATTATATGCTGCCTAGATCCTGTTTCCGAGACCAGATATCAATGGGTTCAAAATCGGTACGCATCTGCGAGGCACCGCAATAAATAAACGAGCGGTGCTAGAACGAACAAATGAAGCTGAAAACGTTTGATTGCCGCTAGTATGCAGGTTAATAAAATGAAGCGCGATAGGTAGTTTTTCACGAGCCCGAGCGCGCCGTGATGCCCAGTTTGGTGCGTGCGACAGATTTTAATGACAAAATTAGGAGTTAGCGAATACCGAATAGTAGTTATCGAATCGAATACCGAATCGAATTAAGGGGGAACACTGGTCTTGGAGCTTTTTTTCTTATTTTATGACCAAACTCAATGAAACTGCAGAAGCTTGTTCAGCTTTTTATGCTGATTTCATATATCTGGTAATTTCCTCAGTCAGTAGAATTGTCCTGAAGATAATTAAAACTTGCCTTCCTTTCTTTGAATGAATGATAGGGAAAAAACTGCTCAACAAAATGTCCTTTTTAACAGATGGCCAGAAACTATGAACTGTAAAGAATACAATGTTGGAAGTACTTTTAAGATAAACCTATTATTAGCAATTTTACAACATATTGAAGGTCAGTGCTCAATGCATGGCTAACAAGTGATAAAAGAAAAGATCAAATAAAATATTTTCTAGACTTATATTAAAATATTTGCTCTCAACATTGTATGCTTGACACATTGAGCAACACATTTCAAGAAAGGTTATATTTCTGACTGCTGTAGATGCTGAGATATCCCTCCTGCAAATTTTCAATGAGTCCAAAAATTGTGTTATGTGAAAACAATGTTTTAGAGTCAACTTTAATGCACATTCAGCCCGCATAGACATAATAAATTGATTTATAGCTTGAATATTTATCCATGAAATTAGAAGCTTGGTTGATTCAGAAGAACAACAGCCATCGCTGTTTTCAAAAGAATGCAGTTTTAGGAAGTTTTTGGCTCCAAAGACCCATGTGCCCCCAGGAAGAAAAGCCAAATATCAAATCGAATATCGAATAGTGATTTTATTTGTAGTAATTTTTGAAAGTGTACTGTGAATGAGATTATTATATGTGCAGAGTACGCGCCTGGTGCAGAATATGCATCTCGTACGGAACAAAAGTTCAAATATATAAAAATTCTGGTGGAAAAAAAAGAAAAAAGCAGCTGTTGATGGACGTTGGGCACTAAAGATCCAATTTTATGGCGCAAACAATCTATCTACCCTAAGCGTCACAAAAAAACCCAAAGTTACAACCACGCATGTCTTTTTTTTCTCGTCAAAAGCACGACCTAACACCGCGACGTCTTTTTTTTTAAATATTTATATATCTCAGAAAAGGGCATTTTGCGATATTTGGTCTCAATTTTAAGGGAGAAAAAGGGCACCCGGGATTTGATTTTATATAAATAAACAGATAGCTGTTAAATCAGAGTTAACAGGCTTAAACAATATAATCTGAAGTAAAAAAAAAAACATGTGGCTAGGTGACGCAAGTAAACCGTCCAACTGCCGCTATGCATCCATTTCTCTGTCCATCTCTCCCGTTTTAGCGAGCCTGGATTTCAAAGAGGAAGCAAGCGAAACTGAAACCACGGGAACGACTCCTTCGCAAATTGGTCGTAAGTGCACATGTGTTGTGTTATCGAAAGAAGGCGAGCAAACAGAAGAGACACGACGCAAAGATGGACGACGCCTGCCCGACCGACGCTTTCATCTTTTCGTCACCTTCTCGCATTTCGTAATTCAAACGCGACTATCGAACGGTTGGAGACCCACTCAAATCTAGGCACACTATTTTTCCGTTCCGTTTCGTTCCGAATCAGAATTTGCGGCTTGCGGTTCCAAAACGATGACTACTTGGCTGGTTTCATCGGCGTGGTTAACATGGTTTTCATTTTGTGATCTTGCAGTCGCCAATTTCTGTGGGTGTGGCAAGTGTGTTCTACATCGGCGCTTCAGTTTGAAACGAGGGTCTTTACCCGCGAAAAGAATTAGGCACGGCTCGGAATTCTGGCCTCCCAACAATTCCTCTCTGGAAGCAGTGCAAACCGGATGTTTCGGTTGTGATTCAAGGTTAGATTGCATCACGATCGTGAGTAAATCTGCTTGCTAAAAAGTTTGTGGCATTCGTTACTTCTCTTTTTTCGAACCTGCGCGTTGGATTTTTGTGGAATGGTGGGACCAAGAGGTGTTTCTCGCATGGTCTGTCTAACATCACGGCGCTAACATCGGGAGAAAAAACGGCTCTTTCGTCCACTCTGCGCCAACCGGGCGTCTTTGGCCGAATATATTGAATATCCGAGCGACCAAATAGTAGGAATTTTATTCGCGAATCGAATTATTCGGAAACTTTCTATTCAATTCGAATTCGTATATTTGAGTATTCCCACACCCCTAGATAAAATTCTACCCCGCCCTTGTATGACCCTTAGAGAGGAAAGACTCGTGTCCTGCTAGTATGTCTCGGCCTCTACGGCAGACCTTCAGGGTTCTTGTCAGACGCAGAAATAGAAAGGCCCTAGAGACCGATACGTGTTCAAAACTTACCTCCAGGTCAGTGTGCTCGTGGTTGTTGAGGCGCATGCAGACGTGTCCCGTGCGGGCGGCCAGCCAGCGCACCAGGCTGGTCTTTCCAGCCGACGTCTCGCCCTGCAGCAGTACGGGGTGGCGCCCACAGGCTGCCGCCCTCGCGAGGTCCCGCAGGTTCCGTCGCACGGTGGTCGTGAGCACGTAGCCCTCGGGGGAGACTGGGTCCAGGGGCCCCAGGGCGACCCAGTAGCCCTCCAGCTGCACCGAGGGGCGGTCCAAGGGTGCCGCGGGGCTTCGGGGGACCTTCTGGCCGATCAGGCGCTTGCGGATCAGCGACTCCACGGCCGGGTGGGATCCGCGGTCGAGGGCCGTCAGGAAGCTGAGGCAGAACCCCTGGCGGCACAAGAACGACGCTTTGTTTCGAAGAACCGTCACTCTTTCTTCATTCGGCGCGAATATGCTTTGTACCTCGCCAGGAATCGATGCTCGGACCTCTAGCTCTGTAATCCGACGATCTACGACTGTGCCAGAGAAAAAACTCGGATGTCGTTAAAAGCTGCGACATACTAGTGTTGCCGCAGCAACAACCAATGTGGTCGTATGTGTCACACGCAACCATAGGGATAACCGACGCTTTCTCGTAGGAAGTGACGGTACAAGTCTCGGTACGTAAACGATGGACCTTTTTCAAGTAGCGAATGCCATCCGGGGAGTTGTCTACGAACTGCAAATGAGCTGCAGCCCAACGTGCCCCCGACCATCGGAACACATTGGCATCGTGCTTTTGCAGTGGTTTGCATGGCTCTTTATGCCCCATACTATCGATACTGAAAATATACAAAATATGTTAAAAGATAGGTGCTGAATATGTTGGTCATGCTGGACGGTGCCCTCCGAAAATAACGACAGTGGGGAAGCAAGTCCAGGGGAGAGGGTGTATACATGCGCAGAGGCTTACTGAAAAAAGATTACTTACACCGAGACTTACTGACCTGAAAACAATGCTATGCATGATGGCTTTGCCAGGGACACCCCTAAACACACTTAGCTACAACAAGCCGTCCGTGGTTGTCCTGTCCTTCCAGAAAGAGCACTCCAAAACGTTGCACAGTTTGGAAGAACAAGTTCACTGCATCCTGCATGCGGCGTATTTGTAAGCGCACCTGCTATGTCGGCGATGAGAGGACGGAAAAACCACGGACTGCTTGTTGTAGCTAAGTGCGATCAGACTTGTACTATGGCCAAAGTACCGCCTGTTCCTTTTTAGTGGCTCCAGTTCAAACAAAAGCCCACCTGGTACAGAGAGTGGGCCCAGCTGCCGCAGGGGTCACCGGCGGCGTAGCGCAGCGCCCTGCAGAGGGTGCGCAGGCTGTAGTGGGGCCGACGTCCCGTGCCGTCCGCTAGGGACTCCTGGGCCGCCCGGCGCAGGTCTAGGTAGAGCTCCACGGTGGGACGGGTGGGGCCCCCTCCCAGGTAGGCGTCCGCCACGAGCTCCAGGTCGCATGCGTCCAGGGGCTCTTCAAGGTACACCTCCGTGAAGCTGGAAGAGGCCGCACCGCGTTAGCAGGCACCTTAAAACTTCCATCACTAGGTTCAGGGCGACGACAGCATCCGCTCTGCGATTGGATTCCAGCTGAATGTCCTTTTTGTTTATCATGTTTTAGAATGCAATGTACTAAGATGTCCAGTGTATCAGTTAAAAGACAGCTGGTAAGCAAGTTGAAGATGGGCACAATGACACACATAAGATGAGGGTATCTTGTCATTTTCTTCTGCCCTTACAGTTTTTTTTAATTTCTATAATGTCTCAGACAGTTTCATTCTTTCACTTTCAATTGTGACTAAGGTTGCATGTTCACTTCACTTATCGACAATCAACAGATTCTATTTAGAGCTTCAATTAAAGACGATAGCTGCACACCGCCATTGCAGGGTACAGCATACACTGTGCACCAATGTGTTTTTAGACGCCTCTTTTTAATATATATTGCCGCGCACGCAGCTGGCCAAGTAGGCAGCATGCCCATGGCCTAACGGTTATCGCGCTTGCCCTCCACGTAGAAGGCCAGAATTCGATTCCTAGCCGCGGCTACACATCTTTGTTCACCCTTTAATGTGATGTTCTGGTAAATTTGAGAATCCTGGTGCTTGTTCGAGGTTCGAATGTTCTACGCATCGAACTTTCTGTGCCGATTATTCCAGAAACCCACGCGTGTACATAAGGGGCTTCGCGTAGCGAGCCAGAGTCAGTTTTCACCCCAGCGTTCGACTCTGCTGTCGCGCCGACTTCGACGCCCCCGACGCTCTGCTTTCTTCTGTTCCCTTTTTATTTTGGGGCACAAGTTCGCCCCATTAAACGTTTCAGTTTCCTTAATTATTCTTTGTTTCACCTTGTCATTCGTGACAATATTACAAAATGAGTTAGGAAATTGCACTTGCTCATACAGCATTTATCATATAGCAGTGAGCTTACCGGCTGCGGATTCCTGCAGGCAGGTCCTTCTTGCCCACATCCGTAGCCGGATTCATGCAAGCAAACAGTCGAAAATTTGGGTGTCTTGGTACGGGCTCCTGGTCCCTGCAAGGACAGTGTTCGAGGCACTGGATGATAAATTTGTTCAATAACTCCGAAACAAATGCAAAAGCAGAACACAAAAGTGAGGATGCGCAGGACCGCAGAAAAAATCAGGGCAGAATATCAACTATGTTTTGTTTAGGTCCTCATCTCAATCCAAAAGGTACATGTAGAAAGTTCTTTGTGCTGGCTTGATATGTCTGCCAATAGAATTGCTGAAACAACTATTTGTGAAAAATAAAATTAGAGACAACCAGCAGGGAAGCAAAACAGCAAGCAAAAACAGCCAATGCCACCTTCTCTGAATCCATGGATTCACGTCGCAGGCTACACTGAGATAGACAGGTAAGTATTTGAGTCCCCTTGTCAGTTGCTTTGACAATACACCGCTAGACCCACTATAAAATAACCTTCTACTGATTTGCAGAAAAGTTGTATATTTGATGAGAAACGTGAGCTTCGGTCATTTGGCATTGTTATACTAAGAGTGCTAGTTTATTTTAGAAAATATAAAAAGAAACCAGACGGAGAATTGTTCACTCTAATGACGGGTGAACAATAAACACCGAAGACCAAATGACCACCTCAGGATTCGGGTTGCCTGAATGCTCACTAAAACGCGGAGCAATCGAAGCTTGCTGAAGAGCAACAGAATGTTCTCTTCTCACAATGCCATTTAGTAGGCAGAAACGAGGCACTCACCCCCTCTCGAAGAGGACGGGGGAGCTTCCGTCCAAGACTGGGGCCAGGCTCTCCAGGGCCTCCCCCTCGGCCAGGTTGATCTCGTCCAGCAGCACCCAGGTGCCCGTCTCCAGAGCGCGCACGAGGGCGCCCTGAGAAACATTAAGAGTCCCAGCATCATGATTCGGAGTCGGCCACTTTCAGATGCTAAGGTCACCAGACTAAAAGACAATTAATCAACCACTGTTTACGTGGAAGTCGACCTACACTTGCCTAACGTCGCCACAGCTGACCTATAAAATGCTCACTTGGAAATTGCCTATCAACGAACATGGATTCTCAGAGACCAAGCGGTTCTTGAAGCACCTTTCAGGGTTACCCGAGACCAATTGCTCGATCCATGAGGGAAGTTGTTCGGTTTAGATTTTGCACCCCAAACAAGTTGTTAGCCCTATTCTCACTGTTCATTCTCAACTCCTTCGCATGCTCGCATGTCTGGCCAGTTCTCACACCCACACACTGCACTCCTTGCCCTGGTACTTTCCTCTCCACTATTCCCCGTTCCCCAAGCCACAAACTTCCCCAGCCCCATGATCCCAGAGTCCTCCCTGCACATCCCCATGTGACCTCATGCTGCCTAGACTCTCACAAAGTATTTGGCAGCGGTACTCCGCAATCTCGTAATTTCCTGCACCCCAACTTGCAACGAATTATGCGAGGACTCACCTCCACAAAGGCGAAGGCCAGGCCACGCTCCGCCTGCTGAACCTGCAATTGAACCTGCTCCAGACGCTGGCCAAACTGGCGCCAGCTCTCCAACTGGTCCACGTCAGAAGCCGACCCTGCAGAAACACCGGTGCTGGTCTTAGAAGAACCATGCTTTAAATACTCAATATCTTAACCCACGGCAGTATAGTGATAAGGAGCTCTGTAGATTAGGTATCCCAAAGAGAATATACAGTAATCCCTCCTTATAACGAAATTGCTTTTTTCGATTTATCGCTTCTATCGAAGTTCGATGTGGTCCTGACCAAAATGCACACATTTTTAACCTGATTATTCGAAGTGGTACTGATGGCCGACTATGCTTATTATGAAGGCCGCGGCGCCGAAAGCATGCAAGCCTACACAGAGGCGCATGAAGACCCTTGTGTTTCCTCCCCCTTCTCCACCGAGGCGAACGGCAAACTGGGAAAACGGCAAGCAAGAAAACAGAGTAAATGGGTGACAGAGGGCAGAGCACGCAAAGTGCCGCTTCCGATGCCGATGCGCCGACGAGGACAGGAAGCAGCGTCCACGTTCCGACGCTACACATGGCACCCACGGCCGACGCTGCCAGACTCCTGTCGTAATCGGATCAAGGGAGCAATGGAACCCGGAGGAGATCATCCCTTCGGGAGCTCCTGACATGCGCGCCTGTGGCACACTACTTGCATATGTGCGTCGCATAGGAGATTGGGAGTGTTTGCCGAAAGTCGCTTCGATTTACGAGGTTGAGGAAAGTGACCGGCCCAAGTCCGAAATCGCCAAAGTCCACTGTTTTGCAAAACAAGCAAGGCCTATTGGACTGGTTCGAGAAGCTTCTCATGGAAGAAAACGTGTGTCCGCGACCTGAAGGTGAAAGATGGCCAACTGCTTTGCGCACATCAAATTTTCTCTCGCAAGCATGCTTGCCTACCGACGCTCGATTCCCAGAGCTGCAACAATCTCTACAGGAGTGTGTGAAAACATGTTGGCAAAGCCACCGAATATAACTTTGATTTGTTCGCGCTTGTTGATGCGGAGCTTCCTGTTGTTGCTCCTGCCATGGATGCTGCGATTAACCTGGCATGCAGCCAGGGTAAACATGAAGCAACGTCAGAGTGGCACCTTGGGAAACGCCGACGACTGCAAAAACGCGAAACACCCCATTGGTGCTTCGAAACAAAGTGGAGTGCAGCGGCGGTGACAGTGTTGTTGCAGTTCAAGGAGAACTGATGCCCGGATGAAATTATTGGCAAACTCCACTTAATTATTTTTTTACTACGTAAAGCTGTTGCAAGATGTTCATAACCAAGGTTTGTTTGATTCAATATACGGTCAGAGTGTTCCGCAGCGTTTCTGTCCACCTTCAAGGGTGCTGGCATTGTATTTTTAATGCGAAAGCATTAACTGTTTCATGGACAGTTAATGCTTTCATTTGGCGCGGCTTCATCAGCTTTGAAGCCGCGCCAAACAGCACTTTCCCCTGTCCCAATGGAGCGAAGTTAGTCATCTCTAGCAGAAATCTGATGGATAGGCTCCCATTGGCTGGCGCGCGTCATCAAGGAAAAGAGGCTCCCATAGGCCCTCACATGACGTAGTTTCAAGGATCGCTACCAGAGAAGCCCTGTCCATGGCGGCACAGCGCACGCGGTGACCTGGCCGCCGGGAAGAGGTGCGGCGGTGCGGGCCTGGCCACACAGCCCACTTGGGCAAACTCTGGAGAGGCTGCACGGTCGAGCTCAGCGCAGCGCGGCCACTTCACGAGGGCACGCTCTTGGCCGTCTACGCCAGTACACCGCAGACGAACTAAGGGAGTGTAAGAACGACATTCATGCTTTCGCATTCACAACTCATAAGAAGTGCTTAGGTGTCCTCGGACTTTTTGGCTCTATCGCTTTTATCAAATTACTGCTTCTACAAAATTGTTTTTGCCGTCCCGTTGACTTCGTTATAACGAGAGTTTACTGTAGTTGCGAAATTATGGCACCATAGTTTTACTTTTATGAGAATTGTAATTATAGAAACAAAAATATTCGATGTTACTGCCATTAGCTAGCTAAAGATACATTTTTTCGTCAAGGTTGCCTTGCCTGATACAGTCCAGTTAAATATTAAGAGGGTACACTGCCCAGAAAAAAATATGTCTGCAAAAAAAGTTGATTTTGAAAAATGACATAATTTACATCCACCAACATCTAGAGAGTATTCCCAGAAAGTTTAATTAGTTTAGACTGCATAGTTAATTTTTAATAAATTATTTTCTGTCCATCGAAGCTAAAGAAAAGGTAGGGTTTGGAGCACTTTGAACACATTTTTCTCCATTCAACTGTTTGGTATAAATTCCACTTTAGTCAATCTATCACCGGGGACGAATCAAGAACTTCGTTTTTTTGGGGGGGAGGGGCGGAAAATTTGTAAGGATACTATTCTCCCATTCTTTCTTGTGCACCGGCGGGTCCACCCATGTCGAATTGCCCTCTGAGAAGAGGGGAGGGGGGGGGGTCGACTTCGTTTGGGGGGGAAGGGGGGGGGGGGGCGGTTGCTCCTGTCGCCCTCCCCTTGGATCCGCCACTGATCTGTCGGGAGTGTGAGGGATCGACTTCGTTTTTTTTGGGGGGGGGGGGGGGGGGCGGTTGCTCCTGTCGCCCTCCCCTTGGATCTGCCACTGATCTATCGTTTGATAATGGCAATACAGGGAAGGCTCGTTCTTCACTTTTCCTGACTGAAATTTAATAAGGAATGCGGCTATGGAATGTTTTTGTCACTTTACGGATGTCTTTTATAAAAAAAAATATTTTGACATTTTGCCGAAGACACAGAGGACCAAAAAGTTGACCAATTTTACAGAAGAGAAAAGTTATAGAAAGAAATGACTTTTTACAAAAAAAACTTTCCATAGCCGCATCCCCTAGGCATCCTGCTACATATCTAGCGAATAAAAATCTTGAATATTGTGATATGTTTCCGACGACAGATTAACCAAACAATGTTGCTGATAGAGGCTGCTCTAATTTCCTTCCCATTTAACAGACATGAAATTTCGTTATGCACCATCTAGCTTGACCACCAGCCTACCCTGTAAATTACATTAATTTTAAGCCAAGGGTTCAAAAGTTGACCCTTTGAGGGGGTGTTTCCCCTTAAGGGGGGACACTAGCTAGAGGTTGAACTTTTGAACTACACTCAAGTGATCGGAGTGAAATTTGCAGGGGAGATTTAACGTTGGATGTAGGTTTGCTGTGCAAACTTTCAGCTCTCTAGGACAACTTTACATACCTGCATAAGAAGATGTGTCACTCTTCGTTAAGAAATCTGTGATATGCAAATGAAGCTATTGAGCACCATTTTAACTGCTTGAGTATAAAGTGGGGGATGTGGGACTTCGGGCTATCTAGTTTTTATAACTTAAATGTAAATATTTCAGGACGGGTGATTACCTCAAAATATGAGATGCATATCTGTCCTATGTAAATTTTTGAAAACATAGTGTTTTCTCAATGAGGACTCTAATGTAAAACAAAATAAACTAGATAGCCCGATTCCCCAGTAAATTTCAATTCAGAAACATCTCGATTGTAGTATCAGAATAATTTTACCTTCAAACAAAAGATTCCTTCGTATAAAATTTGCAGCAAAAAGTGGAACTGAGAAAAATGCATTCAAACATTGAGCTCCTTTACTTCGTTACTGCCTCTTACTGCCTCACAATGTGTTGAAAATATTTTATATCATGTAACTATTTGGCGCATGGTTATGAAATTTAGTGTAAGGGTGTATAATTAGTTTCTAAAACCGAAAACCTCAAAATTGAAAAATGAATTTTTTCAAAAAATTTTGAAGCTCAGGCCCATGTCCCCCCTTAACAGTTCCAATTATAACAAACAAAATTACTATAACAAACAAAGCAAGAGCCTCACTTTCCGATTAAAAACTGCCACATGCAGGTGCAATTCGAATTATAAAAAAATCCTAATTTATAGTCTGTTACAACTCAAGAAAGTAGGGCGAGGGAAAGGAAGGCTGGGGAGGAGGAAGCAGACAAACCGCTAAATAGAGGAGGTTTCCCCCTCTCCACTCCAGCATTCCATCTGCTTCCTCCTCCCCAGCCTTCCTTTGCCTCGCCCTACTTACTTGAGTTGCAACGGACTATAGCCAACGTATACTGCAACAATTTTGCTTGTGTCACACTAAATGAGTCAAACTCACATCAGCCAGAATAAACGTGTTTCGGGCTCGAAGGCACAAGTCTGTTATCATTGTGCTTTTTCTTTCTACGTTGTACATAAACACCCACCTGAGAGCCGGGACATGGCACACTGCTGGCTGTGACGCATCAGACGAAACAAAGCCTGCCAGTGGCGGCCCGAGAAGCATGTCTGTAGAAATAAAGAAAAAAGAAAGAAAGAAACGACCCCAGCCTTAATCTACATGCGCTGCAAACGAGAATCCAGTTCAATAAGCACTGGAGGCTAAGAACAATGGTTACCACTATCACATGTGCCAGTAAAGCCAAAGGAAGAATGTCATATTTGTGACAAACCTACCGTGACATGAGACAAAAACTTTGCATTAGGTGCCAGGCAGAAGCTTGCGGCAAAGAGCTGCTCAAACTCGTCCCGCAGGGGCATCATCAGGATCTTGACGTCGACAGGTTTGAAGCCTCCCAACAGATCTGTGCTGTCACTTTGTTGGCTCATGTTGAGAACCGTAAGGGAGTTCCCTGGAAAGAAAACCAGGGTAAGGGACCCCAGAACAAGAAAATCACTATCATCCAGATTTAGAAAGAATGGCCACCTCCTGCCAAACAGACACTAATACAGCCTGAAACCATTGTGGCTTCGTTGCTACCTGCCCTTGCCTCATTGTCGTACTAACTGGCCTGATTTGATTAAAAAAAACATCAGGATGCCAAACTTTGCATCATGAAGATCCTTAGCCTTTTCTGGGCACCTTCAGCTAATAGCAAAGCACATCCTGCCATCCTGAACTATTGTGTAAGGATTGTTCTTTTAGGATCCTTCTCACGCACTACTGCACACAGCTCAGCTCTTTAAAGGGACACTGACATCCCCCAAAATATTTTTAAAACTTTTTGTTAGGCGATTTACTATGGTGTCAGAAGACTGACACCATAGTAATACCCAATCAATATTTTGCTTCAGTAACATATATTTTTAATAAAGTAAAAAAATGCAACTGCTCAAAACCGAAGTCGAAACGAAACTGGACTGGGGAGGAAGAAGAAATATAGAGAAAAAGACAGTTGATGGAAGTCACATGGCTGTGCAACTTTTTTTTCCTCAATCAATGAATTTGTGGCTTTTTAGAAGCCACTAAAATTGGGTACAATATTTCTTTTCTATTTTTAATATTGAGTGTGTGCCTTCGATGATCCACAACTTTGATTATCTTTAATGATTGTGTCTAAAGCATAGAAAACGGCCTGTGACCGCAAAGAAGAGAGTGAGCGCAACTCAAACCGGCCGGCTCTCGATCGTCGGTTTTCGGGCGAAAGAAAACGAGTTTTGAGCCGCAAATTGTGTTCTGGGTATTTGGGCTCTCATATGTCATGTACAAATAAAAACCTTAGCGAGTATAAATACCCTGTCAGTGTTTCTTTAAGGCAGTCATACAATGCGCTGCACCTGCACTTTTCCCGGTGAACTTCTCTGAGTAAACGAGCAACTTCCAACTCACCTGTCAGCCGAGCCAAATGCTGCACAGCAGCTGTTTTGCCCACGCCCGTCTCTCCCACCAGTAGAACAGGCTCGCGGTTGGCTACGGCTGCGGCTAGTTGCTCCAGGAGCGCGAGGGCCGGCCTGGTGCCAGCGAACACGCCGCTGTTGGACTCACGGTCGCGGCCCCTTCCTCGCCGAGGAAGCGTCACCCTCCCCACGGTGACCGCCGTCGAATTCTCCAGAATCGTTGGTTTGTGATTGGCGGTGAAATAAAGCACCTGCAATGTGCAACAAGCAGGGGGCACCATTAGTACCTTAAATCAAAGCACACAAGCTCGACGGCACCGAGCACAAGAGCAGCAGAGCAGAGTCCCTGCACGAAGGCAGATGCCGAGTTCCTTGTCACATGTGCTCACCAGTTTGATTAGGCTAGAATGAAGATAGGAAGCAAAGTGCAAGATAAACTGAAGGTAGATATTCGGTGCATATATTTGGACTTCTAAAGTGTTCTCTTTACACAGTTGAATTATTCCTGTCCAGTAAAGACAACAATGCAGGAAACTATGCGCTTTGGGATGAGTTAAGCCTCAATAGCAATTTGCAGGCACTGAGCACCGCGCGAAGATGGGCACGCAAATTAGTACCCGCCCGAAGGCCCTGCAAACACTACTGCTCGGTCCTTTGACGTGATTCTGTCTGGGTGCAATGCAGAACAATAAAACCGAGGTCATTGCATGGAACTTTGAAATTATGTTGGTCAAGATTGTGCTCACACTTAATTTACTGGCAGTATTGTGCCAGTGAAAGCGGTAAAATGTTACACATATATCGAACATTGATATCGTGCCACCTGAGATTCCGACTGCAGGTCAACTGCGGTCGGTTTAGAATGTTGCCGATAGGATGAGCGCAGGGAAGTCACCCACCTGTGCCTTAGGTAGTCCCAGCTTAGCCCCCACTGCCTGTGCTAGGGCCAGTCTCTGCTCGGGTTCTCGTACGCTCTGGCACAAACAGTCCATGGCGTCCTGAAAGGCCTCCTCAGCCACACGAACACCCTCCAGGGTGAACTCACGACCTGTCAGGCGCCTGCATAGCTTCACCAGATCCCTGTCGGGGATGGCAACATGGCAAGACCAGCAATGAGCTCATTCACCAATCATAGCTCTAACACAGCATCCCAATGATGCTCAATGGGACTGTGTGCTGACAACACTACCCATTCTATAGATGCCGCGTTTATTTTGTTACAATCTTTTGATATCAATAAGCACTACGGACAAAAGCTGAATATGACACCCATTGTCCAAAGACATCCTCAGGAGCAGTTATGAGCTGCTGCATAAACCCAATCAATTATGCAATTAATTTTTTTAAAGAATAATAGCACCTGGGAACAAACTAGCCATGTGTGAATAGGAACTTCTTGAGAGAATTGAATGCAAACAAAATAGTTATAACATTAGAACATTTTCAAGTAAAGTAGAATAATTGCGAACATCAAATCAAAAACTCTCAGAAAAATGTAAAGGCAGCATTAGAAAACAAAGCCCTGAGGTCATGATCATGAAAGTTAATCCTCAGAATAAAAGTCACATAGAAAACTGACACCCTACACACTCATTCTAGATATTAATCAAAGGTTCTATTTGCACAATTTTCAGGTAAATAAATGTGGCACTTGCACAAATAAATTTCATTTACATCTGAATTGGGAACCACACTTATACATACAATCTTGTACACCTAGACAATATTGTTGCCTTTGTGAAGATGCTGGGGCAGTTAGGTTGAATTGTGCCTCAGGAATCAGTGTTTCTCTCCACGATTACATACTCAATGAAGTCCGGAAAGTGTGAGTAGTTCCATATTGTGACTTGTACTTGCATGGTAGTGCTATTTTATTTACACAACAAATGTGCCAAAATGTATGCTCATGAAGCCAACTAGAAAAGGTGGTCTTCCCTACGTTCCCTGCCGTGCTATGGGAAAGCATCACCTATGACAGAGTGGCTGGGCGTGTCGCTTCGCCGCGGTGCACCCATGCCACGCAGGAAAGCGCACTCAAAAAGCTAAAAACATTTTAAAATATTTTAGATTAAAATTTTTCTGTACAACTATAAAATTTAAAGGTTGCACTAAGTATGCCAGTGTTTAATAAAAAGAAAATGATTTAGAAATCGTTGACGACACTGCCCTTGCTAATTGCTCACGATGTGTGCGAGAACCCACCTCTGCGAGACAGCGCGACGCACAGGAGAGCCCCTCTCCCGCAGCTGGCAGAGCATGTCCAGCAGGCGCCCAGCCAAGGGTTCCAGTTGAGGCCATTCATGAATGATCATCTGGGAAGGGCCAATACAAAAGAGTGGTGTCATCAGCAGAATGCAGCCCACTCAAAGAAACTGGCTGTGAGCATTAGTTCTTTCATTTGTTTTAACAGATACTTAGTGCCCCACAGTGTATCATTATGCAGAGGGGTACGTAAACTGTAAATGCTCACTTATAACAACAGCTATACTCATGTAAAAAAAAAAAAAATCGTTGTTTAGTTTAAATGTTTGTACCTCAGCAGTTTTACTTGTTCAGAATTGAATGCACACTGCAGAAAGATACTTGAACATACCTTGAGATGCACTTGACATAAAGGTAGAAGTTCTCTCGCTACACAACACTTACATTTCTTTGCCTCATGCTCTGATTTGAAGCACCCCGTAAAGTAGCACTGAACACTTGAAAAACATTTTTTTTAAACACCAGAATGGGACACCATAAGTTCTAAAACAAACTCACCTTCTCCCCGATCAAAAAAAAAAAAGATTTTAGTGCAATATTTACGTTGTGAGATAGGGACGATTCCTAAACATGCATAGATTTCGAGATGTCGACCCTGAAATGGTAGCATGAGTAGGAATCGCTCAAATGTGTCTTGCAACATAATTATTGAGCTAACAAATTTTGTTTGGTGGAAGGGGAGGAGGGGGCGGTGTTTTATTCTGGCAGAAAAAAAAAATGTTTTGGGGAGTTCAGTGTTTTTTTAAGACCCCCATGGAGAGTGCCAGTGAAACAAGAAGTACCACTGCCTCCCAAACGCCAGCCTCTGAACACGCACCTGTTCCATCTCCTCCCTGGATGGGTGGTCCAGGGTGACGCTGGCCCAAAGGGCCTCGGTGGGCAAGAGGCCGCCGCTTCCCCGGTGACCCCCCTCCCTGTGTGTGGCCAGCAGCTGGAACCCAGGGTTGCTGGGCAGGCCGGGCAGGGCCCCATGCTGCAGCACAGGCAGCAGCAGGCTCGATACGTCCGGAGACGCCCGCTCCAGGTCTTCCAGGAGCAGCCAGCAACCCTGTGCATGTCGGGGAGATGGAGAGGAAGAAAAATTATAGTTTAAGTTTCTAGGCCAGATGGCGTAAGCTACCGCCCGTTATTAAAGGGTACAGCTGTTAGCATCCATCCATGGCCACGCTGGGCCCCGGGTGCACTCAGACAACCACTCCGTTCAAGAGGTTCGCATTTCACGGGAACCTGCTGGGGCCCGAATGATGTTCTAAAATTTATTAGTGACTAAAATATTGTGATGTAATGCAACACACGAGTCTGCTACAGCAAAAAATTTTAAAAATGCCACAAGAAAGAGGTATTGTCCAACCTACAAAAACAGGAATGCACACTGTAAAATACCTAATATAACAAAGTGATTTGAATTAACTGCCCTGTTCTTATTTGAGCATTTCTGTAATATTTTATATTCCACGTTTAAGAAGTATAAATAACTTTAGCACTTTATAAATACAAACTTTAATAAAAAAAATAAAAAAGAGCCAAACTTGTTGGCAATTCCAAGTTTCTATGAAACGACTTCGTCGCCATAGTGCACTGCCAGAATGGATTTGAGACACCCGCAGCTTTGGGCGCTAGTACCGACATACTGTTTGGGGGCTATCTTGCAAAAGACAGAAAAGTGCTGTGGCACACTTTTCTTTTGCTCACAATCCCCAAGGCAAGACAGCCCCATGCATGCGCACGGAACGGCCACAGCAGCCTGTCTTCTCTTTACCTTCTCCGTTCCGCAGGAGTATTACGAAATCTGCACTATGAGTTTACTTTCAATATTGCCTAATGATACTGTCCTCTTTTCGGTACCATGTGCCTGAGTCCCTATGCTTATCGAATGGCTTGGGACAATGCACTCGCAGCGAACACTTGAGAAAAGTGTCCATATTACTTTTTAACTGCAAAAGATTGCAAGCCATATACAAGACCTTAAAAAAATTTGTAAAAAAAATAAAACAAAAAAAAAACACAACAATACAACAACAGTGACAATGCATTACAAACTAAACTAATACAAAACTCTATTTGATTGCTGTTTGACATTACTGGTAAATAATTTTGTAGCACCAAAATATTCCAGGCTGTGAAAGCATTGGGATGTAGAGATTTCATTGGAAATGCCGGAGCCTCATTATACTGCAATTGTGGACAAGAGGAATGGAAGGGCAGTAATGTTTGAATGGCATGAGTAATGTGTATGTGCTTGGAAGATGGCAAGAAAAAATTGCCCCCCCCCTTGTGATGCCAAGAACAAAATGGCACAAGAAGTGGGGTGACTCCCCTTCCCCCTCTCACCAGCCTGAGGGCCCTTGCGAGGGGTCCCTCCCTCCAGGAGAAGCGTCCGGCCACCCCAGAGCAGACGTATCCACCGACGAGGGTGTGGGCATCTGCTTGGTCCCCCAGCTGGACGCTGAGCAGCGGCCGGCCCAGCCGGGCTGCCAGGTCCCCCACCAGGGTCGTCTTGCCAGACCCCACGGGCCCCCGCACAAGGGTGGGACGCCCCCGGGAGACGCACTCGGCCAGCGACCTTAGGGCGCGCTCTGCTGAGGGAGGGCGCCACCGCTGTGGGGGGGGGGGAGCAAAGAGCCTAGATTTAAGAGGGAGAGCAACTCGAACCACGGAGAGCGCTTACAATGCGCAGATTGGTTGCAAGTGTGCACGTGCCGTGTTGATGAAGGGAAAGGAGGAAAGTAGACAGAGTAGCCAAGACACTCATAGACGACAAACACTTGTGACTCCTCCTTGCAGCTTGTATTGCAAACGCGACCCGTATACCACATGACCTTGATCGAGCAGCCCGAAACTCAGTAATTTAGTTACACTAGAAGGCTGTCGCGCGAGACATAGCCGGTGCGATAGCTAGCCCCACGGCGTGTGACACTATTTTATCGGTTTGACTGCCTAGTGCTTCGAATAAATGCTTCGCATTTATAAAGCAAAGAATGGGAATTTCATTTTGTTTACATATGCTGGGTTTTGCAAAAAGTGCACTTCTGAGATGAGCAACCCTTTTCATCTTCAAGCACCCCCCCCCCCCCCCCCTTTACTTTACTTTACCACTTAATTAGCAAAACAGACAGGGAAAGGATTATTTCTTGAAAAAAGATGATCCATTTAGTTGCGCTTGCACGAGGCTGTACACAGACATCATAAACCTCTAAAGTTATTCAATAAAAGCCTGTGTAAGCAATAGTTGCCTTAAAGTCAAATTTGGGGGTTTTACGTGCCAAACCAACCACGGGCATCTGGCACGCCCCAGCGGAGGACTGAGGATTAATTTCGACCACCTGGGGATCTTTTGACGTGCAACCGAAAGCTCGATTACACGGCGTCTTCTCCGCAATAAGCCTCCGTCAGATTGCGGGCACCTCGGCCGGGATTCGAACCCGCCACATGGGGATCCGTAGGCCGACGCTCTCGCCTCGGAGCCACCGAGGCGGCAATAGTTGCCTTAGAACACGACATATCACACACGGGCCCGATGTTGCATTGATGAGACAAGAGGTCCCTTGCCAACGGCTTCAGTTTTGATGTCAATATTGTTGCACAGGGTGCAATGAACACTAACCACGGTACGTATGGTGTGACAACAATCTTAGACTTTGCAATTTGAACGACTAAGCCACATACCTTCAGCATCTCACTCTGAAGAATATCTTCGTCATAAAAGGCTTTCAATGAGGGATGCAAGCTGCACCAGTGTTCTAAATGAATGCATAGGGCTTTTGAAGGAGCCAAATTTATGAAGAAGTGCAAGTGCATGTTTTGCTCGACCCCACGACTCCTCACAAACATCATTATGTAACTAGTAAAGTGAACAACTTGAACAAAAGTATATAAGACACAATACATGTAGAGCATTTAAGTGAGGATGATTTCTGCTAATGACACATTACAAATACTTAATAAGCCCTACTGCAAGTCGGTCATTTCATGCTATGTCTCCCTAGTGCAGTGTCTCAGCAAGTGCACCTGATGAAGGGCTTTGTCCAGTGGCTTGCTGCCTGCAGTTAAGCTCCGGGGCAGCAGCAGTCCGGAAATACAGGCCACGCCGGCACTCAGGTCGGAGTGGGTCCAGAGAAGGCCGGGGGACTCCGAGCAGGGGGGCCAAGTGGGGGGTCGCAGAGAAGCCAGGGCAACTTCCGTGGCCAGCCTGGTGTCACGAGCAGAGCCCCGATCCAAAAAGTCACAACTCAAATTGCCTACGTCAAGATTGTCAGGATTCTCGAGGCTTCAGCCATGAAGCTTTTTCAAGAAAATATTTTTCTGAAGACCCAGGCTTGTTGCAAACAAACGATTTCGACTGAATGTGACGAACTAAAAATTAAGGTGTGTTGCTCGCATTCATTGTGAGACACACTGTCACTGACCTGGTCTCTTCTTTATGGAAGTTACTTGCTGAAAACAAGCTGCGTTAAGGCACAAAAGGCTTCTTTCAAGTTTGTAGGGGAAAAGACAAAAGCACATAGTAAGGGTATGAGCCAGGTGATTATACACGAACTCATCTCTGTTACGTCACTGCGCGGTGGTGGCGCGTCGGACGCACTTCCGGTCCGGGGCTGTGGGCGGAAGTGCCCATGTGAGACGTGTATTCCTACGTTGTTTTGAAAGAAACCAGACAAAAACCTGCCTTCTCGTCAAAATGCTACGACTGGGGCTGTACAAAAAGAGTAGAGAAAGATTCGAAGGTCAGTTTTCATGCGCTCGGTTCGTTTGAGAATGTGGATATGTGCCGTGAAAAGGGAAAACCGGACGCCGTCGGACCTCGATTGCTTGGACGGGAATCACTTTGGGTTGAATTCACGGATACTTCTGGCCATCAGATTTATTTGTTTTCTTCCAACATGAAAGCCGGAAAACCGTCAAGTTGTACGGACCACCTGTGGACTACGTTCAGTGCGTCTTCAAGGTCAAACGGTCTCCTGATCGTTCCAACTGTCGTCTGCTCTTTTAAAGGACACCGGCCCGTAGACCAAACGTGGGCCCGGTGCTTGCGATAAGAAATAAGTGCAGGCTTCAAAAGACTTAAGTTTGAAGGTTGGTAAGCAGGCTCGACGTAAACAGTAGACACAAGGAGATGTTGATCATTGTTACCAGTGGCCATCACCGACTTGTTATGCCTGATTCACTAGGTTAGATTCTGCTTGCGAGTTTCAGTATCGACGTCGACCATCTCAGCTACAGTTCACGCTTTTGCAGTCCGAACGACGTCGCTACTGAAAATTGCGAGCGAAATCTCGTCATGTGAATCAGGCTTTAGCGTACATTCTGCGGTGTCCACGCGGAATGAATCGCCGCATGTCAGATTATTCACGCGAAGTTTTGCGGTGTAACGAGCCTCGTTAATTTCGCTGATGCCGCTCAAGTAGTCAGACATCGTTAGGAGGACGTAGAATCAACAATTCCAACGCGAAAAAAAAGCGCGGGGACTCACACCGACGCCGCCAACATCGCATTTCAATGGTTTGTTTATGGGCGACGGCGAGCTTCTTGCCCACACCCCCATCGCGCATGCGCGGCGCCGGTGGCGTCCGCTAGGGGCGCTCCGGGCGCTCCGGTTTGTTTGTAAACATGAGTTGGTGTATACTGTCCTGATGAAAAAGAGGCTTTAGGCAAAGCTGGTCAACACATATGTGAACGGTCCGAGCAGAATAAGGGGCACTCACCGTAGTTCAGTTTCCAAGCCCTGATCCTTGGGTAATGTGCTGAGCAGCAGAGCATGGTGAGCGGGGGCAGGCAGGGACAGCAACAAAAACAGGCACTGTGAAGCATACCTGTATACCCAGTGCAAGGGAGGCTATGTTCAAAGATGCTTCCACTAGACAAGACCTCCCACAATCTCAATGCTGCACGCTTCGTAAACACGACGCGGCTGAACCCCCACTGTTCGATCCCTGTTGTGGAGCAGTGTTACTTACTACAAATGCCACAAAAAAGCATGGGGAAAAAATTATAATGCTAAAAACATGAGAACTCGAAAAAGCGAGGAAAGCAAGCCTTGGGTATAGAACTCAGTAGTAGCAATCACATCAGTTGCGCTCTAATTGGTTCCTCCTTCTACACTGCTGTACAGCCAGTGTATGCTACCTCAATCAATCTGCAAGTATGGCTGTCTTCAAACACATACTGCAAATGCGGTGCACTACACTGGTTGTGCACTTTCTGCACTGGTGTACACCAGTGCAACTAAATTGAACGAGCATGAGATCACATCGTCGAAATTGGTCACTCCAAAAAGAATATCGCACGTCCAAGTGTCCGAACATCCCACAGCTGCTACCCAAAATAAGTGGAGATCCACATGGCAACAGCGCAATCCACACACACGGGAAGGTAGTCCTGTAGTTGACAAAAGGATGTTTGCTGTTTTAAAAACAAAACAATCTTTATCACCCCAATTAAAAAAATACTAAACGAAGGACCTTGTCTGAAATGACCGTCCTGCTGCCAAACTGGTCACCGCAGGTCTCGAGCTGCTCGGTCCGAGCTCGTGTCTTTCTGTTCCTTGAGCGCCGCGCATGGCATGCGGTGATGCGTCGCATCTGCATGACTTGTTGCGCCAGACATGAGGCTGCCTACTGCCTGGATGCTACTGTCAGTCTGGAAACACCTGCAATACTGACCAGCGGACAGGTCCCGAAGAATGCTGAAGCAGGGGCAACAACGGACTCCAGTCCCACCGTGACCTCAGCTGCTGAGGCCAGGCACTGAGCAGTTGAAGACAGCAGCCCACAACATCGAGCGGCGTTTCGACGCGAGGGCGTTTGGCAGCAGGGGCTTCACAGTGGCCTTCTCCCGGCATTCCTTCGAGCAGGGCCGGCAGGCAGCCTTGATCCTTGAGGTAGGCTTCCGCGAAGTGGGCAGCTGCAGGAAATCTGGCCGCTAGACGACCCAAAACGAGACACAGTCGCTTGCGATGGCGCGGATGGCGTGCACAGCGGTCCAGCAACTCGGGCAGCAATGGGCAGCACAGCTGGGCCACCAAGTCGGCAGTGGAGTCGCCACGGAGGAGCAGTTGTGACAACTGGTCCAGAAGACTTGCTCTGGTGGATGGGCTCCAGTTCTGCAAGCAACAGCCGTTGGAGGTTGGATTTGCCGGTCAGCAATTACTGACCAAGTAGTATATAATTTACCGGGCACTTCTTAAAGGCTGACGAACAAGCAGAAAGGAGGAAACCCCTTCTTTTCGCGGGGAGTAGCTTCCGGTCCCGCCTCTTCCGGTTGAGGAGGAGGCAAGGGCCCCTCTACCTCATTGGGCAAGAGAGAGAAAGGGAATGGAGGGAAGAACATTGGGGAAGGGTTTTCTGCCCGGCAGAATGCGCTGCCTGCACGTCAGCCTTAAAGAACGTTGATTCAGCGGGGAAGCACGGAAGGTCTTATTTATGTAGCATGATGCTGGGGTAGCACACCACTGTTCGCCACTCTTGCTCTGAAATGCTCCAGCACATCAGTAAGTTTACCAATTAAATACGTTAGCTGTGACCCCGCGAAAATGTGGGGGGAGAGGTGGAAGTGATCAGGCTTCTGGAAGACGAAGCAACGTGTTGTCAAGTGCGATCAAGGGTGATTCCATGTGACCGAACATCTTCCATGACCGACAATCGATCTGGTGTACCTGCGAAACCTGTTGATTGACCTGTGCCCAATCATTATAATAAAGTTTCTGCGAGTTTATTTACCTTTTGCGAGAGCCATTGCCGGAGTTCCTGCGGTGGCTTTCGGCTTTGCTCGCACAGCAAGGCAACGGCGTTGTAAAGATCGTAGTTTGACAGCGACCAAACGTCCGTTTCACCAGGGCAGGCGATCATCGTAGAAGACCCGGCGATGTCGTTTTTAGGGTAAAACGTCCCGCCACAAACGCCAGCGCATATTTATACGACTCCGAAAGTTTGCCGTCGTGGTCACCAGTCAGTGGACATAAACGCACGTGTATGCAAGCGAGCGGCTTGGCAGCTTATACAGCACGGACCTGCTCATAATCTCCGCTAAAGGGAAAAGTTCTGAAATGAGAAAGCTTTTGTACAAAAAACTTCCGCTATGTGACGCTAACTACGTATGAATCAATTTGACGTTGATATAAATCACGATGGTACAAATAAAAATGGTGGTAAATAGGCAGAGTGTTTATTTTTTTATAAAATTACAATCATAAAAATTAAACTATAAACTATTAAAAATAAAAATGCAATAAATAGTTAAAACACACAAACTAGGTAGCGCTAAGCCCCGCCCAACTTTGAAAAAGTTCAGTTTCATTTGTTTAATCCATCACCATTGGTGGCAAGGAGGGAAATCTCCTCTCATCGAGTTTCTATCGTTGCAGTCTCGATTCCTTTCGTTCTTTCATTCCCACTTTTTTTTATTTGTGCCTTCCTTCGGCAGTTGCCCCCTTTCCTGTTTTTTTATCGGATTCGAGAACCTGTGTGCGGCTTGGTCGTCCCCTTATTTATCTCCTCGCTTTCCGAGTCCCCGAGGAGCCCAAGCAAATGACGTTTCACGCCAGACGCTGCTACGCCTGCCCGGTCCTTCCAGATGACTGCTTTTTATAGAAAGTGCTGGCCCGTACGCGACCGCGCTGGTAGGCCTCACCAGCGCCAATGTGCACCCCGACAGACTTCCGTGCACCAGTTTCCACCAAGTTCGCCGGGAACGTCGTCCATCTGATCGACCCTCGGTCAACGTGCCATCGCCGCAGCGGCACCATCGGCAGCAAAGATAGCAGCTAGCGAAAGGACCAGGTGAAACAACAGAAAAAGAAAAAAAAAGAGGACCGTCTAACCGTAATAAAGTGAGAGAAGTCGTCGCTTCCTCCTTGTGTACAAGCATGCCGTCGTAGTACGCCCTGCCTGCAAACCGAATTTGCCTCATCAAAAATGCAAGAGACTCTCTTGACGGGTTTAATCAGTGCGGCCTGCTAGCGCTGGGTTCTTTTTTTTTTTCTTTTTATTTTTTCTCCTGGCGCGGTTGCCGCGGACGCCGATAGTTGTGTGATGCTCGCCAACGTCGCCTGGAACAGCGGAGATTTTGTCGTCGGTGGTCGCTACGTCGTCGTCGTCTCCGAATGACTTTGAAAGTGTCGCAGAGTTAATGGTTGTGTATCGAAAGGATCCCTTCAAGGTAAGCTGTGCCGCCCATCAATCTCCTTGCGCAGGAAATGAGTCCCGCTCAGCCTTGGCGATCCTTTTGCCGATACAGGCTCCGCTAGAAATCTATGTGGGGCCGTGAGTCGTGGTATCTTTGTGCTTTAAACGTTGCCGCTTGAGTTATTGAGGAACCGAAATCGTCGGGTAGAAGACGCGAACTTAGGGCAAGCAAACTACACCGGGAGGGGCTCTTGAGAGTGCACTTGTCGAGTTCATGGAACTTTTGTTTGTTTGTGGAATCGCATTACGCTTTGGGGTGAGGTTATTTGAATGACGTTTAGTGTGCAGACATGCGCTGAACTTGTAAGAATTGAAGTAGGCAAGAACTGGATCTAAGGTTAGTGCTTTCTAACACGAACGGACAGTTTTGAGCGATTTTCACTTAACTATACTGTTTCAGGTGACGATTTCTCGTGTGCCCGAGTTTAATTTCCAGGTCAAATTAAGAGCTTAAATATCCGCATTGCTGCGTCTATTTGTTGATACAAAACTTTGATTTTTGGCCCACCAGCCCAGTGTTTTTATCTTCCTCATGATTAACGATTCACACCATCAAGCAACCTATTCACCACGACAATGGTTTATGCACGAGAAAGACAGTGTCCGACTTGTTGACAGCTTTGCTCAGCCACATTCAACCTTGGAGTCTGGGAGGAATGTTTAAGGGTGCTCCAGGGTCAGTAGTGCTTCCTGCTTAACCTTGGCACCCATTTGACATCAGTCGACGCCGAACCCCGTGTACCATGTCACTTGACGGAATAAGGCGGGACGGGGGCTTCCCTTGGACGTATCACGGGGTCGAGCACCCTGCCCGACATCTTTCATTTGCTGGTGAAAGTCAAGCAATCAATTTCGTTATAGCTTTGTGTATAAGGAAGGCGAGTCATGGACAGAACTGTAGGAAAAACAGACCAGAGCATAAAAAAATCCTCTTTTTGCATTTTACTGTCTCATTGACATTTGAGTTCAATTTGACATGGATATTGCTGATTGTTACCAGCGTCGCGAGTGAGTTAATCAACTGAGCCACCGGTGGACGTCAGTGGGCAGGGAGTGACTGTGTTTGATTCTTTTTTCAGCCACGGATGCCACCTGTTTACACCAGTCATTTCTTTTATATTGTGGACACTGTTTACCTTAACGATAGCCAGTTCAGTTCTGTCATGTGCATGGAACAGGTCCTTGATTGCATTCGGGCAGTTTCCTAAATGGATTTGATGCTTCTAAGTAATCAAAATATTAAAACAATTTGCATTATTTTATCTGCCGTGTAGATATGGAAGACAATGCAGAATGTGAATGCCTTTTGTGGTGAAGTATTGGAGACTGGCAAATGCATGGGAGGCACCAGAAGGCTCGGAGGCTTTTTTGTGTTTGGTTCCTCGTTTGTGTCTTCCATTTGCAAATCTTTCCTTCGTGACAAAAATTCACCAGTACTGTGTATTGAAGGTAGACGTTCGGCAGCCCTCTGCCTGGTTAGGAATAGACATGAAGCGAAAAATAGGGACTTTCACCCGTGAACAAGGGACCGAACAGGTCCCAAAACATTGGGTGAATGTTTATTAAATTTTTTGTTAGAGTCCCTATTTTTCACTTCAGTACTGTGTATGCAACATTTGCCTTTGCTCGCTTTTGCTGATTTTATGTGCTAGGTTTGCATTCTGCACAAAATTTGAGAAATTAAGCAGCCTTGACCTTGTTAACTTACAGCCAGAAGAAGCTGTGGCATTTATGTTTGCTAATTCGTGCCAGTTAGCATTCATCATGGCTAGAGCACTGCACGGGCTCGGGCTTGCATGAGTGAGCCCATTGCGGTCCGGGTAAGGCGGTTTTTTTGTGGGCCTGGGCAGTCCCGGGATTTTATCTGCAGGCTTGGCTGGGTTTGGGCTTCTGACTGCAGGCACAGACCAGCGCCTTGGAGAGCCTGGATCAGGGTCGGAGCTGCGACCCGAGCCCGATCCAGCCCCGCCAATAAGTGTAAATAGTACTACCGTAAAGCGCCCACTCAAAATTTAGAAATAATGGTGAAAAAATGGGGGATGGGTGCTTTTCCAGTAATCATTTTTACATATAAATGTACTGTGCATATTTTCTCAGATCTTACAAATTTGGGAATGGGCGCTTAATGGGGAATGGGCAGATGCACGGTATTCTACGGTATGTCTGGTTTTAGAGTGTGAATAGTTTATCTAACCATTGTTAATACCATTCAACTTGTCTTGGCAACCAAGAAAACAAGAAGATAGCTTTACTAAGCTGCATATATTTATGTAGAACTCTGTCTGGGTGGCGAGAGAAACAAAATGCGATTATGTACGCATTCATAGTTTATTTTGGAAGAAATCACGGCAATCTGTAGATCAATGAATTAGTACACGGCAAGCATAGCACAATGATATGATAAGAACGACATGTCTCGGCTACGTCGCAAGCCGACACATGTCGTAGTTCTCGCCTTGCTCCCAAGCGCAGCATGTCGGCCTCTACAATATCTTGTGTCACGTTTCTTGGGCATCACACATCGCAGCACTCAACACCAGTTCGATAGCATGGCTTTCTATGCTCAAACTGAGGGACAGAGCGCACCACTATCACAACTGGTTGATGCGCATTGGAAAATAACACTAAATTGCAACACGCGGCGACCCTATCGGGAATCAAATCTGACGTTCCCAGCCCGCTCAGATGACACTGGCCATAACTGTTCACGTGTCTAACCTTCGCACAGCTAAGTGCTTGACCACCTGCGGTAGCCTAGCTAGCTGCGCCAATGGTCATCGCGTCATCGTTGACGCTATGAAAAGGTGTTATAAAATGTGGCGTCAACGATGTGCACGGATTCATGCCAGCGTCCACGTGAGTGTGGAAATAGTTCATCCGCAAAGTTACTCCGTGAAGCGACGTGAGTGCGAAAATAGTTTGTCTGACTTTTGTTAATACCGTTCAACTCATTTTGGGGATAAAAAGAAAAATTGAGGTAGAAGTTGCCATTTGTTGGTTACGTCTATAGGCCCATGAATTCATCCATACCTCTTTTTGTTATTTTTTAAATTTATTAGGCTAATATCGCTCTTTGGAGTTGCAATTCAACTAGCCTAGTTAAATTTACATATGTTATTTGTAGCACCGTCGGGAAAAGTTGCCTACCAGCAATTCACCTCCAACGGTCGCATTTGGTGCATAAAATTACGTTGCCTCAATATTTTCATACTCTACGTGGCGAAGGTTAGACAACATTGCATTGAATTTGGACCTGGGCTGGGTGTGGGCCAGTTCTAAATGTGGCGGGCCGGGCCGAGTGACATAGAAATTGTGCAGGCTGGGCCTGGGCCCGGTTTAGACACTTGAGTTGTGCTCAAGCAGTTACATTACTACACCGTCGGGCCTGGGCTCAAGAAAGCAGCTCGTGCAGTGCTCTAATCACAGCCTGAATCGCCTATTGCATGCTGCACTCCGTGCATTGTTTGAGTTTGTCAATTTCTGCTGCCACTTTGATTAGTCACAACCGTGTACCTTCCTATTTGCTAACAGATTGAGGGTACTTATACACCAGCTCTGTAATGACGGAGCTTAAATCCAGTCTTGAATCCGCATTTGTGTTTTTGAATTGGCAATTTCACTGTATGGGACTCTGGACATGTAGTGTTAAAGTTGTAAAGCTTCTGGTGCATATTTCTACTGTGTAGCATGGGTATCTTGCACTGTCATCATTCTGTGCCATATGCATTTTGTGAAACTCGCAAAGCATTTAATGATTAAGCACTTTAGGCCAGGACAACTTGAACAGTGGCCCGTGTCTGTGGCCAGTGGCCTCAATCTAAAGTTGGGGCACTGAAACACTCGGAGAGAATTTTCTTCTTTTCATTTTCTTCTTTTCATTTTCAATACAACATTGTTAGTCGGTGAGTTTGTTGCTCTAAATTTTATTTGTGTCTTGGCTTGTTTTCAATACAGGCTAAAAAGTTGGCGTAATACACAACTAAAATGAGAAAGCAAGACTTTATGACAAGTGTTAGTATAATTTCATACAGTTCAAACACAACTTGGCTCATTGGCCTATAGACCTTAAAGAGCATTCAAGTATCTGTGAAGTCGAGAATTGAGTGGGGAGGCAGAGAGACCTGTCTGATAAAGTTCCTACGGAGGAGCACAGGAGAAAACATCTCAAGATAAAGGTAACATATAGCACTTGCTTGTTGTTTCTTTTTGTGCTCCTTTGTACAGTATGAACTAGCAATTAAACATGTCACAGTCTATAAAGAACACATTCTGGGCAGCTATCATGCTGAAAAAAAGATGGCTATTTGCCAATCAAAAGAGCTGAGTAGGCTCATTTTGAAAAGTCCTTATGAGGCCTTATTGACGCAACTCAGGAATTTGTTTTGGGCACCTTTCGTGACGTTACCTGCCATAATTTGCATCGAACGGCATGTCGAACCACTCCCCCCATTCTGCCCCACATCCCTGTCAGGTGGAGACCGACACGACAGCCACGGCTACCCCGATCGAGAACGGCTCGTCGGATGAAGCGGAGACCGTCCCGAAGGGGTCAGCCCCCGAGAGCGGAGCCCCCTCCTGCACGGAGGCGGGCGGGGGCGTTCCCGGGGTAGCCAAGGCTGGGGTTCCCAGGGCCATACTCACGTGCCGGCCCAACTCGCACCCGTTCCCCGAGCGCATCCTCAGCTTGGACCAGCCGGCCAAGGTGGGGCGGTCGGTGGCCCGGTGCCGCCAGGCACACAACAACGCCATCTTTGACTGCAAGGTGCTCTCGCGCAACCATGCCCTCCTCTGGTATGACAACGGAAAGGCGAGTGGCATCTGCTTTCCTCTCCGGCTCGTCCTCTCTGTATTTTCTCCCGAGTCTTCTGATCCGCACTGGAGTTACTGCAAGTGAGGGACAGCAGCACCTTCGAGAGATTCAAAGGTCACTATTCTTTGTTCACCCCTAAGCTGACAGTGTGGTGGGAGCTACACACTCACCGGACCAATCAACTGCCTCCCTTTCATCCTGGACCCCACTTTCAGCGCGTGGGTGTGGGTGGGAGCATGGTCACGTGGTGAAAGATAGATGTACGACTGGTCTGGCGACCCTGTAGCTTTCACTGCACTGTCAGCTTAGGCGTGAACGGAGTATAGGTGCTCCCACATCCTGTTTCGTTCTTGCATTATGATGCGTGCTGAAGCGAAGTTCCCAGTACTAGGTTTCCAGAGTGACATACTCCAACAATATAAGTTTAAAGCAGGGACTCAAACCGTAACCTAAACCGAAAACAGTTTAGGAACCAAATTTTTTCAGTAACCGGAATGGAACCGTTATTTGAAATTTATGAAAGCCGTAACCGTAAATTATTTACCAGTAACCAATATTAATTGAAAAATAAAAATGTTAGTTTTTCTCAAGAATGGCCTTGAGGAGGGATCTTGAAATGTCATGACCATTCGAAAGAGTTACCGTCGGCGAGTGGTGCATCTGGTGTAATACATTTCTGTTCAATCTAAATTTAGGGTTAAGAATACTTAGCTGGAATCAGTGGTCAAGCTTATATTGAAAAGTTTTTATTCGAGAAAGTTTGACTAGGGTTCGACTGCTATGCACATGTGCGACAGGCTGGCTCAGTTGGCTTTAGATCGGATGGTGATGATTAAATGATCAAGTTAAACATTCTACTTTGAGTAAGGGCAGCACTGTTTGGTTGTTTTGGTAATATAGCAAGAATAAATGATGTTATTAACTCAAGTTTTTAGAATTATGTTTTATTGTCTGTAACTATTTATAAAATAAACCAACCTATTCTGCAAAAACATTTTCTTGAAATGTAGTAAACAAATGTTGCAGCTTTTGACCAATAGATCTTTTGCCAAATTACCCAAGTATCAGAAATAATGCCGGGAACGTGAGTACACGCGCTGCACGTTCTGGCATCTTCAGCTCTAACTGTTCGGAATAAGAAAATTACAACAAATTGCACTTCGCTTGCGCATTCTTCGGACACTTTATTTTGCTTATTTACTTGCAATCATTTCTATTAGGAAGGCGAGCACCTGTAGTGCTTGTACCAACGTTCCCAACATTTTCTTTGGTGCTTGGGTAATTTAGCAAAAGGTCTATTAGAAGTACCAGTGGCATAGCCAGGAATTATTTTTGGGGAAGAGGGGCAAGGGGGGGTTGTCTTATCTTCACGTGTAGTGGTATGCCGGCATACTAGAACAATTTGGTAGTCATTCAATATTTGTCTACCTTTACTAACAAAAAAAAAGTGATAATTTCTGGGAAAGGGGGGGGGTCATAGGTCGTCCCCCCAAACCGTCCCCCTGCCTACGCCACTGAGAAGCACTAAGACATCTTAAGTTCTTGTTTGTGTGAATGTTCCGTTGTTAGGTGTCTGGGACTACTTTAAATTGATAATAAAACAAAATTTCGGCGCTTATTTTTTAGTTTATTTTTCAAAAAAGCAGTATCACATCGAACGCACCAATATCTTGTGAAAAAAGTCACGAAAAGGAATTTTAAAACGAGTTAAGCAATTAGCAAAGAGCACCTGGTGGATGTCGCTAACGCCTCGTTTGTATTGCTTGTCTAGGAACCTTGACGGGTAGTGACGGTAACTGTCTCGCCTCCGGCCACGACGAGATGGGGGGGGAAGGAGGAACTCCCCTCTTCCCGAGAATTCCTTTTGTGTGTCCCAGAAATCGCTATTGTCCCTCTACAACAGTGGTTCTCAAATGGGGGTCTGCGAAGCCCAACCTCATCAGTCAAGCCCGGAAATAAAAGTTGCCTTTTCTTCAATTGAGAAGAAACATTCCAGTTTTCGGGTGCATTTCCTCGTGTATATGTCAATAAGAGAAGTGTACTTCACGCTAGCCCTTAGTTATATCAATTTATTAAATCACTATCATAATTAACCTATACTTCCCCTTCCCAACACCACGAACAGGGTCCGCCATCATCTCCGCCGATCCACAAGGGGTCCGCGATACATCAGTGGCTGAGAACCACTGCTCTACAAGATTATAGAAGATTAACTCGTCGCTCAAAATTCATACAAATGCAGCCGCTTCGGTCGCTGGAACGACTAGGTTATCCTCTTGACGTCAGCTTCGCCGTAGCTTTGCTCGTCCCGAGTCAAACTATGTCGCGATTGCGTTGGATGTCGCATGCTCTCTGCTGGCTGTCCTCCAAGCGCTTGCCAGAGTGGGCCGTTTATAACGAAAAATGCAGCCACCAGGCTCAAAATACAATTGTGTGATTGTCATTTACGCATATTGTGGATCCTATTCAACCTATTTTTGAACGCAACGGGTATATTTCAAATTTCGTTGAAGTATCCCTTTAAACTGTTTATTATAAAATGGCTGTCTAGCATTTCAATACATGTTATTTCAAGGTAAACATAAACAAGTAAAGGCGGAACTTCCTGTGGCCGAGATAACTTCCGGTTGACCAGCTTCTGTATGTTTCAATGAGCAAGAATGGGCAGCTGGTCCTTTACGTTTCGCCACCGATGCCTTGTTTTTTTTGGCAGAGAGCAGGAACCGTGACCGGCGCGCAACGCGGTCAGCCGAGCTCTTCTCAGCAGATGACGCTCGTGGGTTGAGAGGGCAGGCACAGTCTGATCTTTCTCTTGCTTCGTTTATCACACGATAGGTGGCACATGGCTCTGGGCATCATAAAGTTTGAAAATTTGCGTCTCATCGCTAGTTATGCTACAAATTTTAAGAAACATTTCCTGGCTATTTATAGTTTATGATTGCGGTGCTGGTGAGGTAGGCTCTTATCCAATAGGTAACGTGGATTTGGCTGACATACTTTGGCACCGCGGATGCATCGCAGTGAAAAGCTTCGGAGGAAAGAAAATATAAAACAGTCCATTTTTCTTTTAAAAGTTCTATGGCGGAAAAATTTTTTTTGCTCTCTACATTCATGTTTTGGTTTCCTTTTCACGCCTTTTACGATGCTTGGTGGATGAAATTAGATTTCAAAATCGTTTCATGGTCCCTTTAAACGCTATGATTTGCAAAGTCAAGTTTTTCACAGTTTCTTTGAAGAGTTTTCTGTCGCTCGCCTCGCTACTCATTTACGTGGTTTGGTGCAAACGAAGGAAAGCATCCAATTAAGTGTTAGAAATCTGTTGCTGATGTGGTTTCCTTTTTGTCTCGGGGTGCAGTTCTACCTTCAGGACACCAAGAGCAGCAACGGCACCTTTGTGAACAACCAGCGACTGAGCAAGGGCTCCGAAGAGTCTCCCGCTCAGGAAGTCTGCTCGGGTGACATCGTGCAGTTCGGGGTGGACGTGGTCGAGAACTCCAGAAAAGGTCGGCCGCCCTCGATTATTTCTGTTGACCGTGCCTGACTGCAACGTTAAACAGCGCTCTGGAGTTGCACTTAGCATTTTTTTCTCCTTGTTATTAATTAAATGCACATTTATGTGCCATATTCATTTCCCTTATGGTAGCCTTAGCCAATGTTTCAACTTCTTTGCTCTTAACTTTTCTGACGTAGGACATGTTTTTGGTGCGGGAAATTGGGTGAAAACATAACGTGCAAACCATTACGATCGAGCGAACAAAATACTGTGTCGATGCCACAGCAGGGCTCCCTCGTGTATGGTGCCTACTCATTGGCTGGCATAGGCAATCATGTGACCGTAGCGACAACCAATCGTGCTCTCATCGGAAGTTGTGGTGATACAGAATAATGTATAATAATACATTATTACGAACATACACACATAATATATGTTTGTGATACATAAACGATTATGCCGAGATTTACTGACCCGAAACGAATGCTATATATAATTTTGACAGATAGTGTGGTCAAAATACTGCCGCAAATTGAAAAAAAATTTGATGACTGTTTACAATCGTAAAATTTTTGTTGTTGCCTAAGGCTGTATGTTACGTGCTCTTGTACTTTTCTCAAGTAGTTCTTGCTATAACATCTCATTGGATGACCAAAGGCATCTAGTTTTTGGAGACAATTTTTACGGTGCACTATTTCGTGTTTTGGGAAAACATGCATTACTGTAAATGACTTAATTTTTGCGGGCTCAAATTTTCGCGAATCGGGCCGAAGCTGAAAATTTGAAATTATTCGCGGGTTCTGATTTTTGCGAATGGAGTGTAGCTTCCGTAATGTTCACATATTGCCCGGATTGTTTGCGGGACATATTTTTCGCGAATTGTAGGTGATTCGCGAAATTCGCGAAAATTTAGTCGTTTACAGTATTCTAATAATGCAAAGGTGCAAGAGAGCTCGACAAGAATGACAATAATAATCCCTCGATAACGAGGAACAAGGGGGACAAAGACTGACATGCACCTAGCTGTGTTTGTCCTTTGTCCTCCTCGTTCTCCTTCTTCAGGGATTATTATCATCATTCTTGTCCAGCTCGCACCTTTGCGTTATCATCATAACCTTAAAATGCAGGCCGTTCACTTTTGTTGGGGTTAGACTGGTGGCAGCTGATAAAACCCGTTCGCCCTACTGACATCTAAATCCTGGCTAGTTCAGTTGGTAGATAGCTCCACTGGAAATGGAAAGGTCCCTTGTTCGACACCAGGACCAGGCGGATTTTTTCGGTCGCACACCAGTCACCTAGCTGTGTTCGAAGATTTGTGTTTGTCCTTTGTCCCCCTTGTTCACCTTCTCCAGAGATTATCATCGTCATGCATTATTCCTGAGGACCATTTGTCTAATGGGTGTAGGTTTGATTTTCCAAGACATGCAATTAAGGTAAAACGTAGGTCCAACCTGTGCTGCCTGCAAAGCACTGGTGCCGCAGTGCGTAGAGATTTTATACGCAAGCGCTTGCACGTAAATAGCCGAACAGAATCTCCTCTAGCTCGGCTGCGAAAGAATTTGACCGTTATTTGATGCATTTCCACTCGCGCCTTTCCAGTGACGCATGGGTGCATCGTCGCAACACTGCGACTCTTTCTGCCGGACGGCAAGGAGGCCAAAGCTAGGTAGGACTTCCCTTACGGTTCTTGCATAGTTTCTTTTTGTTGCGTGAACTGCCGTTCTAACAATCTATCCGACGTCCTCCGCCTCTATGACCACAGTCCGTCTACGGCTGTTGTGGCCCCTGGAGGGGGTTCGGCCATCAGTACACAAGAGCTGTACCAGCTGTCCCAGTATCTCCAGGTAGGATGCAACTTGCTTGATGACAGTTGCAGGAGCGCACATCTTAATTGGTACTTTTTTTTCACCAAATGCAGATAACAATAATTCATAGGAGTAGCCCGTGTTTCTAGATGATGTTTATGGATTTCTGTGTTTTATTTGGTCTCGATAAACACATGTTGTTGCAGAAACTGGAATCTGTGATTGGTCGTGTTACATTTTAATTTCTAAAGCTGAAAAAAATGTAAAAAAAAAAAAAAAAAAAGCTTGTACTCCTTAATTGTTTGTTCAGTAATTTTTGTTTTCAGTGCTGCGAAGTTAAAGTTGACTTTAAATTCAGATGATAAGAATTATATGCCACATGTCACATTTCAAGTATTTACAGTAGTGTTGTTTTTTTCTCTTCTTTCTAGGTTTTGACAATGGTGTACTTAGAAGTGCAACATTGCTAACACTTGCAAAAAGTTTTACAGTTCAAAGTTTAATGTCAGTCTCACTTAGTGATGAGTCATACCTCTCTGGGATTCACATTCAGTTAGGAAAAATGTTTAATTGCACTGTATATAATAATTATTAGCACATCAAAGAGTGCATGAGGTAATGCAGGCACACCAAGGTTGCATATTGTAATTTTTACTGCAATAGAACACTTGGAAACAGAATTAAGCTCGCTCGTCACGTCGTATTATGACAATGCCCTGCCTACTTCACCCCTTTTAGGAGGCCCTCCACCGAGAGCAGATTCTGCAGAACAAGATGGCGACACTCCTCAGGGTTGTCAGCAGCACCCAGGAAGCTACCGAGAACAACTGGAAGGTGGGCACACATCCTCGGTTGTTCTTCTTACAGCTCTGGTCTAGACCCTCTATCACATTTCAGTTTGGTCACTCTGATCACTAGGGGTGCACGAATACTCGAATATATGAATTTGAATCGAATAGAAAGTTCCCGAATAATTCGATTCGCGAATCAAATTCCTAGTACTATTCGGTCACTCGAATATTCAATATATTCGGCCAAAGACGTGAGGTTGGCGCAGAGCTGACAAAAGAGCCGCTTTTTCTCCCGATGTAAGCGCCGTGATGTTAGACAGACCATGCGAAAAACAGCTCTTGGTCCTACCATTCTACAAAATGCTAACGCACAGGTTAGAAAAAAGAAAAGTAACGAATGCCGCAAACTTTATAGCACACAGATTTACTCACGATCGTGACACAATCTACCCTTGAATCGCAACCGAAAAATCCCGCTTGCGCCGCTTCCAGAGAGGAATTGTTGGGAAGCCGGAATTCCGCGCCAAGCCTAATTCTTTTCACGAGCAAAGCCCCTCGTTTCAAATTGAAGCGCCGATGTAAAACACACTTGCCGCACTCGCAGAGATCGGTGACTGCACCACTGCACGATCACAGAAAGAAAACCAACGTTGCCACGCTCCATTTTTTGCCAGGCGCTTCATTATGGTGTCGGAGGACTACCCAATTAATATTTTGCAACAGAGTATCGTATTTTTTTTAATAAAGCCAAAAGACGCAACTGCTCGAAACCGAAACCGAAACCCGACGGGGGTCGGAGAAGTGGAGAGAAGAGAGTGAGTGGCGGAAGTCACGTGGCTACACCCAACCGTGCGTTTTTTTTTTTTTTTTTCTTCTCTCTGTAGCAGACGACACAACATGCGGTGTACGGGAACTGTTCGCCGTGCGATTCTTTTGCAGTTATGTTTGTTGCGCTCGTTGTTCTGTACTCCAAGATGAGTTGTTTTGTACATTGAGGAGTTGGAGATGAGTAGTGAGTGCCCGTGGTGAATTTCCATGATCGGCTCCGAAAAGAATACACCCAAGATGTTACGTGAAGAGCTGGCTCACATATCCTGCGTCCAAAAAAAAAAAAAGGGGCATTGTGCGACAGAGTTTCCGAAAGATCTACGGGATCGGGACCAGCGGCTGGCTGCAATTCCTGTAGAACATATACGGGCACCTAGGAAAACAGACGCTGCCTGATTTATATGCTCCTTGCATTTTGTGGAAAGTGATTACATTGAGTTAGCAGAAATCCCACACAATTTAATTCAGCGAAGTGTCGTCCTCAACATTTGTTTGTTATTTCTTTTGTTTGTTTCTTCAGTGATAATTGTAAAAAAAAAGATATTTTAACATCAAAAAATATCTGAAAAAAAAAAAAAAAAAAAATTTTTCACGAGGGATCGAACCCGGTCCTACTGCGTGTGAAGCGGACGTCTTTCCTACTGAGCTACTGGGGCGTCTCTCTAATGGTGGATCTCTTTCCTTAGTAATAATTCAGCCGGTAAACTGTAAATTTGAAAGTTTGCTGCTGATTTTCTTCTAGGAAAAGCACTCCCGGGTCGAAATCGGGAAGCACCACGCATTGGCGACTTTCGCATCTAGCAAAGGAGTCATACGCGTGCATATTCAACTCGAAGTAGACACTCGTGCTTGACGTTTGCGCGAGCGATGTCTTCAGCCACGAGAAGGGAGCGACGGCTCGGCGACGTCTTTGTGCAAATCGGCTTGGTGGTCGGGCGTGTCGTGCGGGATGAATACCAATTCTTTTGATCAGTTCCAAATTTTTATTTTAAAGGTAGACAGAATTCGCCGGTACCGCGAACGGGTTCTGAAATGTCCCACGCCCGTCGTCCGCTGCCATCGCCGTCCCCGCGAGTCCCACGATACGCGAAACGACGAATGCACAGAATGCTTCCGGTTGTCTGTGGAACTTTTTTTTTCAATCAACGTATTTGCAGCTTTTTAGAAGCCACAAAAAATGTGTTTCATATTTTTTTCTATTTTTAATATTGAGTGTGTGCCTTCAGTGACCCACGACTTTGATTAAATTTGGTGGTTGCATCGATACCTTAGAAAACGGCCCGTGACCGCGGAAAAGAGAGTGAGCGAGACTCGAACCGGCCAGTTCTTGATTGGCGGTTTTCGGGTAGAAAGAAACCGAATTTCGAGCCGCAAATTCTGTTCTGGGTAGTTGGGCTCTCATATGTCACGTACAACTAAAAACCTCGGCGAGCATAAATACCCTGTTAGTGTCCCTTTAATCACAACTGAAACATCCCATTTGCGCCGCTTCCAGAGAGGAATTGTTGGGAGGCCGGAATTTCGTGTCATTCCTAATTCTTTTCATGAGTAAAGCCCCTTGTTTCAAATTGAAGCACCGATGTAATACACACTTGCCACACTCACAGAAATCGGCGACTGCACGATCACAGAAAAAAACCCACAATAACCACACCAATGAAACTAGTCGTGTTATTGTCGTCGTTCTTTTGGAACCGCAAGCCGCAAATTCTGATTCGGAACGAAACGGAACGGAAAAATAGCGTGCCTAGATTTGAGAGGGTTTCCAACCGTTCGATAGCCGCGTTTGAATTACGAACTGCGAGAAGGTGACAAAAGATGAAAGCGTCGATCGGGATCGGGCAGGGAGGACAGGCGTCGTTGCCCTTCTGTTTTCTTGCCTTTTTCCACGTGACAACACAACACATGCACACTTACGACCAATCTGAGCTGGAGCCGTCTCCGTGGTTTCAGTTTCGCTTGCTCCCTCTTTTAAATCAAGGCTCTCTAAAACAGGATAGATAGACGGAAAAATGGATGCATAGCTGCAGTTGGATGGCGTCTTGCGCCACCTAACCACGTTTTTCTTTCTTACTTCAGATTATATTGTTTAAGCCTGTTTACTCAGATTTAACACCTATCTGTTTATTTATGTGAAATAAAATCCCGGGTACCCTTTTTCTTCCTTAAAATGGAAACCAAATATCGCAAGTGCCCCTTTTCTGAGATATACAAATATTTATAAAAAAATTCGCGGTGTTATGTTGTGCTTTTAACAAGAAAAAAAAAAGGCATGCCTGGCTGTAACTTTGTTTGTTTTTTTGTGACGTTTAGGGTAGATAGATTATATTTGTGCCATAAAATTGGATCTTTAGTGCCCACCATCCAACAGCAACTGCTTTTATTATTTTTTTTTTACATTTTAGCTTTTGTTCCGTACAAGATGCATACTCTGCACATATAATAATCTCATTTGCAGCACACTCTGAAAAATTTCTACAAATAAAATCACTATTCGATATTCGATTTGATATTTGGCTTCTTTGTCTTGATTCGATTCGGTATTCCATTCGAAAACTACTATTCGGTATTCGCACATCCCTACTGATCACCATCGTGATCTCTGCTCATGGTGTCTGTGCCATTCCAGTGGTGCTGTAATGAAGCCTTACATTGGAGTGTGCACCTAAAGAGGTGGCACGAGTTGTTTGCCTTGCATTGATTCAACATGACCTACAGATTAGGCACAGTCGGCACGCATCTTGGTCCAGTCACTACATGTGACAAACACTGGGATGGGAGCGCTTCAGACAGACTGGCTTGCTGCCTATACCAGGGCTAATTTGCAGCTTTGAAAATGAAACGAAGCAAGAGCATATTCAGCCAGGGAAGAAAGGTTTCCTGCTTGCAGTCGACTCACTTTGTTGACTATACCTAATTCTGCGTAGTACTGCTATATTTTTATTACTCCTATTGGTTTGGCAACAGTACCACTGAATTTTGGAAAGGTCTGTTTCTCTTCACTCTTCGTGATTTACATTCACGCACGCTTCATGTAGTTTGTTGTTGGTACCGTGTGAACCCATTCATCTCGTGTGCTGAAGCATCTGCTCTTTTCAGGCCATGATAGAAGAAGACCGTCTGTTGAATCGGATTGAGACACTGGAAGCTCAGCTGGTTGTCTGCGCCAAAGTGAGTTGCTAATGTTTGTCGGGTTTTTGCCCTATAGGTTGGTTTGCAAATCTCCTTCGTGCTCATTTTTTTAGATTATTCATCACTTGCTGCTGGCTTGGGTGATTAATATAACGGGCATTATTTGCGCTCGTGGTGGCTTGTCAACCAGAAACTGAATATGAGACATCGCTCGAGCTAAGAACAGTTTTCTTAGACAGGGGTGTGACATCTGCTCCAATTGTGCCATTTTGATACAAACCCAGTTTTCTGTGCCTAGTTGCGCCAAAAACGCGAAATCGGTCGAAATAGCGCCACACTGCGCCAAGGTAACTCAAAAACGAAAAAATACTTTGCGGCGACGCTAGATTTAGCGGGAAACGAGAGCTTGGTTGGCAACATTCAATCTCGTCGTAGTAAAGTACACTGCACGAATACAGGGTGGCGCAAACAACCGCCGGATTCAAAGATTTCAGCAGTAGTGTACCGTTCTATACCTATGATACGTGGTCTTTTCCCGATTTTCATACTACTTTCCGCTGTCATTTGGGACTGCATGCTAACGGCGCGCTGTCACGCGGTCTCGCTGTCTGACTGCAGGAGGTGCGACGCACAGGCTATCAAGATGAGCAAACCTAAGTATTTCTTTGGTTTTGAGAGTACACCTTTTTTTAAAAGTGCTGTTGAGCGCCTCCATTGTGTAATTTTTCATTCGTGTCCGTAATCTCATCAAAATGGACACCGCCGTCGCCGTGAGTACTTTCGGTTATCACACACGTGCTTCAAGTGCGTGAGCAATCGAGTGAATTGGTCACACACCCGTATTTAGCATGCATGTGGTGCTTATAGTTTTTCTACCAATTTGCTGTTTACCTTGTGACTCACTTTTATGGGGAGTTTCTTTTCTATCTGCACATGCTTCCTACGAGCGTCCGATCGATGTCTGGTTGTAGTAAACCATGCTCCCCTGTTCATGCTCTCGAATCACCGCTTTAAAAAGTTTTTCACTACAATTGCGCTTTGACACCAGTTGGTATAAGCTTGAGGTATCTGGTGCCCACCTAACTTTGTAGCAAGCCTGTGTTTCCTGTCCTCATCTATGCGCATGAAACTCGCGTTTGCCTTCTCCGTTTTTTTTTTGTTGTTTTTTTTCTTTTATATTTTATCTCGGTGCGTATCGGCGCTGATGACTTATTGGAACCAGGGTGGACAAAAATAACGATTCAAAAAGAACAATCTGATTTATGTTATTTATATCAGTTTTTTTATGATTTAAATTGCTAATAAGCTGCTCTAACATTTTCTAGCTGCTCCTAATCTGCTCCAAACCGTGGCTCTTGGAAGTCTCGTGGGTTGGTTTGCGGCTCTTAGGCCGGGTTAGCCTGGCCACCACTGGCATAGACTCTCTTGAGGCGTGTAGTTTGACATCAAAAGTGTAAACATTGCATATGCTCATAATTTTCTACTGTCTTTGATGTTTGGTTTTACTTTTTCTCCCCACCTGTTTACATCTGTCTCGTGCATTGCAGTCCACAACAGACGACAAACTGAGGGAAGAGATCGCTCGGCTACAGGAAGAAAGGGACCGCTACCAGAACTCTGCTAAGGTGAGACGCACGCTGGCTAGTGTGCGCATGTGTAGCACGTGCATGCTCTTGGTGCCCTTTTGCATTATGAGGCACAGACTTAATGCAACTGGCATCTCCCTCCCATTCAGGAGTCTCTGCGCAAGGCCCTCCAAGAGAAGTTGGAAGCTGTGCGCAGGGTGCAAGACCTCGAGGCAAGTTGGTATAATTTTGGGTGGCGGCAAGTGCATTGTTTTGCTAGGAACCTACAAATTGCATCTTGAAGGGGCAGTATTTTGCTACTTAAAATTTATGCGACTGAACACGGCGCTGTCGCCACTGTTTCATTTACCAGTTTTAGCAAGTGATCCCTCTACTCTGTGTTCAATTCCTTTAAATAAAGCTTTTTTTTTTTTTTTTTGGTTCAGAAAAATATTTTGGTTAGTATTTCCGGCATGCGTGTATCTCATAAAGCCATGCCAGTACTGTGGTTGTTCATGATTTAACTTTACCACGGTTTATTTTTCACAAGTCGCAGCTTTCGATACTGGGCTCCTGCTAATGAGAGAATATCATATCCTTATCTGTCGGAAGAACAAAAATCGTAGCTCAAGCTTGATCACGTTGCACGGGTTTTGCTTGAGCAGTCTAGCTCAGAATGTCAGATCTCTTCCTCTAACAACCGCCCAGATGGAGCGAGCGTTTTAACGGGCGGTCTCCAACACGCATCTTGCAGTATGCGGTGGTGAGCAACGAGGAGGAGTGTTCCAGGCTGCGCGAGGTCTACGAGTCTGCCCAGAAGGAGATCGGACTGCTGGCCGACCGCAGCGACAAGCTCCAGAAGGAGATAGGCCAGCTCCAGGATCAGCTCAAGGTGGGGACACTGCCTTTGCCGTCGACCAAGTCTACGGGACTTTGGCCGCATGGGCTGATCAAAGGCTGTTCACCTATTTTCCTCTTCTTCCTTGGAAGGCCTATCACACATTCTGTGCTTACCAGTCTTAGCGTGATCAAGCGCATATAATTTTTTTGTTTTTTTCTCTCTTTCTTTAGGAGGCTGAGGAATTGAGCCAGGCCATGGCCGAGGACAAGGCGGCATTGGAGAGTCAGATCGAGGACTTGCAGCGCAACGAGCAAGCTCTGGCAGCCAAGGTCAGTCTCGGGTTGAGGCGGAGTCTCAGCCACCTTCCTTTGAGAAGAAATGCCGGGTGTCGCCAGGAGCCCCGAGGCAGCGGGGTCGGTGGTCGTGTGTCAGTTGACAGTCTTCGACGTGGACGAGTGAGAAATTACCATATTCTAAATGTATTGTAAGTGGAATCGATTGTCACTTTAAAGTTTTAGGTGAGTTTATGCATGGTCAATAGGGTGCTATTTCTTTTGTTTTTCGGGCCCATACATTGCCACGCCTCTCCTCAGCTCTCGTGCTCTCTTTTCTTTTGCAGATCGAATCCCTACGAGCCGACAATGACTTTTCCAAAGAGCAACTAGCTGCTGTCAAAGGTGCGTCGGGCGTCCCGTCCCCGTGCGTCGGGAGAGTTTGTATTCGTCTGTTTGTCCTGCAGCACGCTTTGAGCAAGTCAAGAAGGCTGAGTACATTGAAGACAGCCTAGGCTCGCTGGACACCAAGGACAACATGCCCAATCACCAGGGTAATTAGTTGTCACTCTAACGGAAGTTGATTGCTGGGGAAAACATATATACCTAGCTTGCACTGAGTCAAGTTTTGCCAGATACATGTCAGGTTTATCTGAATATTAGTGTATTATTTTTAGAACAAGACTCGAGTGTGTGCCAATAACTGATCTACCTTACACAAATAATGTTTGATACAAAAAGTTGCAGCAATTGGCTTTCTGTGCTCCACGGGAGAGCAACATTGTTAGTAAAGAGAAGAGTGTATTCAGATCAGTAAGGCTGACACAGTGATGAGGCAGCCTAGTTCTGTGGAATGTGTGGTATACAGTCAAACCTGTTTATAACGAACAGCAGAAAATGGTATGATCAGTTCGATATAGCAAGTAGTTCGATAGAGCAAAAACCATTTACAACGAACTTCCACGATGCGTTCGTTGTAAGGGGAGAGCTTCTCTTTCTTTCTCATCTCTTCACTTCCGCCTTGTAACACAGCGCTGGATTTTTTTTTTTTTTTTTTTTTTTTGCATGTGTGCAGGCTTTTTTTGTTTAGCTTATCTTCCCTTTTGAATTGCTTCTCTTGTGGAAAACCGCTTTGGGATGAAAATATTTTTTTTTTCTGTGCGTGCGTGCAGTGTTTTTTTTTAGCTTTCTCCCCTTCTGAATCGCTTCTCTTCGCTCAATTTTGTTTTGCGGCTTGAGCTTTTAAAATCTTCTTTCCTACATTTTTTTTTTGGGGAGGGGAGGGGAGGGAGGGGAGGGAGGGAGGGACAGGTTAGAAGACGATTGTTTGCGCAATTTCGGAAGCCTTCCCAAGGGAAAAGTTCGATATAGCCAATGTGTTGTTCGTTATGAGAAGTACTTTTTATTTAAATTTTTTGTGAGTTCGATATCGACAATAATTCGCTGTACCTGGGTTTGTTCTAAATGGGTTTCACTGTAGAAAGTTCTTCAGTGAAAAGTAAAAACAGCTGTAGTAAACATTGGCTCAAAAAACTGAAATGGGGCATGGCATTGCGGGAATTTTTCTATGAGCAGTTGTATCTGAGGGAGGCTTACACCTATGCCTAGCCTGAAATGCTCTCAAGCATATGCTTTTTTTGTTTATTTAACAAATTGCTCTCACCTTCATTTTGCTTTCTCATTAAAATATATAAATGTCCAGTTATTTAATGCATACAAAGTTTAATAATAAAAAAATGTTGGGTTTTGTGTATCTCTATTTGATAATAGGTTTGTTTCAGCACTGTTAGATTTCTTCACTACGCATATTGAGTTTTCAGTTTGTTTCTTTTATGCTATTAATAGGGATTCCAGGTTCTAGGGCTTCTTAAATTTTTGGTCCCTTACCTTAAAAATTGTTCCAGACAACAAAGTATTTATACTCTCATACACTCGTTTGCAGACTCTGACGATTCGGACGAGAGGGAGTTTTCCGACAAGAAGGAGTTGGACGAGTCGAAAGGTGGACCATTTTTTTCTGCTCTCTCTCTCTTTCTGTCTCTTTCTCAAGCAAGTTTGAGCCATGCGGTCGTCCTGACCGAACTTCTCATCTTGTTTGCAGACTCTGCGTCGCTGTTGGAGAAGGAGTCCGAACTAGGGGAGAGCCCCAAGAAGGAACTGGGAATGAGCCTGAGCTGTGAGTGGGCAAGGCTGGAGCACTTGTTTTAACGCTGCAGTGGGCATTCTCTCCACAATGTTTTGTCTTGGGTGTTGTTAGAACCAGAAAATAAGCTACGTCTATTACTAACCTTACTGCAGCTATATCCGGCTTTCGCCGAGGTGCCTAGCAGAAAATGTGGTAGGCGCTTTTCGTCGCGCTTTCTGCTAAATTGGTCTGCGACAGAGCAACGCAGTTTCGCTTGGGTCTCTATTGCTATATCTATGGAGGTAGGAAGCTTCTAGAGGTTACATGATATTACCTTAGGGGAAGCCAGAAGTGTGGAGGGACATGCCCCCAACGATGACCAAAACAGCTGTGGTTTCGGTCATTGTAACTCCACATATCTGGCCTCACTTCTGCTGGCATCATGTCACCTCTAAAAGCTTTCTACCATCATGGCTATATTTGAAACTCGTAAAGTCATGAATAGATGGTATTGGCTGTACCTTTTGTATCGGGTGGTAGCTTGCGCCACCTAGCTTAGCATCTCAGAACCGCAACTGTTGCCACCATTGCCCGTGTAAACCATGGTGACGAAATGGTGGTGCTCGCAAGCTGCTGGCACATAAACAACTGCTGTACGACGTAAGCGGCCAAGTGGTTGCTGTGGCAGTGTCCGACTGTGGAGGAAAAGAGCGCCAATGCACATATGTTTAGCTTAGTGACCCTAGTGACGTGCTCAGTGTTGCTGTGAGATTGGCTGGAGTTGCGAGTGAGGCAGCCATTTTCTCTTCTTTAGAGCCGCTTAGAGGGAGATTTACTAGCATCTCGTGTGTCTCCTCTTCCTTGTAGCACATCTGGATGGCTTGAAAGAAGAAGAGAACAAACAGAGCGTCCTCTCCAATCAGCTTCAGGGTAAGGAATGTCTTCCAGGAGGGAGAAGCTGGAGCTAACTTCGAATAGAGAAAAAGAGCTGCTCACAACCTTTATCGCATGGCTCGGCAACGTTTTTCAAGGCATTCTTTTGTAGTAATTGATCTTGATTAGGGACATCTACACTTGCAATTATATGTGTCGGCGAGGCATTCATACCGTAAACAACCTTTTTGTTTGCAATGTATGCCAAATTTAAGAAAAACTAATTGCTCAAATAAAATTTTATGTTGGTTCACTCATGGCCGTGCGATATGTGTATAGTGCGAAATGTTGTAAAAATTTTCCCCAAATATTTAATCTCCCATAAAATTTGAGAAATTTTAAGCTTGCAACAAAGAAGTTGTTCGCAGTAATCTGAATTATTTTTTAAATGAATGTCCCACCTTGTAGCAAGTAACCATACGCATGTTATACCTATCGCACAAAATAGTGATCTATGTTATCTATCACTGCCTCGAAAATGTAACGAGCATGTTACCGATAAAAGTACTACTGCATTACTGGTAATAATGTGCTCATTTGTAACATGTTACTGCCAACACTGAACTACGTGGAGCGCAAGTTCGTCTGCTCCTTGCGCAGGAGTTGCACTGATGTCAGAATGCCGAGCTCTGATTGGCTCTGGTGGGGGGATAGTGGCTAGACGTCAATACTAGCTACCTTGAGGTCTACGCACCATCCTTCCAATCGGAGCTAGGTGTTCTCACGTCACCGCAACCCCTGCCCAAGAAGAAGCAGACAAACTTGCGCTCCGCATACAAGCCAAGTGGACTCAGTTTTTAGGGCTAAGGTAGTTGCAAGTAAATGCAACTGTAGTGGACAGTTCAGTATTTTCCACGGATCACGCACATGCCCCTTGCGTTCATCCGCGGCCCTTACTGGCTTGTGCTGTGCCCCGTGTTGCGCAGCCAAGGTGTGCGAGCTGGAAGAGCAGCTGGAGCAGTTGCACATGGACGACAGGGAGGAGTCCAAGCCCGCGGAATACCTGCAGGCCGAGATCAAGCGTCTCCAAGGTGACTGCCGCCGTCTTCCCGGTGGATTCTTTCTGTTTCAGTAGTGCCGCGGTGCCTGCAATGCGTCTTTGACTGGCACGTTTACCGGCCTATTCTCTTTGTGTATCGAAAGTGGTCCCGTAGTGGCAACAAACGACGTCGCAAAAGTGCTGGAAGTCCCGACAAAAAAGTATGAGCGAACGCGAGTGCCACCGTCATCGCAGAGTCCCAACTCCTGGCTGCCACTGTGGAGAGTGTCCAGGACGCGGTAAACGCGTCAGTTGGAGACGCATTCATACCTGCCAAGTCTCCCGTATTACCTGGGAGACTCCTGAACTTTGACCAATTTGTACGGCTGTATGATTGACGGGAAAGTCTTAAAATGCAAATTACTACCCTCCCTTCCCCACACTTAAACAAGGAGTTTTTGCCATCGCAACATTCAGCTGCATTGATAGCGAGGCCCTGCTGTATTTTGCTAGCATGAGGAGTGCAATATAAATGTAATGAAGGTATTTTTATGTAAGTTTGTTAATACTTTTTGAAAAATTGCTCCCCCCCTCCCTCCCTATTCTCCCGGATTTGGTTTCTTCGAACTTGGCAGGTACATGCATTCCAGGCATCGTGGTAATGCTGAGCATCGTTTGTCGGTTTGTTTGCACTCTGTGGAGCTTCGAGTTCCTATAGATATCGCATTCCCTCGTAAACGCAGCGAGAAACGGCGTACAAAAGGACCGGGCAAAAAGAAGGAACACGGGATGAAGGGCTCAGTCCTTTTGTGCGCCGTTTTTCATGACATTTAGCAATCGGCAACTTTCCTGGCTTACGACCTTATTGTAGTTCCTGGTGTACATCTACCTACTCTTTAGGGTCAGGACTTGCATCTTTTTATTCTTGCAGAGCCTCGGAAAAGTAGACGTGTGGATCTTTATAAACGGATATTTTTTTATTGGGTTCTTTTCAAATATTATTTCTCATTGGAGCCACGAGTGAAAAGTTAGTCCCACAAAAATTTTTGCCTAAGAAGTGGTATGTTTAAGCAGAAAACAGATCACACGCATAACTAGTTTGTCAAATTTGAAACATGTAGTATGGAGAATATTTATTTAAAAAAAAAAAAAATCTGTTTAAGATGAGTGTTTCCTGGATGGGCTGTTGGATTTATTTGTTTATTTGACCGAGGATTGGGAAGGGGCAGACCAAGCTGCCCTTGAAACTTAGAGAAAGTTAAGTTTTGTCAATGTGATGTTGTATATGAAATATTGAGACCATGGCAGATGTCTCAGGATGCCACGTACCATTTGAGCTCGGTTTTTTACATTGCGAAGTTATTACCATACCTTATACAGGGTGTTTTCGGAAGTGCGGGCAAAATTGCTCCTGCGAAAACTATGCATCGTATAGAAAAAGGGTTGATGTCGTAGTGGTCTGTGTCAAAGGGCCCATTAAGGAAAATTATTAGCATTCAATATATAATTGGGCAATTAATTATTTTTAGTAAATAAATTGTTAATTATTGATTTTAAAGGCATGGTTTCAATTAGAATATTGCTGGGCATCATCAAAAACTACTAAATACATCCACGTTACAATGATATGAGGCACACGCAGCATTTTACGGCGTTCCGAAAAATACTTAATTTAAACGTGTTTCTTGGTTTCGTTTCTTATCGGAGCGCATCTCCGCACGGGCAGCCTGGCCCCGTGTCTAAAACATGCAATGTGCGTGTGCCACCACGCATCGCACGTAGAAGAGGCTAGATAAGAGAGCCTCCAGACTGTCACAAGAGATTTGCCTTTCTGATGTCTGTGCCAGTGTGAAGACGAACCTTTACGTGCGATGCGTGTTGGTGCACGCACATTGTGACTTTAGACACAGGGGGGGGGATTGCCTGTGCAAAGATGAGCTCTGATAAAAATCCGAAACCCAGAAACGGATCCAAATTAAGAAATTTTTAGGATTGCTGTAAAATGCTCATTGTAATGTGGGTGGGTGTGTTTAGTAGTTTTCTATGATGTCCAGCAAGATTCTAATTGAAACCATCCCTTTAAAATCAATAATTAAGAATTTAGTTAGTCAAGATTAATGAATTACCTAATTACATTGAAAGCTAACCATTTTCTTTAATTGGCTCTTTGACACAGACCGCTACGGCCTCAAACTTTTTTCAGTGCGAAGCGTAGTTTTCCCCGGAGCCATTTTGCCCGCGTTCCCGGAAACACCCCATTCTTGTCCTATCCTTTCAAAGCCTTTCTGGACTGCAATTTTTATTTTTTGTTTTATTTTGTTGAACCAGAAGTTTTGTTGTTCGCTATTTAGCGTGCACTAACTTTATATGTCGTGTTGCTTCTTGTCAAGCATGATGTTTATGTCGGTATTGGATAGCACCTGGAACTTTTAAGAGCATCTTTCTTTCTAAATACAGCATCCCTTGGAATACAAAGGAATTATTGCAGTGTACAAATAATTATAACTCAAGCGTACTCTAATCAAGTTCTCTAATTAACTCCATCTCCTTGACTCACTTGGCATGGGCTGCACCGTTCAAGCCGAGTTGTTTGTCGGTTGTCTTTCTCCGGCTCGTAGGTGATGTCTTTGTCTTCCCTGTGCGTGTTGGTGTGTTTTCGGCCCCGCTTTCCTAACCCTGCCCCTGGCCCCCACCGTGCTGTGTAACCCTCGCAAGTGAGAGTGTCCGGAGATGTGCCCCCACTGACGATTCCCCGTTCCCCTCCTGCACGTGGCGGCCCCGTAGAGACTTGCGACTTGAGCTGGCTGCACAGGAGACAGCAGGATTGCATGTTGGTTCTGGTTCAAGGTTAGCCCGGAGGCACACGGGCCCTGGCTGCCCGTGGGGACTCTCTCACCCGGCTGGCTTGCACGCTCCTGCCGTCCTTGCACCTTTCTACGCTTGGCCTTTCTTCTTGCTTTAACATTGACGCCCAGGTGCGCAAAGCATTGGCTTGAATGTTGGCAGATGCAACTGCAACCCTTAGGCACCATTTATATGAGCTTTGTGTTCTTTTTATGGCGAGCTATTGCAAAATATGGCATTTCAGCAGATTGGATAAATGTTGAGCCCACTAGCATTATACTAACATCATTTTAGTCAATAACTTCTCTCTGTCCTCGCTAAATGAGTTATGTTTGGCCTTTCTTTGCTTTAACATTGACACCCTAGTGTAGATAGCTTGACATCGACTTTAACAGTAGCATTTATATACAGACTTTGTGCTCGTTATATAGTTAAGTATCGCAAAATACAGCACTCGAGCAGATTGAAAAAATGTTTAGCCACAAATATGATGTCGTCTAGAGTAGCTTCTTGCTGTTCTTGCTAATTTACTTCATGTTTAGCTGGTAAATTTAGATATTGCATCTATGTGGAGCTTTTTCTGTGGGAATTTAAGGTGCATATTTGTTAACACACTATACTTGGCCATGCTTGCTCGAGCTTCAAACAGGTGCATAATTTTATAGAGCTTTACGTCTGCCTTTTACCTAGTGTTTAAAAGATAAAAATATTTAATATGACAGGTTGGTTTTATTAACTTCACTGAGTGCAGCATTTTTCCAGTAGATACTGGATGCATCCCTTTCTGTACTAAAAGGTTGAAGACTTGTACGGGGCTGTGTTACCTCTTTTCTCACATCCTAAAGTTTGGTTTGGCAATATCAATGAATGCTTAGTGCTCATAAAACTGTTCTTCAGAGTCAATTTCGTTGATGCAGAAATTTGGTGTTCATGACTGAGAAGAAACTGGGGACATGTCCCGGAAGTTTTATTTTCGAGTAATCTTCTGTTGCTCCTTCTCATTTGAGCTTTGTCATACTAGGCTTTTGTCATTGATCACTATGTGATTTCTTTCTTTCTATGCTACCACTTTCAAAGCCCGTTTGCTACAAATAACCTAATTATACTCTGGATCCCCCCTAGGAATCAGCTTTGCATGGAGAAGTAGGATTTATATGCTTCGCTTCTGCTCATAAAACCATGATGCCGGTCATCAATTTTATTGTCTCTGACACAATATCTTTTTTACTACTCGTATAGAACTTTTGTTCGAGTCTCGAGAAAAGAAGAATGTCGCATTGCTGGAGATGTCCAAGATGAAAGGTAAGAAAAAAAACCAGGAGAGCCATTTTTTGTGAGTGTTACGAATTGTGAGAATTCACTTACTCTTTGTCTATAAAATAATAGTGGAGGAAGAAAAAACGTGGGAGGAGATTAATATATATAATGCAACAATCAAGAAAGAGGCTCCGCTTCCTCAAGAGAGTTAAATTACTTCACGAAACACGAAATCTGTTATACTTCCATCGTTCTTCCATCGCTTGAGTTCTGGTAAAGTGCCCAAGTTTAAAAGCAACAGAGGCTTAACCTTGGCCGAAGGAGTTTGTCAGTAAGTTCTCTCGTCTTGTGCCGCTTGTGCAGAGCAACTCGAGCAAATGGAGGAGACTCGTAAAATTACGACTGAGCGCCTGGCCGAGAAATTGGTGTTGGACTCGTGCGAGGTGGAGGGAGAGGCCACCCTGTCTGCCCAGCTGGCTGCAGCACGCAAGCATGCCCAAGACCAGGCAGAGCAGATCCTGAGACTGCAGGGTGAGCAGACTCGGCAGCAAATTCCTCAGTACGGCTAGTCTTCATGCGCCCAATATGAAGAGACCAAGTCTGTGTCTTTGCTCTGTGAGGACGCCACAGCAGGAATAAAGAAAGGAAATATGCACACTGTAATGTAAGGGAATGTGCATTCTGTGACATACTATCTCGAGGAATGTACTTTGTTCTGATCGACATGGCATTGATGTAATAAAGCTGTGCAGAAGATTACAGACGATAATGCACATGCCAGAAAATATCTGCCACATAGTAATGCATCAAGGAATGGCTTCAAAAGTAGTGCTTAAACTGGAAGAACACTTCAGTCGGGGGTCAGGGACGGCCGAGGAAATTTGAGAGAACCCACAAGGGTACACTGGTGAACCCCTGTGTTCCTGGGAACCCAGTTTGTGAACCCATGACCCAAGGGAATGTACACGCTGTAATGTGTATCGCTGTCCTAACTTTTGTAAGCGGCGTGGTTATCCGTCCTTCCCACCAGTGTCGATGGCAGCCGTTCTCTTCATTGCTTGGCATCGGTGTCTGAATTGGACCTTAGTAGTGCTTGAAAAAGAGGAGCCGTGGAGCATACGGTGATTTTAGTAGTGCATGTACGCGTCACTGCATTAGACCTCTCTCGGCATGACGAATAAAACCGTTGCCAAACCGTGCTGTCTCGTGTTGACCTAAAACAGCACGGTGTGGCGTCAATGCGACGGAATCTGTTGGTATTTCTTCAAAGTCATGCTGTAGAAAGTGCAAATAGGCAAACAATACTCTAAGGCTAATTTTTCGGAGGAGAATGTAGGTGTAGAGAACACAAAAAGAAAGAACAGATGAGGATGCATTATTTTGATTGTTTATTTTCAATTGTCACTTCGTGGGGTGCTATGGAACTGTAGTTGGGGAAAGCAGAAAATGACAGTTGCCTCAACCACTAGTAATGTATTCAATAGTGCACGACATTATCTTCTGATGTAAATGCAGCCGAGGTATTTCAATGATTTTCAGATATTTGCACACACTATTTGTTGAAGGATTGGAGTGGTAAGGAAACAGATGCAGGCACATTTCTTTGACAGCAGCTAGAGGTTTTGAAATCAGTATACTACTACCGTTTTTGAAGTTAACATAGTGTTTTCTTTAGCTCTCATGCTCCTCTTGAAACATAGTTATTTGTTTAGCTCTCATGCTCCTCTTGACTTGTTAAGTAGAGTGTCTTTTCTTGCTCACAGAGTCTTTCATAACTTCTTTTATGGAGTTCTAAGCACTACATCATTTTGACACTTTTTATTTTCTTCCGGTGGCTCGTTGTATTTGCTGGTGCAGAGGAGTTGTCTCAGTCTGAGCTGTCGTTGCGAGAGTTGCGTGAGCAGCTTGGGGTGCAGCGGCTGCAGCTCTCAGAAGAGGAGCAACGCCGCAAGCTCAACCAGGAGGAACTGAGCAGCCTGCAGAGTGAGCCTTTGCCCCTCTGTCCACTCTCTTTGTTTTCTTGCAAATTGCATGGCTGTTATTGTTTCCACGAGCACCTGTGCACTGCGGACAAACAATACTTGTGGAGCAAGTGAGCTCGGCGGGTATTGCTTTCCCGCAGAGCAAGAAGCGCACTCAGTGGGGCTAACGTGCCGCGATAAACACTTTGAAAAGTATGGATATTGCAATTCACCTTGAAGGAAATATTGAATAGCGCGTTATTCGAAACTACCATTTGAATATTCGCTCAACACTAAGGAATTTAGAATGACCGTCGTTTGCCAAGCTAGCCGAGCGCGCCAACAAGTAACAACAGCACGTCGGTATTATTTTCACCGACAAAAAGGCACAAAACGACTCAACTGCTCCTAGGCCTAACCACTTTCAGGATTTCAGTTTCCAAAAACAGACCACAGACCACGGCATGTTCGGACTAAATGTCTCGGGAGATAAACCACAGTCTTGTTGACCATGCATGCCGCATGGTTCCACTGGTGATCACTTCTGCAATTTCCTAATTGTAGCCATAACTCGCACCCTCGTGCTCATGTGCCGCCATGCTTGATTTTGGCTTGTCTTTACCTGGCCTCTTGGCGGCTTAATCGACTTGGTGGCTGCGTGGGAAAAAATGTCAGTAGTCAAATGTTGCAATAAATAATTTAAGAATAATTTAAAAAGTCACTATCATTCTCTACCTCCTTTTGACTCTGCACCCCTTGTTCCCTTTCTCCTGCTTCGCCGCTTCACCCGTGCTGTGGCCCGTGCTGGCCGCCGGTCGTGGAGAAAACGGCCGCCTGCAGCGATTGGGCACTTGATGTGTTACGCATGTTTTCGAACTTGTGAGGGTTACAGAGAAATGACGTCACGGTTGAAACGTTGCCCAGATTTATTTTGTTGACCTAATAGTAAATCTTTTCCTAGAAAACGTTGTGTATGTCAATTTTTGCATTTAAAAAAAGTTGACCTTGAAGGGCTCAGGGAGGCTGTATCCCCTCTCTTAAAACTGCCCATGGATCCTGATATATTTTGCAATGCTCTTTGTTCATGTTTGTGTTAATTCATATGCTTATCATAGCAGTGCAGTTACTGGTTCAACAAAGTAGGGAGCTGGGCTAGTTGGTGGATGTCAGCGGTTGTCCTGTGTTGTCTGTTCCTTTTTTTAGTCCTCATTGTTATGATCTGTTACACCTACACCCTGTTTACTAGTTCAGTTTACTCTTTGCTGTTGTGTTGGCTATCTTGGATATCTAATTTATGTGACAGCTGTTCAGGTTTAGCTACTTTTTTATAACCTGTTTTAGAGCGCAGCTCTTAGGCGCCCGTTTCCGGCTTGAGCGGCATCGCCGTCGCTGTCGGCGTAACCAAGGTCACCCCCAGGTCACGTGACCCCTCCCAAGGTCACCTCAGGGTCACATGACCCCTCACAAGGTCACGTGACCCCCCAAGATCATGTGACCCCCCAAGGTCACGTGACCCCCTCCCCCCGAGGTCAGGTGACCCGCCCGGAGCATATTAAAGAATGAGGGGAGGAGGAGGAGAAGGAGGAGGGGTTTATCCTCCCCTCAGTACCCTTCCCTCCTCCTCCTCAAGAGCTGCGCTCCAATTCGGCGTTACAGGGAGTTGTAAACGGCTTTCACTTTTTATTTCATTTCCTCATTATACATTACTCTTGTGTATGTTAGCTCCATATAAACCTTTCTTATGTGGTGCCCTGAAAAGACGTCTCGTAAAGACTTACCTGAGGTTGCTGACTGCTTTTATTTCAGTATAAGTAAGCCAAATTCAAAATCTCCTCATTCAGTTCCTATTTTTGTGTTTACTTGAGAACAGTCTGTTTTGCAAAGTTTGTACAAAAAGGGCTTTTTCCCTCTCCCTCACTGATGAGTGAAAGAGGAAAAAGGGAAAGATTTTCTGCCCTGCTAGAAAATGCTTGGAGGAATGCGATAAAAAAAAATTTTAATGTGAACGTACGAATATAGAGAGATTTGTTACTGGTAAAGTTTCCAAGTTGCAAGTAAGGTTTTTGTGTCTCCTTTGAAGGAGAAGTGGCTGGCCCATTTCAGTTGCTTGCTTATTCCTTGCCCCTTTGTTGGTTGTGTGGCGGTGCACAGATCTGCTCGAGGAGGAGAGGAAGGCTCGAGACAGGACAGAGAGCACGTGCGAGACCATCAAGAGTATGTTTGGTTTCTGCCTTTTGGTTTCATTTTGCCTCTTTGCGCTAGCAGCTCTTCGCTTGGTTTGCCTTTAAACTCGTCTCTATGAGTACTGCTACAATGACGCTGAATGTTATGCCGTGAAGAGTTGCGACGGCAGCTACGATGATTTCCTAGTAGATTGTTTCTTGATCGTTGAATTGTTTGGGTCGTCTTGTCCTTTCAGAGCAGCTCCACGAAGCTCAGAACACCGCCAAGCAGCATCAGAATGAGACTGAACACCTGAGAAGTAAGTGTCAAGTCAACCTCGGGGTCTTTCTTAGTTAGTTTACCTCGAGTGGCAATTTTTAAGGCCAAAGGTTTTCTTTGCCTAGGTCGACCCTTTTGGGTTCATTTGGCTAGTTCATTCATCTGGAAGGAGGAGACCAACTATTTGAGCAGAACTCGGCTGAACGGAGACAAAGAGTTGTGCCTTTGCCGCTTTGCAGAAAAGGTGCGCAGCCTGACGGAAGACCTCCGGAACCGCACCAACGCCGAGCGGTCCTCGGCCCCACTGCCAGCCCAGGAGGCTTTGCGGGAGGAATGTGCCACCCTGCGTGCGCGCGTGCAAAAGGCAGAAGAAGAGGCTTGCAGGTGAGTGCAGTATTGTTATGATACTGAGGTCATTAAGGAAGGGAACGGCAGGGAGGCCCTTTATTTATCCGCCACCAGCGCAAGCTTCATACCTTTGACAACACTTTAGCATCTCATGAGGTACAAGTGTGCATACATAGTCAAAGCAAACACTGGAGGGCAACGAGCATGTGCTGGAGGCCAGGCGTCGGAGAGAGATGCCTCGCCATTCTCATCCTGTCAATGACTATATACTATAATTCTTTAACCTCGCTGGTTTTGGAACGGATTAAAAACGTTGCCGGGAGAGATGCGTAGGAACAAGGAGCGTCGCCCGAGGTGTATCCGGACGGTTTGTTGCACTGATGTCCGATCACTGTAAGGCCTAACATCAAGTGTGGTGTCAGCCGGTTCAAGCTTCTGTCAAAACTCTGCATTCTATGAGGATTGAACGGTAGAAAAGTATTTACGTTATTGGGGAAACTCAGAAAACTGAGTAGGAGGATAGCTGAGGTGTGCTCTTTTGTTTGGACGGTCTAAGATTCCACCCGGGCTGGGCCTCTTGATGCTTTAATGCGGGGCAAGCATTAGGGGGTGTTCAGGTAAAAGTGCCTGCTCCCCTAAGGTTTCCATCTACCCCTCCAAAATTTTAGAATGTGAATATGGTTTCAGCATAATAAACATAGTTAAGCTCCTTTTTACGCGAGGCACGAAAATGTTGTGGATCTTATTCATGGGTGCGATAGCAACGAGGAAAGTTGGCTGCCGGACATTCGTAGAAGTAAAAGTAAGATGTAGCACATGTTGTACTTTAACGCCGCACCTCCTTCTCCCAATCCCGCCGCACCATTGCAGAAAACTTTCCCGCACTGCTCCTGGCCAATTCTTTACGAGAGATTTGTCTAACTGTACAGCGATGATTTTAAAACATGCTTTTGGTATCCTAAATTCATTTTATAAACCATTGGTATGACGTAACAGTGTTCGAATAGAAGTGCTGCTGACTATCAACCGGAGGAGAAACAACTACTACTTGATGACTTTTTTAGTTTTTGAAATTTCGATTTAATTTTGATATTGGAGACACGTAGAGCCACTGAAAAGGCTACACTTAGAGTACCGACGCTCCCTTCATCGGTTTCCTTCTGAATTTTGGTGGTTAGTGCAAAACTGGCGCAACAGACCTCATTCATTATTAGCGCCATCTCTCGGCGGCTGCGAGCACTATCGAGCTTCCGCACCTTCGCTGAGGCTTCCCCATCGTCCCCGCTCTGCATACCTATAGGGGGTATTCACTGGGCGCCATATTTGAGGGCGATGCTTAGAGCACAAGCTCAGAACGAGCTCACATTAATAGGCCCCTTCAATCTTGATGCACCTTCAATCTTGACGGTGTGGAATGCATGTTGCAAAAGAACTGCGGAAGCTCGCCGTCAGCGCGTACTTGGCAGTCGTGCACACAGCTATGTCCACCAGTTGGCAGTCGTGCACACGCTTCTATAGCGTCCTGCGTGGTAGTCCTTACGTTGTTTTTTTCGGATGGGGGTGGTGGCGTTGGGCATAACAAAATTATTTTACCGAGACTGGTTCAGACAGGTGCGTTGCATTTAGAACGACCAAAACAACCCCGACAACATAGTCAGCGGAAAAACTGTTTGCCGCACGCAACATGGCAAGCAGTGCAAGAAGTAGCCTTGCAAAACAGTCGTGAAAAGCAGTCGTCCCGACGTCTTTGTCGTTGCCACCGACACAAATATGTGAACTGTACTTTAAGGGAGACTGAAGCGGTTCTATATTTGAGGATAAACACCCCAATCATCTTCATTTGGCCTCCAGCATCACGAATATCGAGATTATTTTTCAATTTGGTGCATGGAGGCTGCAGAAATTAATTTTTAAAGTATCGCTGAAGCCGCTCCTTCCCGGAGCGTGACGTCGTATTAGGATTTTTCGGAATGTCCACTCTCGCGCATCTTCAGCACCTGTCAAAGCTTTGCACGTGCGCTCTTGCTGTTTTCAAAAAGGTCTTTTTCTTGTCTTTTATCTTTTCTTCACTTCACGTGTGGGGTTCTATTTTCGTGGCTTCTTTTACCTCCTTTTCTCCTCTTTCTAAATAATTTAGTTGGGAGTCGGCGCTCTTTCGTTCTACTTCTTTTCTCTTCCTCTGACGTTTTGTGCACTGTTTTATCTTGGTCTTGGTCAGAAAGAGACGTCACGACTGGTGTGAGTGTGGGGAACATACCTGGCAAGCCTGCAATTGCACGCGCTGCCCACACGAGCGACATGCGATTGGTGGCCCAAACATCCTAGTATGACGTCATGACTGGTCGGAGGTTTTTCGTGTTTTCTCGCGTTTAGTTTCGTGTTTGAGCAAAACGAACGTGATATTCAAATTTATGGAATAAAAATACCTCAAAATTCACCTCCAACTCGTTTTCTTTTGTTTTTTTTAAGAAGTGTTTCAGCTTTTCTTTAACCAACCCCTTAAAACAGTACTGGGGAGTGCCGTACATCGGGAATCGGGAGGATGTACAACACTCCCCTGTAGAGGAGTTCACACTAGGAGCAGACAGCACGGACACTGTCATTTTGCAACTCTGATAATCCCGGTAAAGCACCACAATCATTTCAAGATTCGCTGTTGAAAAGAGGAACAATGCAATCCGTGCATTTACTTCGGTTGGCTTGTCGTTTCCCGTTGGTTGCACAACGAAGCACGGCAATAGTGCGGCATCACTTTCAGAGCAGCGCTCTGCCCTCGGCCTTCAACAGAGGTCGCCCTGTTTGAGGCTATGGAATGAGGTTGGCACAACTTCCGACAAATGGCGTGCGAACCTGAATAAGGTCTAATTTGGCGACCGTCATAATTCGAAAATGCAACCTCCTCAGCTTTAGATGCGGTGCCAGAAAGCTCGAGCGATATGGTCATGCTCTGCCGTGAATCGTTTCAAAGATTTCCAGAGGACGTATAAGCGCTTCCCACGATTTCAACCAAAGCTTCGGATATTCCCGACGATGGTTTTGAGCCCGAAGAGGCCCAATATGTCGTTACTCTGAAGCGTACCTCATTTAGTGTCCCTGCGGACATGGAGAGACCGGGGCAGAGCCCTCAGTGACCCGTTGTGCCGTCGACGTTGCCCGCTCCAGGCAGCAAAATGAGAACGCCAGGCTGGTGGCGGAGTTTGAGCGGCTGCGAACCACCTGTGTGGGCCTGCAGTCCTCGGAACCCCCGAAAGTGATCCCGCATGAGCGCGGGGACCGAGTGCCAAGCCGGGAGATGCTCTGCGAGCAGGACCTGCTCTGCGAGCAGGACCAAGCTACCAGGCTTCAGGTCAGGATGGACCACTGCCGCCGCTGCTTCTTCCGCCAAAAGAGCTTGCCCGTGCAAATTTTTTAAGGGAGAAGTTGGGGGAACCCTACGCACCTTCGTGTTTGTCCGTCGGTTTAAAACCAACGAAGCAGGCGGCACGCATTTAATATATACCTACCTACTTATGCGTCAATTAAAACTTGTTGTTGGCCTAGTTGGTTCATGATGCAGTAAGGAGGTTTTTTTTGCGCGACACAGGGGACAAGTACAAGCGAGTAGACACGGACAAGCGCAATCCGTGTCTACTCGCTTGTGCTTGTCCGTGTCTACTCGCTTGTACTTGTCCCCTGTGTCGCGCAAAAAAAAACCTCCTTACTACTTATGCGTACGGGAGGTAATGTGCCCGACGAATCTGATATGATGTACTTGCTTCTGAGCGGCAAATATGGTTGCCAAGGAATTGTTGAATTGCATTAAGGCGATGTTTGGTTGGGTACCTGGTCCATCTGTGGGAAGTAGACTGTTAGATCAGGAAAAGATGTGAACAGATGTGAACCGGTCTTAGATGCAATAGGAGACTTCATCGGCGTCCCTAGACATTCCGTAGCAGTTCTTAAAGACGGACGACCAGTTCGCACTTTTCACTTTTCCCTCGCTTCCTCCTCCCCCCCTTCTACCCTCTCCACCGTTGCCTGTTTCCTTCACCCCCATGGTGAGGAGGACGTTCTGCATTGCAGAATCTCAAGTCTGGTCGTCGGCCTTTAAGCAGTTTAGTTTTAAAAAAAACATTTACGCAGCAGAAGACGGTGCAAAGTGCTATCGCATTTGAGTGACAATCTGCGCATCAATTTCAGCAGAAATTTTTTCTTTAAAAACATAGACATAGTATTTTGAGACCCGGTACGCATTTGCCAGGGCCCACTTTTTGTGTTTCTCGGTTTCATGTTGTCGTTTTTTCTCAAGATGACTAGTCATCAGTTCAACTGTCTTTTAAGTGCAATTGCAAATGCTGCCTGGTTACTGTTTTATGATTGGTTTGATTCTGTTTACTAAAGTGCTTTGCAAGATTATGATGCCTCTGGGACAGTGGTCTTCAGTCACTGATGTTTTGGGGATCCCTTCTGGATAAGCGGAAGTGATGGGGGACCCCATCCACTGGGGTGGAGGGGGGATAATAGACGATTATGATGACGAAAGGGTAAATAAAGAAAACTAAATGCATGCAAGTCAACTTTGAAGCTCTGCGGACCCCAAAGCGTCCACAGATTCCCCTTTGAAAATCATTGCTCTAGGGAAAGCCCAAAAAATAGCAAGTGGTAGTAAATTTGTTGTCTAACAGCTTATTGATGGTGATGAGACATTCAAATAGGCAATGCTGTATCAACATATCTTCTGCCAGTTAAAGATCAATCCTCATCCTGTAAAATATAAATCTGGGCAGATTGTTTCTCTCTTTGCATGGTTGAGCGATGGCTGTCATAAAATGAGTCTGCAGAATGCAATAATAAGTAAATAGTAGTAAATAGTACAATGTGTGTGAATGAAACTTTACTTGGGTAAAGTCCATTTAAGTTACATTATTGAAACATAGAACTAGACACTAAACTCCTACCGGAACCTTATTCTAAAAAGTTTCGTCATAATAAAGTTTTATTTGAGTAAAAGCTTTCCTTGCTTGCTGCCCAAAAAAGTGAATGTTGAACCACTTGGCTGATTTAAATGACATTTACAAGGTTTGCTTCTTTCTGTTGATGTTGAGAACATTTCTGTCAAATTTGTGAACCTGGGTGAAGTACAAAAAAATTGCAAATGTTCAAAGATGAAAGTGGGTGTGTCTGCGTAAGAAAACTATTGTTTTAAAATTACTTATAAATTTGTTGTTTTCATGTGGTATATTACTTTAGGATAGTTCAGAGCAGATAGGTATGGAGCTATATTTCTATATTATGCCATCAAGGGATGGGCAAAATACATGGAAATATGTATCGAAATTCAAATACAAAATACTTTGTCAAAAATGTATTTAATTAAAAATCTAATTACATTTCCCAAAAAGCATTTAAGTACAAGATACAAATACAACCAAATGTATTTGGTCTCCTCCAAATACTTTTCCAAATACATTCCTCAAAATTTGTGTCAGCGACTTCAGGGCACCTGCAACGGGCTTCTGGGTATCTCATTTTAATTCTGCATCGCACACTCGGGAGTTAGTGTGCGATGCTCTAGTAACGTAATAGAAATATAATCACAAAAAAAATGTAATCAGCTTGGACGTAATAGTTGAAAAAAGTACAGAGCTTCTAGCAGCTTTTTTTGTGGATTACATTTTGGTATAGACCAACAAAGAACTGAGACGACCAAGATGCGCAGCACTAGCTAGAGATTTTTTTATCGTTGCAACTCGCACCAGTTATAAAAATCTGGATGACCCGTGCATTTAGAATGTTCCAGGCAAAAATATTGATGGAAATCAGGCTGGAAAGCATCATAAGTTGTCACAGGCACTTATTTAGCCAGTCTGCCTGTGAACGTCGATTTAGTCACTATTCTTGCCCTGGACTAGCACCGTAATCACAAAGTCACTAAACGCTTGTGCTTGATTGAGAGACACTGCATTCGGTGCAGAACGTAGTTTTCTTTCTGCTCTGGACAGTGCCTTTAAAATAAAGCAGAAGGAGAAAAAGAAAAAAGCCCCATGGCCGAATAAAGGATGGAGACGATATCTGACAACCACATCCATAAAAATAAGAATTGTCGTGACAATAAATTTGAGGGATGTATTTTCGCCCACAAAATTATATTTAATTACAATTGTATTTGAAATACCCAGGTTTCAGGATTTAAATACACATGTCAAATACATTACCCAATTTGTAGTTAAATACAAATGCAAAATACACAAAGTATTTAAAATACGTATTTCAAATACTTGTATTTCAAATACTGCTTATCCCTAATGCCATCTTTAATGACAAAAAAGCCACATAAACACAAATACTGTTTTAAAAATTTCAATTATTTCTCCAAAATTTTAGTTCTTGAGCCTAAAAAATGACAAAAATTAAAAAATACAAGCTCATAGCTATCTTTCCTTTAAAATATCGCCCAGGAAAAACTCATAAAAATTAATCCAAGCTATGTAATAACAAAACAATAGTTTTCCTAAAGCGAAATTTATCTCAAAAAGTGGAATGGAAAAAAATGTGTTCAAAGTGCTCCAACCTCTACCTTTTCTTTAGCATCGGTGGACCGAAAATAATTTATAAAAAATTAGCTATTCAGTGTAAACTAATGGAACTTTCTGGGAATATTAGATGTTGGTGGATGTAAATATGACATTTTAGGGGCGAAGCTCCTTAGGGTCTAGCCTTGTCCTTCGTCCGTGCTCACATCGATTGCCATCCCATCTGTCTTCTTAAAAAAAAGAAAAAATGTTTGCGCAGTCGACAGGATTCAAACCTGTGCGGGGAGACCCCAATGGATTTCTAGTCCATCGCCTGAACCACTCGGCCACGACTGCGGGACGAGTAGAGGGCTCTGAGATGTGGTAGTAACTCAAGAGCTGGGGATGTCATGGATGAAACGTTGCATGTAGCCACTCAACGTCTATACAGGAGAAGGCGTTGCGGTCAAATACGTATATAATCGCGTTAAACTTTGCGTGCATTGGCTCAACGTTTATAGACGAGAGGGCGCTGCGGTCAAATGCGTATATAACCACGATCCATACCACACATTCTCTTTCTGACATGGACCATTGACTTAAGCGGTGGAGAGGCATTCCCACGGCTTCTAGCGGATCCAAGCTGATCCGCTAGAAGAACCACTGGCTCTCCATTTCACCGACCATAAAGCAGTAATATTGAAGTCGAAATGCAACCTGGAACTCAGCACTACCTATGAGCAATAAAAAAAAAATCAGCACGATCAGCACTACCTATGAACAATAAAATCAGTATCATCAGCACCACCAGAGCTTCGCCCCAATCAACATCATTCACCACGTGGAGATGCGTCCATTTTTTCAAAATCAACTTTTTTTGCAGAAATTGTTTTTTCTGGGTAGTGTCCCACTGCTGCAAGCGTCCGCAAAATTTACGTTAGCTTCGTTCAAATAAGCACTGAAACATAAAAACCATTTGGCTGCAATTACTTTTAGAGCACTAGCATCAGCGATTAGTCAATATAATGCTACGCCCTTCATCCCACTGTTCTCCTCTGCAGCTTCAGGAGACGACGGAAGAGCTGGCTCTTTTGAAGGACAAATTCTCCGCTTGCGCGGAGGAGAGGGCACAACTCCAGCGAGAGCTCAAGGCACTGACCGACGAATACCAGCTCATGTCGTATCAGTCTAAAACGGTAAGTTCCAATAGCCACATCAATTCTAATAATCTGGCATAATTTCCATGTTCCACAGCGTCCGTTTCACGGTTTCATTTTCTGCTTTGACATGAGAGGAACTATATTTTTACTTCTTGGAAAGGTCCTTCGTCTACGATTCTAGTCTGTCCGACGAAAAATCGCAATATATTGAATTCCAGCCCACCCCTCCACTCCGGCCAAATTGGGCGAGAAAAGAGGTTGGGCTAGCTTTCGGTGTTTAACGAAAGAAAGCTCAGAAAGAATTCTTGACTTGGTTCCTTGCCCATTAATGACCACCAGTGCCAACTGTTTCAGAGGCAAAGGGAAACCTTTATTTGTTCGCTTGGCTTCCAAGTTGTCAAAGGAGCAGTCACTGTTGCCTGTCTCGTTGCACTAGTTGTCTGAACCCAGGCAACTTGATTTCTAAGGGGGCAAATAGAGGAGGTGCACATGTACTTAGCACTGGTTAGCAATCCAGAAGTGCCAGGAATTTCTCTTATCTTCCTTTGGCTTCTTTTCGAACCATTGAAACTTTCTAGTGCCCTAGGGGCACTGTTCGAGCCAGTCACGATCGTCCAGCCTTTAAAGCTCTACTCATCCACCAAATACAAGTCCTAACAAAAATCAGCTGCTGGTGACGTGAATTGAACAAATCAAACTGTGCAATGAATACCGCCCTTGCAGATCTCCGCCTGTTCCATCATCCCACTGTGCATCCTGTTATTGGCTGTCCTGCTGGGCTTCTACCCAACCATCTCTTTCCTGACGGGTACTGCCGAGTCTCCCTGAGTCTCTGCGAATCTGTTGGATCCATGAGGAGGAGTGCGCAAGTCCGCCATATGTCTTCTAAGCAGCGGAGCAGGTCCAGCAGTGAACATGGTGCAAGGGGAATCGCTGGCCCCCAACGAGTGTTTTTTGGAGGCCGTGCACACATGGTCGCTTCCTCCAATTGCGACCTGTCTTGCACATATATTGGTTTTTTCAAGCTGGCACACTTTCAGAGAAAGGAGGACTAGTATAACCATTGTTTCGGCGGGCCGACGTTTTTGTGGCACAAAGGGAACGACCGCCACCAATGGTGAACAGAATGTTAGGAGATGCATCCCCTGTGAAGGATGCCCAAGCATGTGTGCACTACCGGACTGGAAGTACAAAGCACACACTTTGTTTAGTTCAGATTTGTCATCAGCTCCCTGTTGCTTTTTTTTTTTTTTTTATGGAGGAAAGTGCCGTTTGAACGAGATGCTCTGCCTCTTCAGCATGTCGTGTTCTTGGCACGAGTTGTTTTTCATACATGTGCGAAACATCTTCCTATCTTGTTGTTGGGTCAAGTGTTGCGGCTTTTGTGCTGGAAAGAACATGGATGTGTGGAGTCTCGCTTGATGCAGCGTGTGTCCAAGCTCGCTTCTTCCTTTTTGGTAGGTGGTGTAAAGCTGCAAGGAGTAGATTTTTGGAGATGTAGAAACAATTAAATGAGCATCTGTTGCAGAGAGCGAGCATGTTTGCCTTTAGTTGGAGCTTTTATTTATTTATGCGAGCATCCAAGCAGCAGGTCGTGGAGCTTGCTCTCATGCACGCCCAAATGCGATGCTTCAAACATCCAGTCGTCTCGAGAGTTTGTTTTTGACGGAACCCGACGAGAGGAGCTACGTTTTGAAAAGCGCCGAACGAGCGTAGCAATCTCCAGCTTCTCGGACGAACCCGGTTCGACTTCGCTTGCCATCTCGAGAAAGGTCCAGCATTGGTAGGCTTTAGTCTTGATTGCTTTGCTGCCTTACAAAGCTGTCTGTGGTTTTCATTATGAAACCTTTGTAAAACATCACTTACCGAGAGAAACTTCTGCTCCAAGCTCTCAAAGGTTGCTGTTTAATCTGCAGAGTGATTGCCATACGTAGAAGCAATGAATAGTAGTGGTACTAACACCTTGAACCTGAAAGCACAGCAGAGAAGCCACTCTCCACGCAGCTGCGGACACTGCCATCGGTGGCCCAAGCGAACCTTTTTCTATTCGTATCGCAGGAAACGGTCGGCTGCGTGGAAATGGTCAGTCCCTGCCTGTCCCTTCGCATTCGGGTGTGTGGTAGTGTCCACTTGAGGCCGCGCGGTTCGACTTAAAACCTAAAGGGCAGATTTCCCCCTGGAAATGCTGAACTGGATGTTTGACTTGTTGGACATCTTCAAATTTTTGTTTGTTTTTACTGGTTAGAGGAATGTTGCTTTTGGTTCTCTTGTAGCAGGTATTGACACGTTGCCACACCGTTTCGTCAAGAAACTGGAGACGTAGCGCGGACACGGAAGTTCCCAGCCATTTGTCCTCGAAGCAGAAAAGGCCTCTTTGATATCACTCGTTTCCTCTCTAGAAGACGGGCTGACAGAAGGTTCACACGTGTATGTAGATATATACAAAATGATGTTTTCCCCTCTTCGCTCGTGTACATACTGTCTCCCTAGATAAGTGACTGTCAAGTGCCATCATATGTGTGTTGCGTGTCTATCGGTTTGTACAGAAACACCGTGTAACATAGGCTCACAAGGCTTAGCATAACTCTTTTACTCTGGCGTACCTGCACCGAGAAAGAGCTGCAGCTCTCGACTCTGGTAGTGTTGATGGCTTTCCTGATCTGCGTTTTACAAACATGTTAAGTTTTTTCTTCTTTTTTTTTAGACAAGCTACATGGACCTTGCTTGTGTTATCTTTCTTTTTTGTTTTCTTTGTAAAGTTACTATTTTTGTTGAGTAGAATTCTTAATTTATAAAGATTTGCTAACTATTCTGGACGGCAGAAGAGCTGCGTGTTTAGCAGTGCGTAGGGTTTATGGCAGGTTTATGTTGCTGTGTTTCAGTGCCCTTTGGTTTAGGTGGAGAAAACTTTTCACCACACTGAGTTCAAGACAAACATATTGTTTGGTCTGTGATCACATTTCGGAACCAGTTTGGTCAGTGTGGACTTGAGACTGGAGCACATGTCTTTCCCACCCCTCCCTTTTTTTTTTCACATGTCTATAACTTTACCTACTGCTAAAAAGAGTAATAAAAGCAATTTTCTCCTCTCCCTTTTTTTGCTTTCTTAATGTATTTATTGTTTTAGTTTGGCCATCTTAGCCATGTAGAAGACATTCAATGGTGCTAGAGCACCCCATTTTATACCACATGCTGAGGAAATAAACTGGACTTTCCCGTTGGTGGTAGCTCTATCGAAGTCGCCCAGGCCGGCCCACGGAAGGTGAAGAAGCCGAACAACAATTTAAATGAGAGGTGAGCTATGAGGCATCACCTTCTCTCGCTTAATATTATCTGCCTTGGTCATCGGCTTCACTCGGGAGTCGGTGGCATTATCTAGATTTTGGAGTGCACAAACTACCGTAGTATACTCCGTTTCACGATAACTTGGAGAACTGTGGAGGCTGCGGCTCCCGTGCCCAATAAGAGTGCCGGAGAAAGTGTAAAAAGAGAAAAAAAAAAAAAAATGCCCTCCCCCTCTCACCCGCCTGTCGTCTGCTCCGGCGAGTGGGCTGCACCTAGCATCCGGCTGGTGTACAAACTTTAAAATCGCGTCATTTTGGAAATTTCAAGTGCAGATGCACAGATTTTGGTATGTTTGGTTGGGATTTTGGCCAGTTATCGTGTTATACTATGCTAGATAAAAAGACTAACAGGGCCCAATTGCGATGTTACCTGCGTGCAATTAAAAGAAAAATAGGGAAAACTGTCAGACTGGCCGGTCTCTCCGGCGAAAAGTAAATCCGGTTGCTGTGCCTTTTTTACTATACAAAGTTTGTACTGGTGTAGGCCTTTAGCGACCATGAGTGGAAGTCGGAAATAATAAATAAAAACGTGCTCTCCTGCCGCAATACACGCAGTAGTTGATAAACACTCGATTCCAGGGTCAGCAAACTGTTTTCGAGCCCAGTCGCTGGGTTTGAGGCTAGACTCTCACCGGCGTCCCTGCTAACCCTAACCGAGTGGACTGTGATTTCGATAGGCGCAACCTGCGTAGGCGCAGTTTCAAACACTGCTGGCGGCTAAATTCTCTTTTCCCGCTGTATTGTGTGTTTCCTGGTGCATGTATTTTCCCGAGGCCACTAAAAAAACATTGTATCCTATTTGAAAAAAAAAAAAAAAAAAAGGAACATAAAATTTATGAACTATCTTTGTTGAGTACGTGCGCGACAGAACGAATAGTTATTTGTGGTTTTTCTTTTTTTTTTTTTTAAGATAAGTTTTGACGACGACGCGCGATTCGCCGCAAGGGAAACGACAAAGCGCTTCGCTGTCAAAAATAAATTGCAACAGAAGAGAGCCGAAAAGCATGCATTTTTCACGCTCACAAATAACGTGTTTACCGATAGACAGGACACTGACATACAATTTAGTTAAAGGGGTCATGAAACTAGGGAGCCTTCATGTGCGTTTTGCTAGGGTGATGCCACCCTTTGTAATACCACTCGCCGACAAACCAGCAGCCATTTTGTTCCTCGGCGATAATCCGCGGGGCTTATAACCCTCCCGGAAACAAGCACCTTATCTCAGAAGTTCGGTGCAGCGTTGTGGAACCCACGGAGGGAGGATTAGCATTTTCCCCCTCGGATGGGATTACCGATGGACACAAAGGCCACTTTCCGGCGCACAGGGAAACAATGAGAGAAACAAAATGGCGGTGGAAGAGGGTGTGGGAAAGGGAAACAGGCAGTTGGCATCACTCTATGCGAAGCGCACATGAAGGCACTCTACATGAAACGCTTTTCCAACTTTTTCCTGTTTAGCTTTCCTCCTCAACTCATAAATCGCGCATTCCACGAAACAGTTCAAGAAGACGAAAAGAGGGGAGGCCCCTCTTGCTCGGAATCTAGTTTATGTACCCGGACAGAGCCATTGTCCCCCTAGAAGATTAGCCCGTCGCTCAAAATTCAGACAAAAGTTGCTTTCCCCAACCCGTTCACCCCGGAGCTGACAGTGCTGTGGAAGCTACGTGCTCGTTGGGCCAGCCACACTTGCCACATGATCACGCTCCTCCGCGGATACCCACGCGCAGAGATTAAGGTTAGGTGATGAAAGGGCTAATTGGTTCGGCAAGCCCGTAGCTTCCACCACAATGTCAGCTTAGGGGTGAAGGGACTGAGCGAGGTCCGGTTTTGTGTGACGTGCGTTTGGACCCGATGACGTGCTTTTGGGACCGCGGATGTATCACAGTGAAAAGGCAGAGAGCTTACAAAGGGGAGGGGGTACGAAATAGTCCGCTGTGTTCTCAAATTTGCGCACTGAAAGTCAGGCTTTTGTCTTTCTAACTTTTTTCTTTTGGCCCACTGAACGATGTGCTATTAGTAAAATCCCAATCGAAACTGATTTATCCCAACCAAAAATCCGTTTCATGGGCCCTTTAACATTCAAACAACATATTGTACGTACCACACGGCCTTTAGCGACCATGAGTGGAAGTCTGAAATAATAAATAAAAACGTGCTCTCCACCCGCAATACACGTAGTAGTTGAGGGTAGTACTGCCGGCTGACTCAACTGCTATTTAAGTAACGGCAAAAAGATATACTAGTTGATCATTTACCGAAATAGAACAACAGAGAGCTATAGGCTGATTTTGGAGTAGCCATAACTATTCCAAGAACGCGAACCACTTCACAACGGCAGCCCCGAGCGAGAGTTCGATGTTCCGTACAGCCCGCCGGTAGCCCGGTACAGCCCAAAGATGGAGAATGGCAACCTCCCGGTTTGTCGTCTGCTGGCGGACGACAAACCTCTCGTTTTACCCCGCCGAACCCGCTGAACTTCCCGGATGTGTGGAGAGGGCGCTGCTGACGAACAAAATGGTGCCGCCCAGGGAGCGCTAAATAACACGCGGCCCGCGGGCCGCAGGTGGCCCTCGACTCTGTGGAATGCGGCCCGCAAGCGGCCCGCGACTGCGAGCCCTCGTTCCCAAGCCTTGAGCGCCACATGCGCCATAAATAATAATTTTACATCGTCGATTAATTTCCGCTCGAAAAGAAGCTATGCCCATACAACGTGTTCACACATTTTATACTATTTTGTTTTCTTATGGACGGAGTATTATTTCGCCTTAATATATGCTTCTCAGCCCTCTCTCGTGTAAATGAACCGGAATAATACTACCACTACTAGGATACAAGTGCGAGCTCTTTGCATAGGGAGGCACTTCGGCTGCACGAACTTTTGCACAGCAGGCAAAAAACGCCGATGATAAAGCTATGAGGTCGGACTTCTAGCTATCATAAATACCTTTAAATGCAAGCACTTTCTTGTAGTGCTGCCATAAAAATCGTCAGGAAAAGAAAACTGCCACATTAAGATTTCTTTTATGCTCGAGCCTGAATTGTGCGCCAGGTCAAGTGCGGTGTGCTTGTTCGCGTTCATTTGAAAACTGCCAGTAAGTTCGTGCTTTAAATCTCCTGATAACATCAGGTGTGGGCCCAAGGTGTAGTCGTATATGCAAGTGAAAGCTAAAGATGGCCATACGGCGAGCTTACACAGAGCAGAAAGTACAAGGCTCCTTCTCTAAAAAAATCTCTGGGGTGTCACTGGGACAATTAGCTGCATTTCAACGTGAAAAAAACCCTGCTGTTTTTTGTTTGTTTCCCAGAAGAGAAAAATACCCCCCCCCCCCCCGCCTCTCACCGCTGGCCCCCGTCCTTTAGGGAGTGAGCTATCTGGTTCCCACACTCGAATGAGTTTGAGACCGGGGCCTTGTTACCGCCACAGCAACAGCGCCGTCTGCGACAAAAAGTAGTTTTAGGTTTATTTTTCTTTTAATGGCAATTGAACTCTCGTTTCCTTCTCTATGGGATCATATATGAAAAAAATAAGGAACAAAATGTTGAGGGTTTCAATTATACTTGAAACAAAAAAAAACTATAGCATAAGCTAAAGACACCTAAAATTACTTACGAGTAGGAATGCGAAAGCATTCCTACATGCAGCGTGCCACGTGTCTTCCTTTTTCACACGGTGCTCCGGTGGTGACATCGCGCTCCCCCACTGCGCAGGCGTGGGCCAAAAGAAAGAAGGTACAAAGTCAAAAGCCTGCTTTCAGTATGAAATTTGAAAACACAGCGAACTATTTTGTAACCCCTTCCCTCCGAAAACTCTCTGCCTTTTCACTGATACATCCGCGGTACCCAAAGCACGTCACACGGCCCAAAGGCACGTCACACGACACCGGACCTCACTTATCCCCTTCACCCCTAAGCTGACAGTGCGGTGGAAGCTATGCGCTTGCCGGACCAATCGGCCGCCTCCCTTTCATCACCTGACCTTATTTTCTTCGCGTGGGTATGCGCGATGGGGCGTGATCATGTGGCAAAAGTGTGGCTACCCAACGAGCACGTACCTTCCATAACACTGTGAGCTTAGGGGTGGACGGGGTGGGGATAGCAACCTTTGTTCGAGTTTTGAAGGACAGGCTAATCTTCTAGGAGAATGGCGGTGTCCGGGTACACAAACAAGGGTCCGAGCAAGAGGGGAGTCCCTCCTTTCCGCCTTGAACTGTTTGGTACAATGCGCGATTTGTGAGTTGAGAAGGAAAGCCAAGAAGGAAAAAGTTGAAAAATTGTTTCACGACCCCTTTCACTGCCCCATTGAGTGAAGCCGGCGTTGTCTGTAAAGCGCCGTTCACACATTTTCAACCCAGTAGGACGGAGAGAGACAAGACCGGTGTTTAAGCCTCTTGCGACGTCTTGGGACCAGTTTCGCAGCATCGCATCCGGTCCTAAGACATCGCAAACCAGTCTTGTCTCTCTCCATCTTACTGGGTTGCAAATGTGTGAACGGCGCTTAACCGTCTGTAGCAGCGAAACAACAGTTAAAGTCTCATTGGCCGAAAGCACAGCAACACAGATGCTTCGCAACGGAAGCCGGCGGGGCGCTCAAGGTCAAAGCAGATGCGCCTCGGAAATAAAACGCAAAGAAAAGCAATGCAGATGCATCGTCACGGAAGCCGGCGAGGCGCTCAAGGTCAATGCGGACACGCCTCAGAAATAAAACACACAAAAAAGATCGAGGTACACCTAAGCATTCCTTGTAAGTTGTGAATGCGAAAGCATGCAAGCCGCTCGTCCGCTCCCTTTTTCGTCTGCTGCGTACGTTTCGTCGCCGGTCGGCGCGTGTGCTCCCCTGGTAACCTTGGACCAGGGTGTAAGATAGACAGGTGGGGAAACGGCCCATAGAAGCCTACCGCAGCGCCGTGACCGGATTGTGTACTCTTCTGCTTGCGGGTACCCCCGATTTGCGACAGATCGCGCTGCGGCGAGAGGAAAAAAATCGGAATCGGATTTGCGTGGAACTCTACGGGAGAGTGCGCAAAATAAACCGAGAGCACGACAGTCCTCCATTGAAAATCCACGAGAAACCAATCTCCGTCAGTTTAGCCGGTCGCCACCGGTCGCCCACCCGGAGTGAGAGTTCGCGGTGCTCCACATAGATGGCGCCACAGAAAAAGAGAAACCCAAGGGGGACACAATCCGGTCGCTTATTTGGCTCTCGTTTCCCCACTTGTCTATCTTACACCCTGATCCGGTCGCTTATTTGGCTCTCGTTTCCCCACCTGTCTATCTTACACCCTGCCTTGGACGCTCCGCGCTGATGGACACGCAGCACCATGGGGTGAGCGTTCGTGGAACCTGACGAGCGCAGCGGCCAATGGGAGCCTTATTGACGCGCGCCAGCCAATGGAACCGAAAGAAACTGTCTTCCGTTTTCGCGCTTCAGACTGATGACGTCAGCTCGCTCCATGAGACAGTTAATGCTTTCGCATTAAAAAAGCACAGCAACACAGATGCATCGTTACGGAAGCCGTGGAGCCGGCGGCGTTCGCCGCGCCTGCGCAGTGGGCGCGGCGCAGCGGAGCGCATCACGGAAGCCGGCGGTGAGCGTGATGTCGCTGCCGGAGCGCCGTGTGAAAAAGGAAGACGTGGTGTACTGCTTGTAGGAATGCGCTGTGTGTAGGAATGCTCTCGCATTCCTACTCGTAAGCAGCATTAAATGTCTTTAGCGTACCGTTATAGTTTTTATTTTAACTTCTTATGCCCGAGTCCCACTAGAGCGACAAGCCTCAAACCAGTCTTTTTGCGATTTGACAGCTTTGTAGAATAAAGGAGGCTATGCTCAAACACGAGCATCATGCACGCAAGGGTATTTGTGGCAGGCTCACAGTCACTCGTGCCATAGCCTCCTTTATACTGATATAAAGTATGTATGCTGATATATTTATACTGATATAAAGTATAAAGGAGGCTATATGCTCGTGCTTACTTTACGAGCACCGAACGACTAAACACCTGCCAAAGGTTCCATCGCAAGTATGCTGCATGTATTGGAGGCTTGTCGCTGTCGTGGGACTCGGGCATTACAAAACTGAACGTCGTGCACAATAAAATCAGGAGCTGAACACAGTTTTCAAGTTTGCTGTTTACGAGGCCACATCCTTTTATGTTACAAAATTGCGCCGTGAGTTGTTTATTTTCTACATTATTATATACTTAATACACTCCGTTTCACCTTATGTTGTACCGCAGCGAAGGCAAGCGCGAGCTCATAGCGTTGGGAGCTACTGTTACCGCACGAGAGCATGTGCCGCCGAGATGTGCCCTAGAGCAAGGAGCTCGCGCATGTAGCATTTCCTGCGGTACAACACAAGACGAAACAGAGTATATATTTTGACTCTCAAGAGATCTACAGCAGTTGCCTGAACAACCCACAGTGAAAGTGGCTGAAGATCCATTTGAGCAGCGCTCCAGCGAGCAAAATCGAATATTTTTGGCTCGCGTTTCAAACGTGCGTCATTACGCTTCCCCACTACAGCTTTTTATGCTCCGTTTCATTATAAGTGCCAGCGTAGCACAGGCTACAAGAGCGAGCTCCGAGCTTTTAGTGTCCCTGCCAAGCACGCGCCCTCGTGCAGTGAAAGCATCGTTCAGGAGAAGGTGCTTTTGCCAGCTTCGGCTTCGCTATTACGTAAAGTGAAACATACGTGCTCGCGGAAGCTATGAAAGAAAACAATACAAATTTTAAAGTTGAAAGGAATGTTTAAAAGGACGCTGCGGCCGCGAGCTGCATAATTTTAGATGTTTTGTTACCGCGTTTCTATTCGAACACGGCACGTGCAAAATCGAACGTTGCAGCGCCACGCGGATAGTGCAGCCGGCATAACATGGTCGCGTCTTGCGTAGTATTGCTACAGTGTACTAGAATACTTGGGTAGTGTTGGGATCGGAGGGGCTCGCCTGAAGCGCGTTATCCAGAAGTTTTGTGCATGCGCGGCTGCACGCGCGAAAATATGAATCTTTGGTGCCGCTTTGGTGGATTGCACTGGAGTGCACATAGGATTTCTGATACAGCTACGACCTGCCAGCGGTCGTACCGTGGCATCAATTACGCTGCGGCACGATCGTTAGCAACATGATGCTTCAGTGTATTGAACCGGTACCAGCTACATTACCCTTCCTTCACATAAAAACAATTGCGACTTTAAAGAAGCGGTTTGCAACTTCGTTTCAGCGTAGAATTTAGCTGCGACTTTCGGTTTGTCGGATGGTGAGCATTTTAAATGAAATGCCAATTTCCTTGGTCGCAAAGGCCGAACATTAGATATTTGAAAGAGATATCTAAAACTCGGAAGCAGTTCTTTTTTTCTTTTTTTTTTTTCTATCTTATTTTATAATAGAACGAAACGGCACATACTGAAGTCCGAGATTGTTTTAGTATGTTTTTAATACCCCAGGTTAACTTCTCTGTCTTCTTTTCTGGCTGTCTTCCTTTTCTTGACCTTAATCAGCTCGCTTCACTTGTCATTCATTCTTGTACTCATTTATGCGACGAACCACCCAAGCGACGGTCGCAAGCCTGAGAATCTTTTATCTCTTCATGGCTGCCACGACCACCCGAGGACCACCCGACGTTCACTTGTAAGAAATGGCTTATACGCCGTGACAATTTTTATCACGCGTTTTAACATTGAACTTAAGTCCAAAAACTGAGACAACGTGGGCTGAACAAGTAATGCTTTACAAGATTCAAAGAAAACAAGCAACTATTTCACATCATTTTGAGCAGAAAACATGAGCACACGTAGATCAGGCAAGGAAAAAGTTGTAATAGTTTACAGCACGGCATTGAAATAATGGTTACAATGTGCAGCGCACACATTGTTACAATACGCAGCGCATTATCCCCTTGAGGGTAAACCATCTGAAACCCACACGCTCATAACAATACATTTAACCGACCGCTGCTCATCACTCAGGTCCTGGGGTACACTTGGCAGCAGAGTCGGTACCGCGTCTGGCGCGTCTGGCGTAGGCGCTGGGTGTCCACGAGGGATCCTCACTTCCTTTCCGCCGCCGATGATGTGGACGTCGTCTCGAAGGATAAAGCGGGGCTCGAAGTGCAGCTCGCGGACAGCGCGACGCTTGTCCGATCGCTGCAGATTCTTCTCCCAAAGATCTCTTTTGGCTCTGTCCTTTGGAACGCCGAAAAGGGACGCCGTTTTCACTCCTTTCACTCGGATGAGGCCCGTTTTGCAGGGAGGGCTAGGTTGCACGTTTTGGACTCCCAGGAGACTAGGGAAAAGGAAGTGACGTCAACTACGCAGCAAATGCAGATTGGATGTTGATTTTGTTTTGTTTTGTCAACATCCAATCTGCGTTTGCTCTAGTCGTTGACGTCACTTCCTTCTCCCAAGTCTCCAGGGAGTCCAAAACGTGCAACATAGCCCCCCCAGGTGCAGAGCAAGAGTTCTGTCGCGGTTTCGCCGACGGCATTTCGGCACTACCCTTACGCGTTCACCATCCGCAAAATAAGAACACAAGATTCAAAGCATATTACGATCGAACAGACGAAACTATGAAATCGTGGTCCCGACACGCGCACCGCTCGAAGTGAAAAACACACATTGTGTCGTACCGCAGGAAAGGCTACAAGCGCGAGCT